GGTTATTATACTAGCTTTACGCTATACTTATTAAGTTACTAGTATCGGCCCTAGGTTTTTATTTTCCCGGTTAAGGGGCCTAGACTAGGGTTAGGGGGAGGTCCTAATAAATTCGTCGCTAGGTCTAAGTAGGCGAGGTCTAAGCTAGCCTACTTATAGTAGGGCTAGACTACTAGTATATTTATAAGCGCTTCTAGAAGCGCTAACTAGCTAATTAATAAGTAGGTTAGTATAGTTTATTAGTCTAACTAAAAATTAATCGTGCCCTTAGCCGGATTCGAACTAACTCTAGCGTTATAGCTAGTAGGCCTCCTAGGTATATAACTACTATACTATAAGTCCCTTAGACTATTATAATATAGGTTAATACCTAAGCCTAGGCGCCTAAGCTAGCCCTAAGGTAGAAAAAAGTAAAAGCTAAGCTAGTTAAAGCTAGGACTATATCCTAGCTTAAACTATACTAGTTAATACTTTTAATACTAAAGGATATTAACTAAGACCTAGACTATATCTTTATTACCTTACTATAGATCGTAATAGTTATAGTTCTATACTAAGGGTAAGTATTACTTAAGAGTAATATATAGTTTACTTTAAAGGTAGGAAGGGCAATAAAGGAGGCTAAGAAAGTAAGGAGGAAGTATAAGTAGGAAAGGAGTAAGGTAAACTAAGAAGACCTATATAAGGTAATAGCGGTATAAAATTAGACTATTTATAAAGTAAGGAGGGCCTACTAGCGCGAGTTCTTAGAGGAATTTAGCGCTAATAATACTAAGCTTTAGAATATATAAAGGTAAGCTAGGCTCTATAGTAAGCTACTATTAAAACCGACCTATATCTTATTATTAATAAGAAAAGGTAAGGACTAACTAATAAAAACCTTTAAAGGAAAGGTATTATATACTAGTCCCTTAGTATAAAGCTAGTACTTAACCTTACTATCTCCTTAGATTAAATATCGGTTTAATAGGTAACTAAATAAGCTAGCTACTAAATATACTTAAATATATTATATAGACTAGCTACTATATATTATTAAACGTATTAAATATAGACTAGCTACCGGTCTTATAAGTTAAAGTAAAAGTAGTAATAACTATTTATATTCTTCTCTACTTACTTAAGATCTAATAGGTTCTCTATCTTCTATATATACTATAGTAAGCGTAAGACCTTACTTAGGGCTTTAACTAAGTAATATCTTAACCTTATAATTATATAATATTAATATAGTATATTTAGCGATATTTCTTAGTACTTTCCCTAGGTAAGTATAGGTATTTCCCTATAATATCCCTACTATAATCTTATAGTAACTTCTTAGGGAAATATTAGTATAATCCTTAAGAAGCTATTATTACTTAGGAAATCTTAGTATATTCCTTATATATTATATCTATAAGGGGAAGTCTCTATAAAATATCTATATAATCTACTAGGTTATTATTTCTAGGATTAATAGGTGATTTCCTAGAGTTTACCTAGTAGCTTCTAGGTTCCTTCTTCCGCGGGGAGCCTTAGGGAGTTAGTAAAGACTTCCTTAAAGAAGTAGATATTATTATAGGTACCTAGATTATTAATTATAGGGTGTCCCGTAATATTAAGGGTATAGATATAGGTCCTTTAATAGTAAATTAGCGTAAAGTACTTATTTATCGCTAAAGTAGCTTTTAGTAGGGTCTTATAAAAAGGTAATATATCCTTTTAATTATAAACTACCTTACTAATTAAGTATATAATATTAAAGTCCTTATAAGTAAAGGCACTAAGTATATCCTTTAATAGGTACTATTTAAAGAGCTTAAGAAAATAAATAGTTTATTATACTAAGTAGGCTCCTTTTTTATCCTTAGTTACTAGGTTATAGACTACTAAGTAAGTATAGTTATTAGATAAGGGTTAAAGAAAAAGGTTAGTATACTAGTAGTAGGTTTACTTAGCTATATATATTGCTTTTAGTATATCCTTATAAGGGAGGGACGCTAGTTAAGAGGCTATATTATATATAAGATTAAAGTATTTTAAAGGTAATAGAGATAGTCTTTAAATAGTTATTTTAGTAAAGGATATCCTAAATAAAAAGGCTTTTAATATCTAAGGTACTAAGAGAGTCTTCTTACTAGCGGGACTAGCTAAGGGAGAGGCTATTAATAATCTAGTACTTATAAAAGAAGAGTTCTTTTAAGCTTACTTTCCCTTTAAGGGAAACTTTTAAGTAGGTATTACTCTAGCTTAGATATAAGTAATATAAGGTAGGAGAAAAAAGTAAAGAGTTAAAGGAGCAGGTAAAGGGGCTAGTAAAACTAGACTTTAACTTATAGGCGCTATAAGTTATTAGTCGTACTACTAATAAATACTTAGTAGCTATATACGCGCGCTATATATAGATTAAGAGGTACTTTAAGCGCTAAGAATTTACTTAGGTTAGGTTAAAAGTAAATTACTTAATAGTATAGACTTATTCCTTTATATTCTATAAGGTTTACTAATATATAGAGTTTTTTTAGGTTTAGGTTTTATAAGAAATCCTCGCGATAGCTTTAAGTTACTAGCGTAAGAGGTATTATTTACTAAGAAAGTAGTTTTTATCGATTTCTAAAGTAGGTTCTAGAGACTACTCTATAAGCGGAATAATTAATCGATTATTAGGTAGTTCCTATTAATAGATATTAAGTAAGAGCGTTTATACTATATAGGGTAGATAGTATAGCGAATTAACTAAATAATTACTTATTAGTATATATAACTATAGGGGTTACTACTAGTACGTGCGACTATAGAGGTCGCTGCTAGTACTATAGCTATACCGTTACTAGTTAAGAAGAGGATCTTTTTAATAGTTCTATAAAAATAAAGAATATCTATAAAGGTAGGAATTACTATTAATTTAGTATACTAAGGGTTAGATATAAAGGTTATAAAAGGGATAGTTTATATTAAGGAGGACTACTATAGGCGCTGCTCTTATATATAGCGCCTTAGGGGTCCGGACTATCTTATATTTATATCCTTAGTAGGGGCTATAGTATATTTCCCTGCTATAGCTAATATAGGTAGCGTAGGGCTAGTCTTTATAGCGCTCTTCTTATATTAGTAATAGAGGGGAAGAAGGAGTATAAGGTAGGATTTTTAACGGAATTTATTAGTAGTATATTAGTATATAAAAGAGGTATTAAAGTTAATAATTCTATCTTTATTTACTAGCAGTTATACTACCTTATATAGATAATTATAGCTAAATAGAAGAACCTTTTAGGACTAGATTTAGGCTGCCGTATAGCTAAGAGGCTAAGAAATTTAGTAATACCTAGATTATAGCTAGATATATCTTAGTTCCGCTAATATTCGTGTTTAAAGGAGGTTAGTCGTGCTGGTATTCTTAAGATATCTTAGCTAGTATTCTAAGCTAGCTCTATTCCTTCGATTCCTAATTATATAATAACCGGTAACCCCTTTAATATATAATAATAATAAAAGTAACGAGCGATTCTTGCTCCATAAGATATGATTTTTTCTATAATTAATATACTACTTATTAGCTTATATAATCGGGAGAGTATATAATAGCTGCTTTATTATAGTAGGAAAACACCTTTCCTTATAAGAAGGCTTAGCGGAAAGTATCCCCTGTCTTATAAAGGATGGTGCAGGTATTGCCGGCATGCTCCTCAGGAGCTTTTCTCGGACGGTTATCGGGGAAGCATTGGGCAAGTAAGACTGGACTGTCTAGGGCCCTTAATCGCTGTTTGCAAGACGCATCCGTGGTTCCTTGCATTCGGAAGGATAGACGGTAAATATCCTTACGTTACTGCGCTTGGAACAGCTCGATCCGAGGTGGAGAGGGACAGCCATCTCGTATTGCAGTTATTTTGCGATGAAACGTTGGAATGGATTTGGTCTCGCCGGCAGTGGCTGGTGATGTATAAGGGTCAGAAGAGCTTGGAAACTGTGTAGAATGTAGGACTGTGAACATTGAATGGCACTATACATAACTGTTGTCTGCAGGCACGATGGATTGATAACGATCGATTTCAAACTCTGCCAACGGGAGAATTGCCTTTCTCGTGATATCGGCAGCCAGATAATCGACAGCACCGTTTGGCGGCTCTCAGGCTCGCTCAGTGCCCTGAGAGTATTAAAGAGCTGTTAAGCCTTGCGGCAGAAAATATTTCGGAACAGGGCATGAAATTTAGATGCTTGTGATGGCATTACTAAACAGGACGGAGCCTAACCACTATATATCACTGCTCCCCTGCTTGAACCTCAGCATGGTGCTCTTTGCACCATTCTCTCATGAGTTCTTTTTCCAGTCTTGACCTAGTATAAACAAAAATCACTCCACTGAGTGTCAGCTGCTGGTCACGAGGTGCGGCTGCATTAGACGAGTCATGACTGGAGGGATGGCTGGCCAACTGGACAGGCCCATGCAGCTCTGTGACAGAAGGTTCAGCCTCGGTCAGGAGACAAACGAATCAGTAGGTTATAAGGGCACGCATAGGGGCATGGAACTTTCCGGACATCAGCCAGTCTTGCTGTGGCGCTCAACATATCAGGACCGCATGTTGCTCGACCAGGAAAGTAGAGCCGTCGGCTGGATCATGACTTGAAGGCGATGCTTTCAGAGCCCTTGCCATTTTTCCACATACATTAAACCGATGCACCGCGATGGCAGTGTTGTTACGACTGACTTAGAGCGGTCGGTTTGGGCAAGTGATGGTAGTTGTTATCTCAGCCGATGGAACAACTTGTGGGTACTCAGACGAGTTTGTTGACTTCTGGGGGAAGAGGGCCATGAGATTAGCGGCCCAGCCTTTATGCCTTGGGAACAGAAAGCCATAGGTGATGCCTGGCGCGTGCTTGTACTTTTATTATTGCGCATTCTATCCAGCAGTAACACATCTATTTCATTCAAGAAAAGCCTTGTAATTCAGCTCGACGTCAATTGCCACATTCGATCAGGATAGACGGCGAAGGCGGCTGCAAATAAATCGTCCGACCCATTACTTCCCTGAGAGAAAAATTGGGGCTAGGAGCCCCAAGTAACCGTCCTCAACCTTTCCTGCAAAGCCTACCAAGTTACCATCCCCTAACTCCAACTGGCTCGATTTCCCCTCGCTCCCACCAACATCGACCGTCCGACCGAAAATCGTTGTAAATTTAATCCGGTATATGTATAGGTTGTCGCTCCAGATATTCATATCCGTGATAGATTCATCATTCTTGAGATCAAAGGTGAAGGATTCAAGCTGCGCGAAGTATGTATCATTAACTCCATACCCCCGGGTTGATGTGTCATCTTCCCAGGTGATTTTCATCCCTCTCAGGATGACTGGGTAGTCACCGGTAGGCTTAATCTTCCCATAAAATATGTCAATCTTCAAGATTCGCTGTTCGGCGTCGGCTTTACAGGCCCAAAATGTTATCGGTCCCGGCGACCCCCCGGCCAATGCGTTGTTTACGACAATAGATTCAGAGTGATCCTTGAATTTAAGCATCGATGGGTGCAGAATGGTTATTCCATGACCGCGGCATTGGTCGAAAGTACCGGCGTAACATCCGTCGAAAGACCTCAGAAAGCCGCTACCGACATCCATTATGTACTCATTGGTATCCTCTGTAGGGCCAGCTGCAAGTGACTGTCCCTTGTCTGTGTCGATTTCAATCCGTTTTACTTGCGGGGTGATATCAGAAGAAGATGAAAGGGAAAACCTAATGATTCTCTCGTCGGGCTCAAGCTCCAAGGTGTACTTGTCACCTTCCGTAGAGCCATAGGTAATCATGGGCATCCCATCATATGTGACCGAAATACCGCAAAGGCCCTCCGGCTCGGGATGGCTTCCGTCACTGTACCCAATCCACACGTCGAGTTTCCGGACTGCCTGATTTCCGTGTAATTCGGGCATAGGGAACTTATTGCTAGTCCCACCACCATAGCCAACCGAGACATTGGGCACAATTGGGTCAGCAGACATGGTTGCTGATATAGCGAAGAGAGTATGCAATTAGGGGTCGATTAAATAGGCGACCAATGTCCGATTGATGTGATGTGTGTTCACGTGCGTGTGTTGTTGATCTTGTTCTGACCTCTTTCTACTTTCTTCGCCCGACCAAGACCGCTTGTTTATACCCTTTTCCCACCTCATTAATATCCTGATTTCCCAATCATCCACGGAACTTTTCCCAACCCCACTTTCTTCCTGCCCAATCTTTCTGCACCTAGTAATCTCCGTACCTCCCTTTAGCTATGATCTTCGGTATCTCTGCCGGGACCCCCGGCCCGCATTGACTTGGATGCAGCCAAGAACTAAACTGACTCAGAGACTTCGATCTAGACCCGCCTTCGCAACAGTTGAAGTTATCTCCTGGGCCGAGAAAAGCGAGGAATTGAGCTGAAACTGGGGATAGATATACGAAGCTGAGAGTACTTTGTGCCTGGAGACTTATTGGCCCCTGATAACGAACTGCGGACTGAAAGTAGCTTAAGGCACTGTAAGGCATATAGATTGAAATAGATACGTAGGTTGGTTGGTATGAAAGTAACACCAGATGGTTTCAATCCTAGGCGGCACACTGCTAGCTAGTTTCACGGTCTTCTCCGTACTGTAAAATCAATTAGAGAGTAGAATAGCCCTGGCTCGTGTATTCATATTGCCTATTCTCACGTTTCCCTGCCGTAGGAGCTAATCCGTGGCATGTTTATTACATATATTAGTCCATCTTCATGCAACGCAACCTACAGCGGAAGGGTAAATGAGCGTTATGTATACAAGTCACAGGATGTCGTAGAAAGATCATACCGGCTGAATATACAATCATTAGTAAATTAATTTAAGCATTTAATAGGGTAATGCAAAACTGTGCTCCGCGTCTTATCTCGGCATTCTTGTTAATGTCTTCTGTTCGCTATTCCGAGCCGGTTGTCGAAATGTCCTCATCGAAGTCGCGTTGACATAAACCGGAAGGTAGACTACATATGTAATTTAACCGAATACGAAGTACCTAGTACTCATAATCTATCCCGTTGTCCCTCCATGCAACTGTATATTGTGGCTGTGGACATGCAATGATACAACGGTTCGCAGGTGACAGCTGCAGCTGGACACATTGGTTACAATTCATTAATGAAGTGGCCAGCAGATATCAGCTGACACTATCTGATGGACTCGGAGAGACCGCAGTAATATATCCAAGCAGGTTCAGCTGCGATGCGGCAATGACTTCACCCGCGTTCTGCTAGCCATGCGCATGCACCTGCGAGGTTCAGCTGGCTCATTGCATTACATTGCAGTAGGGCCTTGCCACACCTCGGACGGCTTATTAACCTCTCTGGGTTCCCGACGGTACGAGTCGACGCTCGTAGACTCGTTGAAGTCTCTCAAGAGAAGTCAACATAAATATGTCACGAGAGTCGGCCATGGAGAAGCTCCTAAGCACGGGGCAGCTCAAGAGTTCATGTAGCAGCATTTTCACCGCGTGGTGAGTAAATTACAGAAACCCTCATAGATCTCTCCTCGTTTCGAAATTTTGTTGGGTCAAGCCCCTCTTATACCGATCTTTGATCTAAATCACGATGGATTCGACGACCATGGAATCGTATGGAACCATTTTCTCTGCAAATTATGCCGGATGGTTACTGACTCACCGCAAAGTCCCATTTTTGAAGGAAAACCAGTTACTCTTGTCAACGATAAGAAAGCAAATGAATTGTGGGCAAAATCTGGCCCGTGTGGCACAATGTTCATCTCCCCATTTCGACGCGTCAAACCGGCCGAGCAACTTAGTGTCGACCCGGGAGAGACCCGAGAGCGACAACCCTTAGGTAGCGATACTCCCAATGACCCTTTCGCCCAGGCTTTCGTGAGGTTTCCGGGGCAGCGACATGCTAACGACTTCTTCGAATAAATACAGGATTTGAATACGATGAGCATCGACTGCTGGGAGACCAGATCACTCTCACGCTTGAAAGCGGGGAAAAGCCTCATGCTGGTTCCGTTCCTCTCCTGTCGCTATTTGGTAAGCTCTCTTTGACCTATGGCCAAATCTGCGCCCTGGCCGGGGACTTCTATGGCACCGACAAGCCCATCAGCGACGGGAACAGTGATTCAGACCGTTGCAATCGCTTCATTGCTGCATTTGATACACTTGCAAACAATCCTCACGACCAGCCACAGGATGCCGGGGCGCTGCTCGACTTTTTGCAAACGGAGGTCGACGCCGTCAATGCTGCCGTCAGCCAGGGCAAAGATCCATCAGAGGCATATGCGAACGCCGGGTTCTGGGATCCGGTTAAACTGGACTTCAAGACCAAGGACCGAAGGCCGGGCTTCCCCGGATATTTAGCTCTTGCAGCAATCAACTGGGATCATTTTGGAGAAGACGCCCGGACAGTGTATAATGTTGGCCATGCAGCTGCCATCAAACACGCTGCGACAACCGGGGACTTGCTTCGAGCCTATGCCTTGAATGCATTCGCCGACCATTTCCTGGAAGACTGCTTTTCTGCTGGTCATCTGCGAACTCCACGACGCCCATTGCATGGCTTGGCTCACGCGAGAGACCTCTGTGCCAAGGTATCAAATATTCTTTACTCTGGGGTCCAGCTGGCATAAGCTAAAACTTGGTATAGTACATGCACGACGAGGATTGCGCCCTCGGAATCGATGTGCAGAGCCAAGAAGGTCAAAAGTGGACAGTCTTTGGCGACAAGCGCCTTTTGGACAAGATCAACCACGACAACCTCGTTCGCGTCTCTACGGCTGTGCAGACTTCGGCGGATGAGGTCTATCAAGCATGGTCCACAAAGAAGGAAATCCCAGCGGCTGACTTCAAGGTATGGGATCAGGCACCTACGGTAGAATCAGCGCGGGGCCCACAGACCCTGGCTCCCTTGTTTACGTTCCCTGCGAGTAGCGAACTGGCCGACGTCAAACGGAGATCGACGTTGAAGAACAGGAGAGAATGGAAGTTTGACAAGAATTGGCTGACTGCAGTCACGGTGGCCAAGATAGCTGCCAGTGGCTACTGGAAGTATCCCATGTCTATGGACCCTTGATAGTGCTATCCAAAGCCGGGGCCGATAGGGTTTCAAGCCACTAAAGTCAATTAGCTACCTACGCAGGTTGGGGGTGTTTTTATGCGTCTAGAGGACTCGTAAATGGCTATCAAAGTGCTCTTGGATGCTATTAATACCAACAGAGGTTAGGACTAGAAGAAAGCGAGCCCTAGTAACTCTCCGTCTGTATTTCTGTGTGCTCTCGGAACGCCACACTGTTGACTGGGTAATAAGCCCCCCTGCAAATGGGAGCTAATAAACGCTATTTTATTCCCAGCGGAGGACCGCAACACTAAACTACTTACAGATCCTCCATTTCTGCTATCAACAGGCCTGCTTAAAGGCCAATTCCCTTAAGTATTTAGCGTCCTACTCTTAGTAGCGACGCCTAGTCTATTGATGAGAGGCTGCGTGAGGTTAGTACTGTATTATATACCCTGTTCTGTTGGTGTTATATACCACTAGTCTATATCTAGTCTCCTAGTTACTATTATAAATTCAATTGCAGTATATACTGCTAATAGGTATGGCTTCTACCTATTGCTACGTAATATTAACTTCCCTCCCGGGAATAATAATACTAGACCCGCTTATAATTGATCGTATTTGTGAGGAAACCACTAGGCTGTGCAGGCAAAAGTGAAGCGACACTCCAACAGATGACCTGGTAGTAGACCCTATATGCCATGGAGGCGTTGGTGAGAGCTGACAGTATTGCATACTCTTGGTGGCAGAGCAGATGGCGTTTGAAAGAAACTGCAAAATATCGCCGGCGATCCTTGGAGTCGGAATCGTAAAGGTCTATGACTGCATGCGGTGCGGGGTAAGGACCAGAAAAGGTACGCTGTAGTAACTGGAGGTGCAACTTGGTCCAAGGCAGAGGCTCAACGATGATTCGGGATCGAGGGTAGCGGTGGGCTCTTTGTTGGATAGAAAGGGAATCAACGCCGTCGGTCGTGCGCGTAGTTGGTTTGACGTCGGGTCGCTGAGTTGGGGGGGGGCGGCTCCATCGCTTGACGAGGCGAGGCTGGCTATAGCAGCGGTCGGCTTTGAAGATTGGGGAGGGGGATGATGCCGCCACACGGTTGCAACGGGGCAGCTGGAGAGAAGAGAAAAGGGAGGAAACAAGTCTGGATCATGAGTCAACAGGAGGGGGATAGGGGCCGGCTCCTTTATACGGCGCTGAGCAGCAGAGGGGCGCAGGCGTTCCGGGGTGCCACCATTCCCGATAGGTGCAACGGTGTGTTCCAGACCATAAGAGGTTCGACCAAGCTGCCTCATAGATGCACATATCACGGCTTCTATTCAGGGAACCGTATGTATCTAGTCGGCCATCATGACCAGGTCTTTGAGCTGCTATTTGTTGGATCTGGTGGCGAGACTGACCACGCACTATACTTTCACCCTATTGCCTTACATGACTCATGGCCGCGACCATTGACGGCCGACGGTGCCCCGGCCGCGCAAAAGCTGTGGCAGCCCAGACCATAGTTCTGACGACCTTGATCCGTGGTCAAGCCTTAGCAGCCGCCCTAATACGAACAAGCTTGGCATCCTCCACAGGGTCGAGTACGACGCTGCGCGCGTTTGGTTAGCGGCGCGGCAGTTGCCGAAAGGGACACAAAAGGGCAACGCCCGCGTGACCTTGACCATCGCCTCGCTGCGTCGCCGGAACTCTTTTCTTGGTCCAGTCTGTTTCCGTTTTATACAATTATTGGTGGTGAGTCGTCGAGAGCCAGTCGCATCTCGAGATGTTAACTCGATATGTTGTCAAGTATCAGTTAACGAACCAATTGTAGCATAACTTGGGAGAAACTGGGGCGGGACTAGCCGCTATAACACGAGAGTTGATATGCTCGGCAAATGACAGCCTTCGGTTTGCCATTTCTCTTTCAAATGGGCAAGGGGCAATCCCCTCAACCCGGCCATCCAAACCAATAAAACATCCACTCGTGGGCAAGCCCGGCCAATCAGCAAGATACCCGTCGCAAGCCCAGCGTAGCGTCCATGGCCACCCATGCCGTCAACATGGGGCAGGGTTCAGGACATTGGTTCGGGCCCTTCGACAAGGCTACAAAATTCACAGCTCAGGAGAAAAGGGGCAGGATTGGTTGCCGTTTCGAGGCATTTTCCCCGGCTGTTCAACGGGCAAAGTCATCGAACCCCGCGATTTTACTTGATATGGATCTGGGGTCCGACTGGGGAAGCCATGCTACCGTGACCACAGGAATAGGCCCGACGGTGGATGACATTGAAAAGACTCGGCGGAGTATACGAAGAAGTTAAAGACTGGAATTTAAACGCGTCCTCTGAAACTCGTTTCTCGTTGGCTTGTGCCCTCAGTTCATCAATTGCTCTTCATACGTCTTCCCCATTGCTACTGGCGACGCGACCGACCATGTATATCAACGGTGGCGGCTTCGTCGCGCTGGCCGCTTCTGCCGGACACGTGCTCCTCTTGGTACACCGAGCCGCAGCCAAAGACGCACTTCCCGACCTCACCTGCCCCCAGCTCCAACAGTTTATCTGCCTGGTGGGCATGACCAAAGAGATCTGCGAGGTTCGAAATTGGGAACTGGCGGTAAGATACACTCTCCCATTGCATGACCCAGATGACTTTGCTTTCAAAATCTCACAACTGCAACATCGTCAAAGTCGTACATGAAGCTTACGGCCGGACGCAGGGCTGCCGACGCGTGAGTACATATTCACGGCTCTGTCCTTCAGGCCACGTTCAATAACATCCCGCGCAGAGAGAAATATGTGAAAAAGACCACAGTGACCTGGATCCGGCAGAGTGTTGCAGACAACGAGACCCCACGCCCCTGGTACGCCAATCATCCATTACACCAGATGAAGAGGCAACAGTGCCCCCGAGTGCTTCGTACTGACACTGGCAAAGAACAAGTCTGAGCACTTTGCCTACATGAAACAGTGTGCGCCGGGGTCCTCGCCGGGCGATCCAGGCGCCTCGGAGTTGGAGTGCTCTGCCCTTGAACATTTCACATGCAGCTTCTGGATGCAGAGGGATTATTGCCACTTGCTTCAGCGCGAGGATGAGGTGAGTCTCTCACGTTAGAGACCTTGGGTGACCCGGACGGGGCATGACTTACCGGTTACACTGTATGCAGGGCTGCCAAAATGTAAGTGGTATGGCCCTAGGCTGATGCCCGAAAAACAAAGAAACTTGACATTGAAGCGTATAGGAAAAGGAATGTACGTCGACAGAGTACCCTTCAATGTGCTGCACGGCTAAGAGTTCTGAAACAAGGGTAAGTGAAATTCGCGTCATTGGTCTTCGACAACACACTCTCATGCAACAAGTGCTGAGACTTGACAGACTCGACGGCCCGCCGACGAATACATGCGGAAATGCCATCCCTCGAGCGCCAAAGGACTCGCCACCCACTGTGAGCGGGTGGCCACGCAGGCGGACTGGTGTGAAAAGACATTCCGCGCCTGGGTGAGCCAGCATGACCTCGGCTCGTTTTGCCGCGACGGGGACTGTACCCAGTGGTGGAAGCGGATGGACCTGGGCCACTGGGTGCGAGACGCAAAGCTCCCGCGCCACTGGGACGAAGAGCCGCAGACCAAGGAGGGCCGCGAGGATCTGAACAGGCGGCGGGAACGCGCGTTTGCCATGACGGCGAGGGAGTGGCGCGTAATGTGTGCGAGGGCGACTGGAGAAAGGGAGCTGTGCAAGGTGAGTCTTTGCTAGCGACGTGAAACGAACTTAGTGCTTCTACACGTACATTCTCGAGACGGACGATGCTAACACCCTAGTTATGAACCAGGCTGACCCAAAGCGAGATCTCAGCCTGATGAGCACCCCGGACTGGATGCGGCGCATGGCGCTCACGCTAGAAGAAGACGTCGAAGCCGGCAAGAAGCTCGACGACTCGCCGGCGCAGTACGCATACGCTGCCAAGCCGACGAGCGAGAGCGGCGCCGACAGCTGGCCCAAGCTGGAGAAGGCAGCGGCGGACGCGTGGCGGAACCGGCTGCTCAAGCTCGAGGAGCTGGCCGTGTACCGGCCGCCGAGCGAGGACTACTCGGGGCTCAACTGGCACGATCCGGTGTGGGAGGCATGGAAATCGACGGCGCTAAACATGACGCGGGCGTAATGAAGGATGTCGAGGCCGGGGGAAGGGCGTGGAGCGGTATATACGAACGGGCACTGAGTCGACTGAACAGGATGGCTTGTGAAAATATTTTTATATACACTAGACTCCAGACTGAGGTATAGCCCCTAAGATATTGTGAAAGGCTGGCCCGGAGTTTATTCAACAAGCAGGTGCCTAGGTGTTGTCTATCTAGAGCTAAGGAGGAAAAGAAGCTGAACTCGAGGCGTAGCCTCGAGTGCGAGCTTATATTGCCCTTCTCGGAATGTTCTCGCAGCTTCTGGGTCCGCGGAGCGGGCCGGTGTTGCCACCGGAGCACGACCCACCGGACCCGGTACAACCGGGTTCACCAGCCGGGCACAGCCCGTGACATTACCCCTTGTCCCCTCCGACCAGGTCGGCGTCTGCGGGTTCTTGCGTTCCTGCCAGCGTCTCGTACTCTCCCTAGGGCCATCATTGGTCTTGATTGGCCCGTACTTGTCCTCGAATGCCTTCATCGCAATTGTTCCTTGCAACCACTCAACTGGCTCCCAAGTCGGCTCTGCGTAGCCCGTCCATCGCACTAGTGCTTGCCTGAATTCCTCGTCCGCGCTTCTTCCATCTCGCGCAGAGGATCTCGTCGACATCCCACAGATCCGTGCCGGACTCATCTTGTACCGGTGGTGGCTGTGCGTCATCTACCTTTGGCCAGGAGCCGGATCTTGATGCGCCCGCCGCAAAGGTCAACATGAAATCGCGGGTAAATTGAGCCACGAACATCGAGCTCAACAACGTGCGAACTAATTACCTTCGTGACTGTGTACTTGTGATGCAGCCAGTCGAGCTTCTTGCACGGTCGTGGCGATCTGTAGTTTGCCATCGAGAGCCACACCTTGTCACCAACTTCAAATCGCTCCGCAGGCTGTCGCTTTGCGTTGGCAGCCTCTTCTTGTTGTTGCTGTGAGGAGGCCATCACTGCTTGCATGTACTCATTGACCTCCTGCAGGCGACTGAGTAGGCTATCAGCTCTGCTTTCACATGCTCAGCGAAAAGGGGCTGATCTTGGTCGCTGCGGATTCACGATTGTTGAGTGCCAGCTGCGCGGCAGGGAGCAGTTCTCCCAGTCGTCCTGCACGTACGACACGTAGGCTCTCAGGTAGGCCTCGATCTCCTGGTTCATTCTCTCTGGCCCTCCGTCCGTCTGAGGATGATAGGCCGTGCTCAATTTCTGCGTGACACCTGCAAGACGGCAGAACCTCTTCCAGAACCTACTTAGCCAGTTGCTCCCGCGGTCGCTGACGATGGACCGTGGCATTCCGTGAAATCGGTAATGACACTGGAGAAAACGGTTTGCACACGGCTCAGCTTCCATGTTGTCCATCACCTCGAGGGTCACAGCCTTTGTCAGTCTGTCCACAATCACCCACAGGTACCTTGCCTTGCTCGGTCCAGTAGGCGGCAGATCTGTGATGAAGTCCATGGACAAATGGCTTCGGGGTCGATCTGGAATCGGCAGAGGCTTGAGAAATCCCTTTCGACTGGCGCCAGATGTGTGCTCTGCCGCAGGTGTCGCAATTGGCTACGTACCGGCGAACCAGCTGGGACTGCCCAGGCCAGTAGAATCGCCGAGCCACAATAGCCAGCGTACCTTCCTGCCGGGATGACCGGTCGCAACAGAGTCATGCGACTGCTGCACAATGCGGGTTCTCAACTGGTCTTTCTCAGCTTCCTCCTGGTTACCCTCCTCTCCGGATCCACCCGGCACCCAAATACGGTCTCTGAATGTCAGCCTTTGCCTGCGTCGATCGCACATTCTGAAATCTGGATCTTCAGGCCCAGCGAGGGCGGGAAGGCACGCTCGCGATCGCGGACTGCCTTATAGGCTGCCCGGAATATCGAGTCCTTCGCCACCGTTTCGTCCCAGAGTTGCTGCAGGTCCGCTACCTCGAAGACCTTCATCTTCGGCAGGGTGGATGCCTCTGAACAGTCAGAACTCATCGCGTTGATACATGCTCTTGTCGATGATGGAATGGCACTATCCGGTATCAACTGTATCATTCTTCCTTGTTCCCGCTCGTCGTCGATGCCCTGTGGCTTGTCTTGTTCACGGCGGGACAACGCATCAGGCACGACAGCCTCGCTTCCCGGTCGATACTCGAGCTTGAAGTCGAACTGGGACAATTCGGCTGCCCAACGGCTCTGCCGTTCCGTGAGCTTCTGGCGTGTCATGAAATACCCAGGTTGCGGTGATCGGTAAGGATTGTAAATGGGCCGCAGCTCCTAAGTTCGGCGTTCCAGTTGTCGAGACATCTCATGATGGCAAGCATCTCCTTGTCGTGAATGGGATAGTTGTACTCCGCTGGCGAAAGTCGCTTCGAGAAGAAGGCGCATGCGTGTCGACGTCCATCTGGGCCTTCCTGCGACAGGACGCCTCCCAATGCGTAGCCTGAGCAATCCGTCTCCAAAAAGGTCGGGAGGCTCGGGTCCCACTGCTTGAGCACCGGTGACTCGCAAAATCGTCGCTTCAGCTCCTGAAACGCCTCGTTCTCCGCTCGTCCCCAATGAAAGGCAGTTCCTTTCTAAGCAGGGCATCCAGAGACTGCGTGATCTTGGCATAGTCGGGGATGAAGATCCGGTAATAGTTGGCGAAGCCCAGAAAGCTTCTGACACCCTTCACCGTGGTCGGGGCCTCCCATTCGCGGATGGCGCGCTGCTTTTCGGGGTCGCAGGCGATTCCTTTCCTGCGTTGACGATGAACCCAAGGTATTTGACCTCTTGTACCGAAAACTCGCACTTCGCTGGGTCTAGGTGCAGCCCAGCGTCGGCGAGTGCTTGGAGAACTCGTCGCACCTTAGCCTCATGATCCGCCTTCGAACCGCTCGAGTAGATCAGTACATCATCCAGGTACGCTGTGACAAAGTCGTCCAGCCATTCGCGCAATACACTGTTCATGTATCGTTGAATGATGCCGGGCGCCGCTCAGGCCGAAAGGGCACACGAGCCACTCGTAGAGCCCAAACCTCGTGCGAAATGCAGTCTTTCCTCATGTCCCGGAGCCATGCGGATCTTATGGAAAGCGGCCACCACGTCCAACTTGGTGAACCACTTAGCCTTGGCCAGATTCTGCAGGGTCTCCGCGATGAGGGGCAGTGGGTATCGGTCGCGCTTGGTGATTGCATTCAGCGCTCGGTAGTCGCAACAAAATCGCAGCCCTCCATTCGGCTTCCGCACGAACAGCACCGGCGCGGCAGCCGCTGAGCTACTCGCTCGGATGAATCCTCTGTCCAGCAGGTCTTTCAGGGTCTTTCGCAAGACCAACAGCTCTTCTCGTGACATGTTGTAGAGTGGGCCCCACGGAAGGGTGGCTCGTTGCCGTTCTTGTCAGGCTGCAGGTTGACTTCATGATCCACACCCGGTCGATGTGGCGGCAGCTTCATTGCCTCTCCTGGTGAGAATAGGTCGCGGAATTCTTTCAGCACTTCTGCCGGGACCTTCTCGCTCGGATCGACTGGCGGCTTCGGCTGAAGCGCCTCTCTATATCCGACAAACTGATTGCATGAATCGAGATCGCGTTGCACTTCTTGCGTCTCTTTGCGCGTCGACACTCCGCCGTGAATACGGCTGCCGACACGAGTCTTGCGCTTCGAATCGCGCGTATCTTGGCGGGCTCTTCCTGCCCAATGAGGCGTATCGTCACACCTGCCCTCCCATGGTACATTCGCTGCTTGGCAGCATCGTACACGACGTGATTTCTCTCCATCCAAGGCCGGCCGAGGAACATGTCCTGGCCCAGGCTTGGGATCACGTATGCAAAGACACGTTCGTCAAATCCAGCTGTCTCGACCACAACAGCCACGACCCTGGGGATATGACACTCTTCGCTGACTCTGAGAATCCCCAATTTCTCGTGGTTTCGAGTCGACGAAGGGTATCCGCAGCTTCCGAACAAGGGCTTCGTCGATCACGGCATAGCAGTCACATCCACAGTCGACAAGGGCGCGTATTCGATAGCCTCGGTTTACCCGCGCGTTGACTAATACAGTCCGACTATTCATTCGTGGCTTGAACGCTTCCCAGTCCCGGATGTCTGCCTTTGCAGGCCCCGGCGCCCGCTTTCGCCCCGGGGCTAGTCTTTTCCGCCGACTCGTCCTCACTGGATGCTGCGGTTGATTCCGAATCATCTGCGGCATCGGGCTTCTTCATGCGCGCAGCTTTAGGTCGCTGTTGCTTCCCTTCGCCAGGAAAGACCACCTGGGCTGGGCAGTCCACGATAAGATGATCCGTCCGACCACAGCGATAGCAGCGGCGCTCATCCTTCGGCTTCTTATCGACATGTCGACGACCCTTCGACTCGTGGCCAATACGGTTGATGTCCGTCATCTTAACATCTCCGTCGGGGTCCTCCGGTTCCTCCTGGGTCGTTGCCTTGGTAGCTGTTGAGGCGTCCGCTCAGTCGACGTCGGCTGCCTACCGGGTTTCAGTCTCCAATCTGCCCGCAATTTCCTGAACTCTCGCAAGCCATCCCTGGTAGTCGTCGGGTAGGACGGCTGTGACCAAACTCTCTTGGAGGCGTGCATTTATTGCGTTCTCTAGAAATACGATCTTTGCACTGTCCGGCCAGTCTGCTCCCCCGGCTTCAGCTAATGCCTGTTCGAATCGGGGAAGGAAGGACGCGAGAGGTTGGTCTTCGCGCTGCCGCATAGTTCTCAGCGTGGCAGCAGCGCGGGATTGGATGTTGCTGTCCTGGTAGGTTCGGTCGAGGTATCGCATGAACTCTTGGGGTCGTAGCTACCCCAGGGCCTCCCGCGGCGTAAAAGGTAGCGACCACTTGCTGTGGTCGCTCGTCCAAACATGAGTTGATGAGGTACCAAAGTTCGCGATTTCCACTGTAGTAGTGTGCATCAAGGTCCAGCTTGTCTCGCATCTGCCTGGCCCAGGCGGAGTAGCTCTTCCGTGAGCCGTCATACTTGGGTGGGTTGGGCAACGGTTTCCGCATTCCAGTACCGCAGGTTTTGGGAGGGCGTGCCCAAGCCAGGCGTGCTCGCCCAATCCTCGTGCCACTGGCGGCGATTGCAAGTCGGCGCTCTGCGGCTGCGCTCGCCCGAGTTGCTCCATCAGCAAGGAAAGTTGGTCCTGTAGAGGGCTGAGAGTCGCATTGACCGCTTCTTGAATGCGTTGGTCAATCCATTGCTGCTGGAGACTTGGGCTCTCACTCTGCTGGTCCATCCTGACGAGCAGTCTGCAGCTTGCGGTATTTAGAAGGAGCTCTAGATATGTGAAAGGCTGGCCCGGAGTTTATTCAACAAGCAGGTGCCTAGGTGTTGTCTATCTAGAGCTAAGGAGGAAAAGAAGCTGAACTCGAGGCGTAGCCTCGAGTGCGAGCTTATATTGCCCTTCTCGGAATGTTCTCGCAGCTTCTGGGTCCGCGGAGCGGGGCCGGTGTTGCCACCGGAGCACGACCCACCGGACCCGGTACAACCGGGTCCACCAGCCGGGCACAGCCCGTGACAGATATATTAGTTATGTCTAATAACAGCTAATGATGCTGTATGTCTACACGGGGACGCTTTCTCTTGCAGAGTAGCTAAGGGAGCTAGGATGTCGAAATTAGCGATGGATATAAGTTAATCCTCGCTCGCTCATAGAAGCTCTAGTGCTTTCTTTAGGGTATTTAGAGCCATCGTTGTAAAGTTTATCGGTGTTTAAGGGAGGTATGCATTTCGGAGGAAGACGCGCGAGCGCGACGCGTGTATTGGTTATCCGGTAGCTTTGCCATCCTATTGTAGGTAGCCCATTCCTAGTGACTCTGGCAGCCATGTCGACTGGTTTAACGGAAGAATGTGATTGTGGAAAGGCAATCAACCGCTTGGCAGGCTAAAATGAAACGCCCCAGCAGATGCATCCATTGGTCCGGTGTACAGTATATCCTCCTCTTGTGGGCACACCCCTTAACTTGATAGGCATCAACGCCTAGAAAGAACCTCCAGGCTAGGTAGTCTCTAGCAGGCTTCAATTTCAACTGTTCCGTCTTATTTGACAACCTCAGGCTATCTCTAGGTTTCGAACAAACAAGCGATTCCACAGTATCGGAAGACTCGGTTTAACATTGACCTATGTATGCCGCCCCCCTTTACCTTTCGCCGTGCTCTCGAACGTTTTAACCCTCTCCCCACTCGAGGGACCCGCAACCGGGCTCATGACTGTGCCAAGGCAATCAACCGCTTGATCAGGCAAAATCAGAATGGGTCAACAGATGCAACTATTAGTGCGGTATATATCCCTCCTAACAATTATCCATTCCATACGACGGTAACATGGCCTTGCTTACTACACACAAACTACAGCACTCATAACGCGTAGATACATATAGAGATGAAGAGAAGCTGCGTGGATTCGCACCGCCTTTTGTAAAGTAGACGTGTTCATAATTCGCAACCTTTCCTATTCAAGTTTTCCTATCAGCATACAGATTCGTTTGCGGGATAAGTTAGTCATGGCGGTGGCGACGAAGGAGGAAACAGCGACCTTGATACTCGAACTCAACACCGCGCGGGACCTAGTTTCGCTACGGGCAACGGTAAAACGCATCTTCAAGCAGCAGCCACCGCCCCCGTCGACCAATGTTAGTCCCCTTTTGATGGTAGCGTTGCGTGTGGTTGAGCTGACGTGCGAGTCGGTGAACCGTCTACTCGCACGACACAAAGGCCAGACTAGTGGTGCAGTCTTAGACACTGGGATATATCGCCCTTGTCGAGGAGCCAGAAACCAGCATAGGCCGGTGCATGATGGAAGCAGTCTAGGCGAACTAACAACCATGATTGATATCGCCACCAGGCACCTGACGCAACTAGATGCGTTCAGCGGCTACGCCACTGTCGTCGCTGGGCTGGTCCAGGGGTCCTCGTTTGAGCACGAAAGCGATGATCTTGTTATACACCGATGTCTCCTGGCCTCGCATGCATTGGCCGAGGTATACATCAGAGCATTACAAGGCGGGCTCCCTGCCGCTGACTATGCGAATGTTGGCACGTCCGCCCGCTATCCGAAGGGCAATGTAAAGCAAGCGGTTGTGCGAACGGCGGGGGGGCCGATCCTTGGACACCACCAGATCATGACGCTCAACTGCGCCACGTGCTTCGACATTGGCATGCCCCCCCGATTGGCGTTTCTCTCGTACAAGGAGAACATGTGTTGGTTCAACGACTGGGCGACGGCGCACCGCGAAGACGGGGACGTCCTAGCCGCCGTGAATGCCTGCATGACTCTCGAGCGGTGCGCCGACGACTCGGAAACGCATGCAGGACAGGAGTTGTCGTGGCGGGCTCGCAACGAAGTCGGAGACCAATTGAGCCGATGGCTCGCCCAACTCGATGTTGACGGTAAGGAATCCAGCAACTCGTCCCTCGCCCATACAGGGGTGCTCTGCGCCCTCAACGATGGGTTGCGTAGGGTGTTAGTAGCGAGCGTATGTTACGGGTCCTACCACTTCTGGCCCACGCCGCGGCAAATGACGGCCGACGACTATGCCAGTTACCTTTGCGCCAGCATCGGCGGCATGGCGCGCGGCTGGGCCATCGACCACGACTCGGAAGCAGCCATCGGAGAGCACAACCTATTCAACTGGCTATGTCGGGGCTGCTCGGTGGCTGTAACACGTGAAGTCCTGTTCCCGGCCAGCGCTGCTGCCCCTCGTGAAGACGCCAACATGCGCATCGCTTGGGGCGCGCAGACCTATTTCTACTTTGGTCAGCGGCACCACGGCTTCGCACGACGGGTGGACAATCTTGCCCAGGGACATGGCACCTGTTCACACGGCCACATGCCGACCCGGGCCATCAGGCCGTCCTGCTCCCCCGTTGCGGCCGGGGATGGCGTCGGTGTTATCGTCACCAAACTCCTCGCCTTGTGTGGGGTCGAGCCCGCCCGCGGTTGCAGCGATGTTGATGATTTCGGCGAGGCAGAGTGGGACTGCGATTCTCAAATGTGTCCCATGTGTCAGTTTGATGGCAGTCGAGCGCAGCTGTTCATGGTGTCCGTCGGCGCGGCACGCTTGGCCATCAAGCTACCGAGCGAATACCGTATGTCGCTGGTAAACCTCATGGATACTTTTGGCTTCCGGCTCTTCCCCGCAATTCAAGCCCGGCTACTCGTGCTCTGTCCTTGCCTACCCAAGTGGGCTGCGAGCGTCATGAGCCATGGCTACGCAGAGGCGGGCACAAGGTGTGGCCAGAGCGACTGCTCGGCCCCAGTCCACGAACAAGGCTTCTTCACACGGCCGCTAGCCGACGAAGAGGTCCGATACGGCAATACATCGCTGAGAGAGTTGCTTCTGCGCCAAGCTCGGGTTGAGGCGACTGACTATGCCAACAAGACTGGACAAGCCGCGTGGCTTAACGTGGTTTCCCAACCGCTTAAAGCCTGACTTAGACAGCTGTTGTTCCTTGGATAGTTCTCATCAAATTGCCAGATGCCATCTCTGACCAATGGTAGGTATAGAGATGGCATGGGGACGATATCTATCAACATAATACGTTTCCAACCATGTGGGAGTGGCCTTGCATTAATTATTCTTCGCCGATAGGGATTGCCTCCACCATCTGTTGCAGCTCGAACAGCGTCGGTCGTTCATGCGACGCCTCGCGCATGCAAACATTGACGACTGCTTGGAGTGGCTCCGGAACTGGCCACTCAACTTGATTGATGATGGGCGCATTAGCATACACCATGCACTTAATGCAGTTGCCAATGTCATAGATGTCCGACCGCACAGTCCATCCAGAATCTAGTCCACCATTGAATGAGATTTCTGGGGCGGCGCGCTGGCCCCAGCGACTCTCAAGGTCGCAGACTACCAGGCGTTGCCATCCTCAGTGAATAGACAGTTGTCGATGCGGAGATCTCGGTGAACAATACCGTGGCTATGAAGACAAGCCAGCGCGTCGATAATGTGGAGAATCCATCGCTTGTAAGTCCGGAGAGATGAGAAGCGCGCCAGGATGGGCCCACGTGTAGCCAGCTTTTCGAAGACTAACAGCCCGTCGGAAGATATGCCGAGGAGACGAACGAGATGTGCAGAAAGAACTTGTCCAGGACATGATCCTCCTTGGCACTTCAGAATGTTCTCAATCTCGCTTTTATACTTGATTCTCTTGAGATGCTTCGACGTATCGACCTGAAGGAGTGGTGGCTGCTTGACAAGATGCCCGATATCCTCAAAGTCATCAGGAATAGGCTGAGGTAGGTCGGGGCATTCTTGGAGGTTGCGGAGGATGCCGCCGTCTATTTCAAAGTGGCCTTACACTGAAAGTAGATTACGTTCCAGGCGAGGAATTCGTCCCGATAACGTAGCCGGAATGTCAAAGAGTCGGACATATCGACCGAGTCCGGCACCATGGTCGTACCAGATGCCCATATATGGCCTTTCTCCATGTACAAACTCGGTATCGAGAGTAGGCTGGCCTGCAGGAGGGAATACGTTGAATCTCTGCCGCTTATCCTGATAATTGGCTCGTAGGCGAACGACTAGCTCGCTGAAGACGTGGCCAGTTTTCGGGGCCATCTTCAGGATTGCAGCGGATCTGATGTTGCGGTAGGTCTGACAAATGTGGCTTGGTTACTTAGCTTGGCCACAGTATACGTGCAAGGGCAGCGAAGAGATACGATGCGAGAGCAGCGAGAGAATTCATACGCCAGTAGTGAAACAAGACACCATACCTATAGGTACCCAGTAGTTTCCACATAGGCTCAAGAGCGGGAGTAAGTGAGGCTGGAATTAGACAAGGGAGGAGGTTATTGTGTCGCTAGAGGCGAGGAAGGTGGAAGAGAAGTTTCAAGTCGTAAGAACCGTGAAGAAGAGTCGCTGAAATATGGGCCGCTTTATGAAAGGTAGCAATTGTGTTTGTCGATTGAAGGAAGGACGAACTTTTTGCATGGGCGTTTTAGGTTTCTGCGTGTGCGCAGGCAGACTCACATTCGTGTCCTTGTTGCACGACGTTGCACGACATAAGGGATTTTCCGCCGGATCTGGTGATTACGGAGGCCGATAGGGCGCACTGGCGCAAAACGACCCCGGCACATTGGGGGCAGCGATCTGACGACTACCGGTAGCTGTCCGTAGATGTTTTGGTTTTGCGGGGGTGCTTTGAGGGCATCAACCTCTTTTTGCTGCCACTATCGCCCAACACAGAGGGCGCCATTAGTCAATAGATCTGGTGTGATTTCATTTCTATACATTAGTTCAATTTCGGCTTTTGATATACACTCATTTCCATATGGTTGGTCAAGTTCGTAATCAGGAGGCCACAAGGACAGGCTAGGCGCGCGTTTGTCGCGAACTTGTCCACAAACCCATGCTATTATTACGCGTGAGAAAAAATCCATGCTGATGCATCAGACCTCGTTCACGCTTTCTCCACTCCCAAAGCCACTGAAAAGCCCCGTCGTTTCTTCTCGTCATGCGGCCGAGGCGGGCAGGCGAATGGAGACGGCGCCGGCAACATGATTGCTGGCTTCTGCAATCGCCGAGTAGCCGGCGGTTCAAGACCCGTTTTGACTTATCCCTCCCTCCTTTGCCGCCTCCGACTCGGCAATCTGATGCTCCCTATAGGCCGGGCAAGGATTCGACTTGGCCCAGTAGTCGGAATGCATGGGGATCCGCCTCGGCAGGTTCAATAGGGCGCTCGGGATCTGGGCGCTGCATTCGCCTCGCTCGGGCCCCTCGCACTTGACGAAGGGCTCTACTGAGAATCTCTCCTGGAACCAGTACTCAGGGTAGACGTGCTGGAAGTTGAGCAGCGTCGACGGCATCACCGTGACCGGGTCGAAGCGGCTGGTGATGCGCGCAGTGACGCCGTTGCGCTGGCTGCTAACGTAGTCGGCAAAATGGCGGTCGCCCACGCGCGGAGATCCGTACGTATAGATGTCGCAAGCAATCTTTTGCCGGCGGAGGTAGGCCCCGGCAATCGTTGCGACAGCTCCGCCGAGCGAGTGGCCCGTCACGATGAGTCGGTAGTCTTTGTGCTTCTCCAGCAGGGCCCTGACCTTCTTGAACATCTCGCTCTGGATGTTTTCAAACGCCCGATAGAATCCATGGTGGACGAGACACTTGCGGCAAAGCCCCCGGGCCGGGATTTGCAGGTATCGTACGTCGGTGAAGAAGTCCCATACAGACGCCGTTCCGCGGAAGCTGACGACAATGTTTTGAAGAACGTGGGAGACGGCAATGTTGCCCGCAATGTAGTTTTCGATGGTGAACTCGTGTACTGTCTCGGCTCGGTCGAGGAACGTGCAGTCGGAATCCGTGGTATTGCAGAGAGTGTTGGGCGTGATCGAGTCAAAGTTGTATGGACAGTATGCCGCGTCCGAGAATGCAGCATAGGCCAGCATCAAGTACCCCTTTTCGCGGTCGCTGGTGAATCCTGCCGCAGCTGTGAGCGATGCTGCGAGCGTAGTCTACCCAGTCTCGGTAGACTCCTACTCGACGCCGGCATACGAGGACAGTACAGGAGTGGCAACCTCACGTACTTTGTGCAACAGGAGGACCAGCACATGCTGCCAGCCGCGCACAGGCTAGATCCATGATGACCCTTGTGATCTGCATTTCGTTCCGGTGCCTGGCTTCCACCGGCGCGAAACACCGGTAACTGACTGAAGAAAGAGGTTGCAACAACAATAGTACCTGCGCTGCGGTGGTCTAGGTTTCTCGGTGCGCTTAACTTTATATATAAACACTGCTGATTCCACGCGTGGCTGGGGACCAGAGGAAGTGTCCCCCTTGATACAGCCTCGAAGCATCATCGATGTTTATGTTGTTTTTCTTCGCCACGGAACTGACGCGTTGAGCTGGCCCACGACTTATCAACTTTGAGTCTGCTTGGTACGTTATGGGGCCATCTGCAAGCGCAGCGCCACTCGAGCATGGAATTTTGCGGACAGTTGGTTTGGAGAAGAGCTGGCTTCTGCGAAATGGCCGTGTAAAACGCCAGCCCCTCGACCAGGCAGGCTTGGTGTGCTCCAACAGATTCCACGGTGGTGCAACATAACGAAGAATGGGATGACATGTTGGCAAATCATAAACGAGATATTTGAAATAATGTCGTGGGCAAGAAAGAGCACAAGGGACGTGCTCTTCATGAAGCGCTACCCCCCGCGTATGAAGAGCAGAGGAGTTGGTTTTAGACTTCAAAACTAAGAATTTAACCTTGAGCCTTTTCAAGCCCACCGATGCAAACCGGAGGCGCCTTCCAGTGGCTGAAGTGCCATCTGCAATCACCAAACTCTTGTCGTGCATGGATGCACTGTTGACAGAACTTGGTGAGGAAGAGGCCGACCGGATGAGAGGAGGCATCAGCTCGAGATGGCTAAACATGGAGGGTTCAGTCGCTTCCCTCGCCGGCACTCGCGTCGCTTCCTCGCTAGTACGAGTCCCGGGTGTGTCAGTCCGTGTGTGCTCGCTCTCGCTCGTATAGCACTCACCATTGTTCGTTCATCACTCCCTCCCCGGTCGTTGTCAACACTCGTTCTCACTCGTGCGATCACTCGGCCAGCCTCGTTCCCTTACATGTTCTCCAGGTTCCCTCAGTTCAACTGCGCGTGGCGTGTCACTCCCGTTCATGCTCACTCCGTCGCCATGCACCTGCAAGTCGGGACTCCCATGTCACACAACCTGTGTCGTAACCCCAATGGCATACTTCAACCACCGTCTCCTGTCATCGGCGGAGCCTCGCACGGGCTCGCCAAGCTCGCGTAGGAGGGTATCTACCTGGCGAACTGGATACAGCAAGCACTCGGTCAGCCAGCAGAGCCAACAGGGATATGAGGGAGACACACCGTTGAAGGACCCCAAGTCGGACAGTTTCCGAGGAAAGCCCTCGATCGGTTCCCCAGTGGCAGCGTTGCAGAGAGGAGAGAGTTCGACACTCGAGTGGGTGACGATGCTATTCCGCATACGCGCCGTGAGGTTCTTGTTGCTGCAGCAAGTCCGGCCGGTTAGGTCCACGGGAGCTGCACTGGGTCAAGGGACACGGGTTTACTTTACGCACGAGACGGTCACCTTCCGGTCCAATGCCTCCATCCTCTCGCCCATATGGGTAAATCCGCGTCGCATATTTTGCTCCAGACGATCAAAGCGCTCCATGAGGGCCTGCATCATCTGCATGGTGTGAACTCGGCCATCCACGGCAGGTAGATTAGCACAGCGCTGAAGCTGGTCAGCTGCTCGCCTCAGGCCGTCGGCAGCTGCTTGAAAGTCGGGCGGATCAAGGGCCGCATCATGCTCCATGTCTGCTCCTCTCGGAAAGGAGGTCGGACTGCTGTGTCTGCGTAAGAGGTGACGTGTCTTGAGCCTTTACGTTTAACGCGTCGCCCCGGTAACAGCACGTGACCGATCCGCACGTGTGCTTTCATAAGCAGGACTACTAGGGTCTAGGGTAGGTAGGGCTATCTCTCGACTTGCTGCGTTGCCGCGGGGATATGTCTGTCTTTCTGCTTGAAAAGGTGAAGTGCATTTGATGCTCCGCTCAAAGGTAAGAATACAGGTACCTCCAAGTTTTCCCACTTGCATCTCCGCCCGTCGAGATTGAAGTAGGCACCCAGGGTGTGTTATTTCGTCTCTGACCTGTGACTCTTTCGAGTCCGGCATTGTTCGTCCGTCCTATGCATCGGTAGATACGTCGTTCGCTCTCGCCTGGCTGCTGGGTGTTCAAGCGGATCGGCATATCGAAACGAACTGGCCCCCGGGACTCTAGTCTGGCCAGCCGTACGAAATCTACAACATGTATGGTAGTAGGTCTACAGTAAAAACGACGGATTCAAGGTCTTAGACACCAACAACTACATCGCGTAATATGCGTTTCAGCTTGAAACAACTAGACCATTTGTAATTATGCCTCTAGAAGCTCCACGATCCTAGCATTCGCCTCATACATACACGAGGTATTACTACTAGAATTAGCATCACATCGCGCTATGCAACTCAAATTAAGATTCAAGACCTTTTTCTACCTAGGGCGTCTGCTGATCCTATTTAATTATAAGGGTCTTGGCCCAAATGGGCAAAAACAGCGTTACTGGACCCCTCCTGCCGCAGAAGCCAACAGTGTGCAGCAGCAGCAGCCCTAGTAGTGTAATAGATAGCAGCAGCATAGAGTCCCTCTACTATAATGGGGGACGAGGAGGTGGTAGATACAGGCAGCATAGAAGGGGAGGCAGCAGCTGTAGTAGAATAGTTAGCAGTAGTAGTAAGGGAGGCAGTAAGCATATTATTAATAAACTTACCAGTAGTAGAAGAGAAGTTAAAGAGGCCAGAAAGGCTATATAGTATTATATTTAAGCTGTTGGGCATAAAAGTTTACCTGCAAACAAGCAGTAATATATAATAAAAGGCAGAAAGCTTATAATTATTATTATTACTGCTAGTAGTAGTAGTAATAATAGTATCAACAGGAAATACATATTAAAGGGTATAAACTGCAGGTGGTTTACTTACCCTTAGGCATGCAGCTGACAAGACATCCTATTTTGACAGGGACAAGAGCATACACCTAAAGCATATGCAGCATACAGCTAACTCTCTAAGACTTCTTCCGGTCCTTATCTTAACTGCTTCGGCTGGCGTCGACAGTTATATCGGCCTAGCATGCACAAGTCGAGCACGCGCGTCGGAACTACAGCACTAGCATAATGTTATCCCTAAAGCTTGTCTTAAATCAATGGTAAACCCCTCTAGATTAATCGCTAAAAACTTTTAGGGCGGTGTTGACCTTGTGATGCTTGCTTTAGTATATGGAGAGAGGGTTGGCCGAAAGAGCGACGGAACGCTTTCTGACTAGCTAAGGCATTGAGGCTCGCGGCGAGCAAAACCCGGATTCTCGGGACTAACTTAGCGATGGTTACTTGTGAAACCCTATAAAGGTGGTTTAAGTGGTCAGGTGTGCAAGGCGTGTATGCCTATGTAAAAAATTACCGCCGCTCTCCTAGTATTCGCCCGCAGTTACATGGACCGGTATTCGTTTGTTTACCCCGCCCAGCGGGCTCCGGGGGGGGAGAGGGGGAAGAGAATGAAGCAGTAGATAGTACTGGCCGGAGTAAAAACACGGAATAGGGGCAGCTAACTCCCACAACCGAAACAAGGGCGCTTACCGACGGCCATCGGCATGGTTCAATTTTTGTCCCTGAATATTGCGACTGTGGTCTGGATGATCGCGATATAGAAGCCGTATATAGCACTGGCCGGACTAAAACTTGGGATAGGGGCAGTATATTGCTATCCGGGGATTGCCGCCGAGCTGAGATAGCTCCGGCTAAGGGATCGCGATCTCTCCTTGGACCTGACACCGTAATTCCAATCAGAGTTTCCCACATTCGAATCAGGGGCGCTTACCGGAGGATACCTATCGGCATGATTCGTTTTTTGTCTCTGACTATGGTCTGAATGATCGCGATCTAGGTCCTTAGGGGCGTGACATTTAGGGACCCTCTAACTATAAGACCAACTGGATATCTGCTTCGGTCGACTTCATAGCATCACAGTCCAGACTCTACTCTGTGATCTCTTTACTTATCACCTTATTCGAATTCACCTTCTACATTTTGGCCATATTTTGCCGAGAGTGTAGCTCCTGTCCGTCTCTCAAACACATTTACAAGATGCCACGGAACCACCAAGCACCCGACCTTGCGGCAGCTCTTGCCCGGAGCCTGGTTGGAAAAAATTATAGCATCCCGGACCTGAACGCGCTTCTCGGTGGATGGCCAGCCGGGATAAATGAGCATTTGGAGAGACTCCGTCCCGTTGTTGACCAGATGCTCGAGAGGTGATCTTCATAGCCGTGAATAGGATCAACATTCTAACCCGGACTTAGTATTATCGCTAATAAAAAGATCCTACCTGGCCTTAAGAGATGCGACTTTGCCCTGCTTACCTCACTGTAAGTAAGACTAATGTCAATTCCCTGTCTTATTTCCCTTCTCAACCGCTGATTGGTATGCGCTAGCTTATACCCTAGAGCCGCTTGGACTGAGCTCGAAGTAGCCGCCGCTTTTATGGTCTGGATCTTTGTTTGGGATGATGGAATTGATGAGGGTGACTCTGAAGTGGCGACGCATGAGCAATGTGCCCGCATATACTGCAATCAATCTACCGCTTATGCTCGCTGGGCATTGGGGCTTGCTAGAAACACCAACAAGCAGCACGGCATTTTATGCCAGAGCGAAGAGCCACAGTGCTCCGTCCCGACTATGTCTCTCTTCCACCGAATGTGTTCCGGATTATATCTGAAGATAGATAAAGGTAAGTACCTAGGTCTATTGGTTGGCATCGGCCCTAACTCATGGTTGGTTAAATCCTCAGTTCAACGACAGCGGATGTTTCAGGAAACCGAGTCTTACATGGCCTCCACCATGATTGAGCAGTCAAACCGGCAATCTCAACAGGTTCCAACGCCGGAGCAGTATTTCGACATGCGCCTAGTAACGTCTGGGATCTACCCTGCTCTTGCCCTTTTTGAGTGAGTCTGCACCGGTCAAACGTTTGTTGCCTGTGCATAGCTTATAGATGCAGCTACATAGCAGGGGTGAGGCTCCCTGAGTCGATTATGGAGTCTAACTCTATGAAATCCCTCTGGAGGGAAACGACCATCCTCTGCATGCTGTAGGTCCAATCGACATATAGACATGGAATATGCAATTGACACTTCCTTTAGAGTCAACGATATTTACTCATTTAAGAAGGAGCTGGTAAGGCCGATAAGGGATTGGCATTTGGCCTATTGCACACAATTATGCTAATTATTATACTTAGGCGTCTGGTTCGGTATTGAACATGATCCCAGTTCTATTTAACGCTAGAGTCACCGACGACCTAAATGAAACTATGGGGGTTCTCGTGAATATTATGCATAACTCGAGCATCGCGTTCGGCAAAGCAGCTGAAGAACTTGCTGAGCTAGCGAGCGTCGCAAGATTAGAAGCAGAGGTTGAAACTTACATCGATGTCTGCCGCACAGTTGTGACAGGATTGAACAAGTGGGCTTTGACAACAAAGAGGTATAGCATGGAGAAATATCAACGCAAAGACGGTTCCATCATCATCGCCCTGTAAAGAAACCTTTGGCCCAGGGCCTAGTCGCCTGCAGATGCAAGGAATACAACCCAACAGGCAAGCAAAATTGGTAGAATGGAATTGATGGCCACCCGGCTTTGGACCAAGTGTCTCGGAGATATCGCAAGAACTTCTTCTGCGCAAATAGATCCGCACCAGTGAACGCAAAAATGGACATGATGCCGACAGCTCCTCATCGAGTTGGACGACGCAACAACAGGCCCCGTCGAGTTCAGAAACAAGCAAGTGTCCTCCCTCTCGATATTCTAGTGCATCTAGACCTCCAAGTTTCCTTATGCAGATGGAACTGCAGGAACAAGAAAGAAGCGCTCAAAGAAGCAAGCAAGTTCACATGTCGTTTGGGCAGGACCTGGCAAAGGCTTGTGCTGCATTGTGGGTCTGCACAGCTGATGCAAGACTGCCTACGACGGCTGGATGCGTCTCGATTCTGACTTGTAGTTGGCTGGTGCTTATTGCGTGCATGATGTCGAGTGCGGATGGTATACATGTGATCTGCAAGCCAAAACGCCCCCCCCCCCAGCGTATGCCGGTCGTCACCCGGGCCGCCGGACTTCTGCTGAAACATGGTTCCGGCTCGCCTCCCGTTGCTCCAACGGGCCCGGATTGACAGTGGATGTGCATGGCTTCAAGCTTCGGTTGGCCCGCCCGCTCCTCGAGCCCAGGCGCCAAGGTTCAAGGACTCGGAGATGCAGAGAGAGTCACTGCACCGGCCTGGCGGGCTCCCCGCGTACACGCACCCAAGGTCTGGGCTCTGGAGGCTTCTCCACTCGACAATAGCGTGATGCCGGACATGTGTGTGTGTGGTTCGTGTGCGTAAGAGGCGGACCAACAGATGTGTTGCTAGTGGACGGCTTGTACCGAAAACTCGTAGTCCGTATAACAGACGAGATAATTAACATCTCATCTCCGGATACAGTATCAATGGGCAGGGTTTCTATTCCTTCTCTTCCCGCCACCTCCACCTGCTCCCACTCTCGTCTTCGTCACTTGAGCAACCAGGCTGACATCGGGTTCATGTCGCCTTCTCTACCGCTCTCGAGTTGATGCTTCAGGCTGAGGCCAGACACGGCTCGACCTCTCTCCACGATCCGAACCCGCCGCCATAATGCCAGTGTGGCTCGGCCAGCGAGACGCGCCAAGGCCATCATCCGCCGCTGCCGACTTTGTACTGGCCACCCTGCTGCCCCCTTGCGCCGTGAGTGCCTCCTCTTCGAGCCGTCTGTCCAGTGTCCCCGGTTCGCCGCTGAGACAGTTTCAAACCACGTTGGTTGGTAAAACAGGTCGATTGCGTGACGCCGACGTGCTCCATTGCCGACCTCGCCTGCATCTGCCGCGCCGGCTACTACGGCGTCGACGAGGCGAGGAGCAGATGCGTTATCGCCGCGTGCGGCTTCGCGGAATCACTATGTACGCTTACATCAACACAACGCCGTGCCCTCGACATGTTGAAAAGGCCCGTGACCAAGAACTGACTCGGAATCCCGGCCCCAGCTGCCCGGAACCGCACGGCGACGGCATGCGGCGCCCCCGTCCGAGACGAATCGGCCCGCCTCACCGTCATGGTGGCCTCCGTCTTCTCCCTCACGGCCGTCTTCGTCGCCCTGCGCCTCACCTTTAAGCTGTTCTTCAGCGCCCAGCGCCGCCTCAGCATCGACGACTGTTTCATCGTGCTCGCGTCGCTCGTGGGCATCTCTTGCTTCAGCGTCTTGCTCGCCGGCCTCAACGTCCACGGCCTCGGCCGCGATTCCTGGGCCCTGCCGCCCGGCGAAGTGGCCATCTTTGCCCTCTACTTTTACGTCGTCGAGATTCTCTACCTCACCCTCATTACCCTCGTCCGCCTGACGTTTACCTTCTTCTACCTCGAAATCTTCTCCAGCAGGGGCGTCCGCATTCTTCTCTGGGCCACCGTCGCCTTCCATGTGGCCTCCGGCCTCACTTTTGTGGCAAAGGCCATCTTCCAGTGCTTTCCCGTCAGTTACAGCTGGACACGCTTTGATGACCGCGTGAACCATCAACAACACGGCCGTTGCCTCCAGGTCTACGCGTCGAGCTGGGCGAACGCAGCGCTGAGCGTTGCCGCTGATCTCTGGCTTCTGGCCATTCCGCTGACCCAGCTGAAGAGGCTGAACCTCCATTGGAAGAAGAAGGTCGCCGCCACCTTGATGTTTCTGGCGGGCGCAATGTGAGTTGCAACAGCTAACGTCCCATTCGCTTCAATGTTGATTTCATCGGCCTCTGTCCCAACTGTCTGGCTCAACTGCTTTCACACACCATTAGTGTTTCTAGTCCATCTCCCCTGTTCTCCCCTTACTACACAGCGAAACAGTCGTCTTCGTCGAAACTAACTCGTCTCGTCCCAAGCGGCACCATCATCTCTGTCCTGCGCCTCCGCTCCATCATTCACTTTGCAAAGTCGACCAACCCGACCCGGGATCAGTTCGGCATCGTGTGGTGGTCCTCGATCGAGGTCCTCGTCGGAATGATGTGCACCTGTCTGCCCGCGCTCCGCCTCATCCTCGTGCGCATGTGGCCGCGCATATTCGGCGTCGGCTCTCACCAGCGATCAAATCTCAACTTGAGACGGGTGGGCGAGCCTTATAGCAGTCAGGGTCACCTAGAATCAGGCACCAGCGACGATTCATGTCCCTCAGGACTTTGCAAGACGAACACAGCAGCATCCTACGGAGCCCATGGTGACCATCATCTCGAGGCGCAAGAGATGGAGCGCCAAGAGAGCTCGCGCGAGTTGCGTCCGGTGGAAAACAGAATAAGGGCAGTGACAGAGATCGAGCTGGTCGAAACGAAGCCTATAGCTCGGCACGAGTGGCACACCGTTTAGTCTTTCACATAATTTCAGTTGATAGATGTAACACAGACTAAGTAACACAGAAATGGCTTGAAGCCATCAATGAGCCAAGGTTTTTGTAAGAGCTGTGCTCTGGCCACGATGTCTCGAAATCAACCCCTTCCATCAGACCATAGGCCCGGGTTGGTGATCCTGACCTCTACTCCTCCCACTCTATCCACTGATCAGACCCTACACTGTGCCATGCTTACGGTTTGGTGCAACATGAACCCTCGAGCGTGGACTCGGTTCTGCATCGACTGCTAGAGGTTACTAGTCGGTGATGTTGATAGCGGCCAAGCGCGCGACAATACGTGTAATGCTTGTGTTTATAGCACTGCCTCGATTCGCCTTGTCTCTTTGTCCCCGCTTATCGAGCTTCTCGATACGAGTCTGGTCTCTGTCGCCATCCTTGCTAATCTCGGCGGCAGTACCGGCGTCTTGTGCCGCAGCCGTGGCGTAGTCACCGAGGACCGCCTCGACCTTGGCCTTGGCGCTATGCGAGTCTCGCCTTTGGCGCTTTGAAGATCGTCTCTCCTCTGGTGTCTTCTCGTCACGGGGGCGCTTTGAGGCCGCTTCGCTGGCGTTAGTGGCGCTGCCGTGACTCGTGGGAGTGGGATTTGCCTCGTCTCCGACGCCAAGGCTGCCCGTGGCTGCCCGGGATTGCTTCATCTCTTGCTGAATGAGGGGGAATTGACCTCGGATCCATTTCAGCAGAAAGGAATGACGTTCTGCACCACGCTTGGCCTGCCAATAATAGCGTGTGTCGTGTCGGACAATTCGAATGATATAATTCCTGGTCCATGTCGCCTTGTAAGCCTGCTCCGCCACGTTTAATAAGGAGGCTCGGCACGCCTTTCGGTGTCCACAAGCAGAGCATGCAGTTCGTGATGAATCAGAGACGGCTTCCTCTGCAAACGAAGCGGCCGATCTGGCTGATTCTTCGGCCTCCCGGCCCTGTTTGATTTCAGCTCCGAGTTGCTGCCCGTAAGCTTTACTCGATATGAGGTCGACAAACTCATCAGGTCCCAGCACTTTGGAGCACTCCAGACGGTGCCAGGCCTTTTCAAACTGCTTCTGGCGGTCGTGGTCCTGATACCATAACCATTCGCGGCAACACCAATATTCGAAGACCAGGTATTCAGTCCATGTGGTCAGCCTGTCTTGTCGCTTCGGAACCCTGTCGAATGCAAACGACAGCTCGAATTTTCGGTTTGCCAGGATTTCTTTGGCCCACAAGGTATAATCGGAGATCCTGAATGGAAACTCCCTCCTCTTTTCGGTCTGGAACACGACGAACTCTTTCCACCTCACCCACTGGCATTCGTACACCTGCCAGATAACCTCTGTGGTGTCGGAGACGCCTTCTTGCCAGTAGCGCAGGAGTTCACGATGCCGCCTAGGATTGCTGGACACGTCGTCGATCCAATCGACGGGGTACCAAGGCGGTATTCCGTGGTCTACAAGCTTGTTGTAGAACATCTTTTCGTGTTGCACATCTTGGAGACGCTGGGATTCGGGGGACAAGGGCGGGACGCTACCCACGGGGGTTGCGTCGGGGCGTGGACCACTCGCGTCTGCTTTCCCACCCCTGAGCGAAATCTGGGACAGCCCGGCAGTGGCCTTGACCCGTGCAGCTCGCTTGGACGGAGTGGTGTCGCTTTGGGGACGGACTCGAGATCTGATGAAGCAGGCTGTTAGATTGCGAGTGATGAAGGGGATCTCAGAGGACATGGACAGACATCGGGCTCCGATTGAATGACGGGCTCATCTCCCGTGGATCGCAGACAGTTCTGCATCCGACATGGTCAGCCATGGATTGAAGCAGGCTGATGAGAGCCCAACCTTCCACTGTCTAGGGAAAAGCTGACAAGCTGGTCATCGCTATACTTGACCAGGACTCTCGCATATACATTTGTGGCATCCATTGCGCTTTAGGGTCGCTCACGGGACAGGCAACTTTCGAGGTGGTGGGAAAGGGCAAGGAAACAAGAAGAGGCAGAGCGAGTCGATGATGTTCTTTTAACTTTGACCCTGGGCCTGGATAAGCTTGTTCACTCAAAGAAGAGAGGAGGGTCTGAACAGGCCCGGTGGCGGCGGCAGTGGCGAGCATGTTCTTTGTCGTTTGATTCAATGTCCATGATTGCTATCTTGTGATACAATAATGGTCCTGGGCATCCACTTCTTTTTCCTGACTCACTAATGCATACTGTGCGACCAATGTCTGCTTGTCCGCCGTAGGGTCTTCGCACAGAGTGCGGGTGCTGTGCTGTGTCGTTGTCACCATCTCCCAAGGTCAACCCAATCGGAGGGTGACAAATAATGTTTGTTTGTTCGAGCTGAGAGATGCAGCGATTGGATCGGGTGCGAGGGCTTCGTGGCTTTGGGTAGCACGGCGAGACGGCCGTGAGCCTAACTCGGGCAAGATGAGGTTCTCGCGGAGCCCAACGCTGGACAAGCTTGACTATATAAAGACTCGGCAAGGACACGCTTCTCACGCTTTGTGAACACATCAGCGATTTGCACCCTCCTCTCCGCTCTGTTCTGCGTTTGAACGCTCCAGTCACGATGCGAGATGAGAACCTCATCGCCTGCCTGTATCCGGCAGGCTCCCTCCTGAGCTCCTTTCGAGGCCTGGACACGATCCGTGCAGCGCCTGGCTCGATGCGTCTTGCTCCGCTGCTCGAGGACCGCGCCCTTGGCCCGGAATCGCCCCAGTCATTGCGCGGCGACAATCGTGGCTCGAGGGGCCAGAGGGCGGAAGCCGACAAACCCCCACACTATCACTACAGTCCCGGGATCCAGCTCCGGTTCGACCAGTTGCGCAAGAACCAGATCGGCTTCGTGTTTGGGAAAGACGCCAGCTGCGACGTTGTCCTACCTAGGACGGATAGTCTCCGCGGCATTGGCGACCGCCAGTGCGTCATCATGTTTGATATCAGGGGCCGCCTCATACTGCGGGACCTGAGAGATCCTCGTCCGGGGAGAGAGGCAACCAGCGTTTCATATAGCGGCTTGGGTGGAGACGGGCGCCGTGGCTTCACCTGGGTTCTCTCCGGCGACGACGTAACGAGAAAGCAGAGCAGCATTATCATTTCCTTCCACAGCAACCTCAGTTTCCAGATTGTTGTGGCTCCCCATGACTTTCACTCACCTCGCTATAAGCAAAAGGTTTCTCGATTTCGAGACAGCACCGTCCATTCATCAAAGTTTCTAGACGTCACCCACAAGTACCAGGCGTGCGAGGCGCAGACTGTAACCCCAAGCTCCATCCTGATCAAAGACGGGGAGCTCGGCCGAGGATCTCAAGCCGTCGTCTCGCAAGTCTGGGACGTCAGTACCGGGACCGTGTATGCTTGCAAGGAACCTCTTGACAAGAAGAACAAGGAACAGTTGGACCGACTGAGGACAGAGGCCAAAATCCTGAGGCGGATCAGCCATGTGAGCTCAAGCTAGCATCGAACAAGCAGCCCTTGGAAAGCGGTCTCTTGCTGACATGTTTCAATGACACTTGTAGGCAAACATTGTCCGGCTGATTTTCCTTAGGAAGAGGCCAATCCCCTTGCTTGTTCTTGAATGCATCCCACTGCAGTCCATGGACGAGCAAGTCATGAAGAAGCCCTTTTCGGCGGAGGAGACCATGTCGATCCTTCAGCAGGGCCTGTCGGCTCTGAGACACCTCCATGAGCGCGAGAAGCCCATTGTTCATCGAGACATCAAGCCGGCAAACATACTCATTCAGTCACGGACGCCTCGAATTCACATCAAGCTGTGCGACTTTGGCTTCTCCAAGGCGAGCCGCAACTTCTTGGCAACCAAGGTCGGCACCCCCATTTTCACTGCCCCAGAAGTATTCACCGAAGACATCTTCCGCGAATCCGTGGACATCTGGTCCCTCGGCGTCGTTATCCTGCTGCAATCCCATGGCCTCCCGTGCGACGATGGTCCTCATTTCGATGGAGAGGCTTGGGCCTGGAAGATCGTTTGGTTCCTCAACGCTCTCGCCGAGGCAACGAGCTGCCCCCTGGTCGACTTTCTGACATGCTATATGCTGGTCAAAAACCCTGTGACACGGATACGGGCGTTTGGGTGCGAGCTATTCGCCGAGCGGCTTAGACCATCACCCTGTTGTTGCCAATTCTTGGAGCCCGGAAACCCCTACGCGGTAAAGAAGCCAGCGGTGGTGAACAGGGGGCCCGTTGAGCCACAAACCAACCAACAGGCTCCTCGGGAAATAAACCGCGTTCAACCGCAAAGCGGCGGCGGCGGGAGCAACCAGGCTCCGTTATCGCCAGCTTCCCTCCCTGTCCGCTCTGCTGTTGCAAGCCCGCGTGAGCAATCCGACTCTGGACCCATGCAACGAGGGTTTGGTGACAAAGCCAGCCCGTGGAATCCGATGCAGGCCCAGCAACGACAGGGAGGCCAGGACGGTAAACGGGATAAGTAATAGGAACTTCATTTTGATGTAATGGCTAGAAACTCGAGAAGCGTGGAAGCATCCTGGAACTCACAGGATTACATGTGTCTATTATACCGACTTCTAGGCCTTTGGGCGGATGGAATTTGGATCGAGAAGGCTTGAAGTTTGCTAAACCACGGTGGCTTGTTCAAGTGTCTCCCATGGATGTGTTCAAGGCTTGATTTCGTTGCAAGCTCCCTGGACGTCATGACTCGTAATCACAAAGATCATTATGCTTTGACCTATGGGTTTGCGGCTTTGGCTCTTGGGACGCATCAGTTGATTGAATCAGAGTATGGCCACAGGTCACGGGTAACACGCACGGCGAGGAGGGTTGAGAATTTCCACAGTATAGTGCCGTAATTGGACGTCGTCACGACAGAAAGAGACTTGCAATTCGCGATAATAGCCCCCCTAATAAGGGTGTCCCTATTTTGCCTGGTGGAGCGGTTTGTTACCAACTTGACAGATGTTATGAAACCACTCCTCTCTCAAACGTAGTCTCATTGATGCGCTTGGCATTTTACTCATAGACTGGTCCGTGACCTGCCTTGTGCCATTCAGCAACCCGCCTTGGACTTGGTTTGACATGGTTCGCTCAAGCATATCCTGGTAACACATGTCCCACGAACCTTGAGGGCCGACAGACAAGGACATACATCTGGGCTTTACCAGGTCCCTTCACCAGAGTGAACAGAACTGATATTAACTTCCCTGCAAGCCCGACGCCTTGTATGTACTGGCTTTTGCTCGGGCTCTATACTGGGGTATGAGAGAAGGCGGCCTATCCGTGTACCAAGTCCGCTTGCCTTTAATAATTGGAATCCTTCTTAGCGGAGTCCCTTTTGTCGGCCTTTCTTGTCAGAGTCCTTCTTATTAGCGTCCTTATCTCCAGAGTCCTACTTGTCAGTCCTTCTTGTCAGAGTCCTTGGCCTTGTCCTTGTTCTGGACATCCGCGCTGTCCCTTGCGCCCTAGCCGCGGTTGGCGGCCTTCTCCACATCCGACCCATTGCCGAACTCGCGCTCCAGCTCCTTTTCCAAGTCGACTTTCTGGCCCGACTTGAGCTTCTTCTCTAGTTTCATTCCGTAACTAATGGCCTTGAGTAAGTCAAGGTCCTTGCCGTCCTTGCCCAGCCCAAAGGGGTTCTTCCTCGCGCCGCTCTTCCAGGATCCCTTACCGCTGAAGGGCCAGAAACCGCGCGCGACAATGTCAGAATCATCGCCCCTTTCCTCCTTCTTCTTCTTGAACATGTGTTGGAACCGCAGGCATAGCCTCTCCTCTCCAGGGTCGGGGAGGATCTTGTCCATGCCGGGAATCTTGCGTAGGGTCCCGTCGACGACGTTGTCGAAGACGTAGGCGGCGCAGTCGATAAAGTCGCCCTGACGGGGTGTCCCCATTCCCTCGGACCCGGCGAACTTGGCCGAGTCGACGCCGGCCTGCGACGCCATCTCCTGGGCTGGCGCGGCGAGCACGCTGCCGGCCAGGCAGGAAAGTGCCAGCGTAACGAGAGTGGGCTTCATGGTTGTCAGGTTCTGGGGGAAAGTGCCGTGGCTACCAGGGGGTTGTCAGGGTCGGGTTCAAGTGGACTGTCACACGCTTTTATATCTCGTCCTTGCCTGCTATGTATATGGACTCCAGGGGTCTGAAGCCGGGATGGCTTTGGGACAAGCGGACCATGATCCCGGAACCGCACGAGTGGCTCCGCAAAGGAGAACTCACCTGTCTCACCGGGGAAGACGATGACGGTGCTCGACCCGTCGTTCCTGTCTTGAAACAAGACTCGGCTGACTGCAAGTCTGTTGGAATCGCCGTTTGCCCACTGGAATGCGGTTTTTAACGGTTCTTTGCCGAGGCCCCTCGCTTGCTTCAATGCGAGTCTCCTATTCAGTGATCACTTGCGCGTGGGCTTGCAATTGCTGCCTCCTCTCCATGCTCTTTCATGCAACTTTTTCGAACTCAGACATAAGCAAACTTTAACATGTCTGATTTTCTATTCGTGAGGTTTTGCATCCACATAGAAAGCGTCTCATGTTTCGATGCGAGAATATGCTTGATATATTCATGCTCTGCGCTCGACCATGGTTATGTAAAGTCTTGACCCGGTCGACGGCAAGTTATCCACGTTAAGGACGTTCAAGGACCGAAGAGCCCATGCTCCGACACGTGTGACAATCTCCTCAGATCCCCGTATGGGCCGCCATGTCTGCCTTTTGCCCTCATTCTGGGCTTGTCTTACCCTGAAAGCAGAATAGTCGGCGACCGTAGTCCGCGATGCGCCGCCCCTGCAATGCAGCTGCTAGAGATGGTTCCGCCGTCCTTCTGTTTTGCATACAGACTTGAGTGTATTCGCAACGGCGGCGGCTTCGACCGTGATTCTCCGAGAGTATCGTCGCTCAGCCATGGCCAGTCTCTTCCGCAGAAAATTTCCATGCGTGGCTGGCCATGCCCAGACGTCCGCACAAGCGTCCGACTAGCGGTTTCGACCGTGTCGAGGGAGCGTTGAAGAATCAGCGGCCGTGGTTGAAACAGACCTAACGTTGAGGAATGCGATTGCAATATGATTCATTTTCTGATGTCTGTTGGATCGCCAGCTGGTCTTGCGTGGACTTGAGACTTGAGACGTCGTCAAAGTGTGAGTGATAGCATGGCGCCTTCAAGCGTTGGAGCACACGTTCTCATCCACGGCGCAGGAGGGCGTTCAGCGGTCTTCATCGCCGGGAATGAGGGCTCGCGTGGCGTCAACGGGGTTCATACAGTTTCGACTGTGCATGCTTTAATTGGATGTCGGGCGGTTCTGCCAGAGATTGCGCTCCGATGTCGAGTTCCCAAGAGGCGTTGATCGCCCGCGTATGTCGTCCATACACGTTCTTCGGGTTTGTTCCTCTTCTTGACGTGTAATTAGGCACTGGCCCGGCTGCCGTTTGTAAAGAGCCGACGGACAATTACCATCATACAACGAGCATCGTTCGTATTGTAACTTATAACTTTAAGTGCTCGTTATTCACCCCCTTTGACGAGCTTGCCAGTCAACACCCAGAGTCAATGCCCATCCGTATCTGGAGGCACAACCAGTTATGTGGCATGACCAATTCACTGATTCACAAGGGCATCCGTCACTTGGCATCGACTGTTTCATGCGGGGGGGTGGCACCTCCTGGGGTTCATGAGGATGCAGGCGTTCTGCATTCATGTCGGATGCCATCTTGTAGAGGCCAAGCACCGGTATGATCAGGTCGATGAGGCATTGTATAGAGCACCTCCGACAAAACTTGATGTTTCACGCGTGCCTGTGTTCTCTCATCGACATCCAGTCGCATCTCACTCGGGAAACGTAGTCTGCCTTTGGTCACTCAACATACTGCGATAGCCTGCAGCAGCAAGAGAAGCCCAGTCAGCGCCGCTCGTCCCACTCCACGTAGGCAAGAGACACTCACTCGACAAGATTCCCATCCGGATCCCTCACATACACACTCCGGAGCCTACCCCGGGCCCCCGTCCGCGGCACCACGCGCCCCCCCTCGAGCACCTCGACGCCCTCGCGCGCAAACCCTTGGGCCACGGCCTCGAGAGCCACGCCGTCGTCGAGCAGGAAGCATACGTCGGCCGTGCCGGGCAGCGCGGTGCGGGCCTTGGGCTCGAACTCGCGGCCGCGCTGGTGCAGGTTGATCTTGTGGGTGCCGAACTTGAGCGCCGTCCGCTGCTCGCCCGCCGAGATGAAGTGGGCGGGCGTCATGCCCAGGTATCTGGCGTACCAGGCCGTGGTGGCGTCCATGTCGGCGCAGGTGAGGACCAGGTGGTCAATGTCTTTGACGGGGGCCAATGGGTTGGACATTGGAGAGACACGGGATGATGGCTTAGGGTAGGTGAGAGGAGAGGGGAAAAGAATCGAGGCCATCCTTGACGACGGAAGCGAGAAGATGTCAGCCAGTCACCTGACGGGTCCCCGACTGATGGATCTCTGCATATCTGTGCCTCGGGACAGACTGACTGTAGACGGACACTCGGTCACCGCTCGGCAGCTGATTACGCATTTGCAACAAAAGCCCAGGACGTCACAGAAAGAGTCCTCGATCCGAGTGCTGTCGAGGGTTTACGCATATGCCTCTCCCACAGGCGCAAGCTTCACGAGTCCTAAGGGAAACGGTCCGCAGAATTGCATCGACCTTGATATGTGTTGGACGAGGCGCCTGGATTAATCAACTATACGGCGCGCGCAGTCTATACAAGACCCCCCCAGCAGGCGCCTACCCGCATGCTGCGCCGTGACCGAGTGCAGCGTCACTACTCTTCCTCGCCTCCCGCCGCGGCCGCCTCTGCCTCTGGCTCGGCCTCGTCGGCGGCCGTCTCGACGGAAACGTCCTTGGTCTTGACAGTCTCCTTGGGCACGTCGTCCTTTTTGTCCTCGGCATCCTCGGTTTCCTCGGCGTCTTCGTCGTCCTTGGCAGCGTCGCCATTGGAGACTGCCTCGGTCGTCTTGCGCTTCTTCAGAGGTGGTGGCTCGTCTGCGCCCAAGTCTCGTTAGCTTTCCGACGCAATATGCTGCGAGCATGACGTGCTCACTTGACTTACCCTTTTCACCATTCTCCTTGTCCTCGTCCTTGTCGCCATTTGCGGCCGTCGCCTCTTCCACCTCTTCCACCTCTTCATCCTCATCCTCCTCGGCATCTTCGTTGCCCTCTTGAGGTTCTTGGTCTGCGTCCTCGCCGTCGTCCTCGCCGTCGTCTTCTTCATCTCCAGTGGAGACGTACCTAGCCACAGTCTCCTGTCAGCACCCGCCCGTGTGTATCTTCGCCATGGACCATGTCGCGACGACAGATATCGAGAGGCGTGTAGACGCACGGTGTGTCGCAACCAGAACACAGACGTGCGCGCGTACACAGGCATTGCGATATGCAACAAGAGACAACTCACTCTTCCTCTTCTTCGCCATCGTCTTCTTCGGGGAGGGAGACTAGCTCCTCCTCCTCCTCCTCTTGCTTTCTCTTGCGGGTAGACATTGTGTGTGACGGTGCGTGTAAGCTGAGGCAATTGGGAGAGCTTGTCGCCACAAGTCTATCGTCTATTGAACCCGACTGGCCGAAGGAAAGGCAGCTATTATATAGGGGAGGGGGGAAGGGGAAGAGATAGGTAGGTAGGACAAGGGAACCGAGGAGATGTAAGAGGAGAACGAGAGAGTGTGGGAGGAAGAGTGAGAGTGAGAGAAAGATGGAGGAGAACCGGTGAAAGCTACTCCGTACCCGGGGGGGAGAAGGGGGATGAGAGGGCAGGCAAGGCTACAAGGCGGCTTGTACTGTACTGCCTGGCCGGAGGGAGGCAGGGAGGGGAGAGCTGGCTTGAGGAGAAGGGTTAGGTAGGGGGAGCTGTCCAACTACCTCTCAACCTTCCAAGGCTCTCTCTCTGTATCCGTACCTACAGCGTCTCCGGGTTATACGCTTTGAGCTTGTACCAGATACTCGGACCGCTGCCACCACAGCTTGCCGGCGCGGGCTAGGCTGGATCGAGGTGGGCAGGAAACTCGCGCTGCTGTTGCGTCAGCCTCGAAAGAGGCACAGGGCAGACGGTGGGGAAGAGAGAGATGCGAAGTACCAAGTACTCCCTCCGCTCAGTATCCAGCAGAGAGGGGAAGGGGAGGGCGTGGGAGGAAGCTGAAGGGGGGGGTGAGACGAGGGACAGAGAGACGGCCGAGCTAAGTAGAGCATGGCAAACAAGCACAACAACAAGGGTGTGAGTGGACGTGGCTGTCCATTCGCCGCCCCGGCGACGCCTTTGTTTGCGGAGCTGGCCCAATTCTCCTGCTGGAGAGCTGGGTGGGACGTGGGGGAAGAAGAGGAGGCTGGAGCGCGAGCCATTTTCTTGGTCGAGAGAGGAGGGGCGTGGCCTTCGGGTGGCTTCGAGCTTGAATCAAGGGGCGTGGCCGCATCAGCACCATGGTTCGATCTTCCAGGCCAAGCAGCAAGCCGTCGAAAAGGCCCCCATCTCATCCCCCATCTCATCCCCCCCTTCGTGTCCCGTTGAAGCCTCGACCAGCCGACGCAGACGAGGTGAATGTTGAAGGGGAAAAGGTTCCATGATTTGATGCCGCCTCACTGCAGCGCCAGCAATTGGCTTTGCCTGGCGAAGGATGAGATCTGCATGGGGCGAGCATATCAGCATGCGAGGTCCGTACGAATTTCGTCGCCTTTGGGTGCTCACTCCCTCCCTTGCCACGACGGATGGATGGATGGGTCTCTTCCTCCGCTGCCGCAAACGGTCGATTCCAGCCAGGTATGGCACATGTACCCGCAACAAGGCATGTTGCGAACCGAGACGGGCGACAGCAGGTAGCGGGTACGCGCGAGGCAGTGCCGCCGGTACTGTGCAAAGATGACGGAATGTGCATGTTTTCGTCAACATGCTGCTGCTGCGGGACGTCGGTTGAGCATGCACGGCCTGCTGTCACGTGCGAGGGCCCAGAGCCCGGGCCGAAGATGAGCCGGGCCCTCACCGTTCACCGTGCGGCCGACCCGAGTGGGCGAGAAGTCACGGGGGACATTTGGAGACAATTCGATTCAGTCTTCTTCACCCAGAACAACCGCCCTCTCCTCCTCGCCGCACAACGAACATCAGCAGCCGGCGCGTTGATGCGGTCAGCCGTCGAGCTTCAGGCCAGGTGTCCGCTGCGGTGGCTGGACATGGGCATCCGGCTCCCCTGCCCCCTCACTTCGCTCGCTCGATGCACGTCTCTTTGAAGCCCGCAAGGGCGCAAATAACAATTCCCTGCGGCTCATCATGCAAGCGCATTGCCCCCTTGGGACATGTTCTTGTCTGCCATTCGGTCCCCGAGCGTCCGCCCACGGCACTGCAACCGACGGGTCCCGCCCGTGTCTCTGGGTGAAGCCCGCCGTTCCATCGGCCTTGGCCTCGAATTTTCACGGCTTGATTGTCCATCGATCCGTGGGTCATCATCGTCTCCCCCAACAGCGCCCTCGCTTGGATCGGCGCGCGCTGCGTCCGAGACAACCAACGGTGAGCATCGGGTCCTGGACGCACAGCAGCACTGTTTCGAAGAGGATGCGATGCAAAAGCAATGGAGAGCCTGTCCTCTTTCAGTCTGGTTGGCGCCTCCATCTCTGCTTGACCCGCGAGCCAACCTATGACGTCTGCAGCTTGATGCTGCTTGCCCAAGTCCTGTTGTTCGCCGACGCGAATCTGGGGACTAGCGCGCTGCTCCTGGCCACCGAGCCGTCGTCAATGGCAAGGAGCACGGCTCCGAGACGTACTTGGTGCATGCCGAACAAATGGCTCCCCTGATTGCTTCCGTTGGCCAGCTTGGTGTAGCAGCCTGTGAGCGACGGCGTCTTGGCCTGCAACGCCGGCGTCATCCAGCCTTCCCAGAGAGCCGTAGGGCCGCTTGACCCAAATGCTGCGGATGAGCAGCAAGGGGTCAAATTACCATGACGCCGACAGTCGGTGCGGACATGACAAGGTCGCAACCCGCGCCACGGGTACAGGCAACGCACCCACCACGCGCTGTGTCGACTGGTGCAAGACGAGGTCCCGATTGCTCAGACGGTAGCATCGATGGTGACGCACCAAGGGCCAAGGGGGGATGCGCTTGTAGGGACGCCACTGTAGTGTTGGTATCAGCGTGGCATCAAATGGAAGCGTCCCGGCCGGGCGAAATGCAATCTCCATGGACTCTCGGCGGAACCCCAGTGGTGCTCAGTAAATCTAACACGAGCCCTCGAACTGGGTAGTGGGAGGCACGCAGCTGAAATGGGCTCGGCGTCGAGCATCATGATGGCTTGGCCGTGCATGGCTCGATGTCCCGATGTCCCGCAAATGCGTCTCCGGCCGTCGGTATCAACTTGCCCAGTCATGCTGCGTTCCGACAAGTGACTGATCAACTGTCCCTCAAGCCTGACTGTCCAGGTCGACGCTATTCCTCGCGAGATGTGCTCGTCGAGGCCCAAGAACGAAAGTGCGATGGAGATGCCTGCCTGTCGTATGGCAGCATCAAGTCGTGGAACGCGGTAGGTTCTACACGGCCTGGGGACAAGAAGAAAAGGCATGATGTAGTCGGGAGAGTGAAGCTGAGTTTGGGGATATGATCAGCCGTGGCTTGTGACTGCGCCGGTTCAGCGCATCTGAAGGTCGATGCGGTGCAACGAGCCACGGCGTCCGTCATCCCCGACGGCATTATGACAGCTCGGTCCAAGTCCGCGCGTTGGCCCCCCTTTTCTGTGTCGATCAAGCTGCAAGCAATCAGCGCCGCAGCTGCTGGACCGCGGTCCCCTGACGGTGTAAATCCGCGGGCAGATGAGGCGGCTTGCCAGCCTCCATGGCTCAAGGGTGCTCGCCCCGGCTCTGCCTACCCTGTACCGCGATATTTTCCCCTTCTTTTGCAAGCCTAATAGTCTGGAGCAGCGTACGTGATTGAGCAATGCCTTTCCTTGGTCTGGTCACTATTGCCAAGGGAGAATAATCATGTGCTGCAGAGGCTTGTCATCAAAACGCATGACGGGAGAAGAGAGCCCCAGGAACAATGTTTCTTGCATGGAAGTATTAATCAAGCTGTGGCCGTAAGGTGTCCTGGCTCGCAGTCCCGGGATATGCGGACACGGGACCGCCCGCCCGGACGCCACACGGGTGTGTTCGGGCGGCGGGAGCGGACCCTCAGCGGGAGCGGTGCCGAGTCCCGCCTCGGAATGTGGGTGAAGGGGGGAAGAGGTGGGAGGACAGAGGAGCATTCCATATTGTACAGCACCCCTCGAGCCTGGCGACCATTGGCAGTAGACGGGGACGATCAATCAGTGAAAAGGACCGCTCATGTAATTATGCTTTGTCTCTACAGCTTGGAATGGGTCGTGCTCGGCGCCGTGCTCGGCCTCCTAGGAGTTGAAGGCAGCCGATTCACCAGCACAAAAGGCAAAGACTTTGTCGAAGACGGGAGCACCTCTATGCTAGACTTTGCTAAACTAGACTCCAGCCTATCAATGTTTTCCGCCGCCATCGGCAAAGGCCGCGTGGGTGGGAGGGGGCCAGGAATAGAGGGCGTTCCAGGGCCGAGACGGTGCCGACTGGGGCGGACGAATAATAATAGAGCGCACCTGTCTACGTGATTGCTCTGCCGGTTGCCAGCTTTATTTACAGGTTGTTACGAGACGCTCAGCACACCGGCAACCTGTCGACAAACAAGCCGGGAGCCGGGCGACGGGAGCAAGGCCAACAAGAAGATGAATCATAACCAGAGTGACGGGCAGGCGCCACGAGAGCGAGAGGTGTCCCGCGTCTGTACGGATACCGACGTGTATGTACATGGGCTGCGGGCGCGAGGCGGCGGGCTGTGTCTCTGCGTCATGTTCGGACCCCTTTTCTGGCAGTGATCGGTGCAGCCACGGCGGGCAGCCGAAGAAGGATGACTCAGGAGACAGTGAAGAGAGGATGAGGAAATGGGCGGCGGGGGAGGAGAGACAGGGCGGCGGGCAACAAATCAGGGCTATGTGAGCGCGGGGCGGCGCGGCCGAGTCGCGTCGGGGGCTGAGACAGGGCCGAAGAGCCCGGAGAGCGAGACAAGAAAAAGGGAGGATGCAGGATGGCTGGGTGGATGGAGCAGGTTAGATGCCGTCGCCGGTTCGGCCAGATCTCTGCGAGCGCGATGGAGCTAGGCAGCGTCTCGGCCTCGAAACGCGCTGGCGATGATGACGAAGAGGCTCAGTTGGTCACGTCATGGGTCCGGACACCTGGCCGGTCTCTTTCCTTCTCGCGACGTCGCCTTCTCTGTCCCTCTGAGCCTCCCTGAGCCATGTACAGTAGGTCCAGGCGTGACTAGATGGAGTGGTGTGCGTCTGTGTTCCGGCGTCTCTGGAAGGGAAGTAATTAAGAGAAACCTGAAAAGGTAGACATGGCACCGGTAACCCCGTGAATTAGGATGCCTGGGCAGACTGGAGGCGTCAGGCCACGAGGGGCTGCCAACAGCGCCTTGATGCGACGGGCGTGTGCTATAAAATTAGCTAGCTGTGGCCTCACGCATGGGGAGGCGTCCGTTGTCAGGAGAGATTGGGGGGTGAATGTCGCGCGTCATGCGTGGCACCTGGCGGGCGGGCTGGGGGAGTCGGGAGTCGGTTCCTTGTGCCAGGCGCCTTTTCAGGGGGATTGTTGGCTGCAGCTTGTCATGTGCGGAGGAGGACGAGGAGATGTGGAAAAGGAAAGACAGGAGATGGATTGGGTCCAGATATGCAGATGGCGGGTTGGCGGCACGGTCTGTGTACTGTATGTAATTGTGTGGCTGGCGATGGGTTGGCTGACCCCGGGCCTGGCTGGCTGTGATGACGTCATGCAAAGGAATAGCAGAGGGGAGAGTGAGATGGCCAAGAAGTTGAAGAAGAAGAAGAAGAATAGGGCAGCGCAAAGAGGTGGGCTAATAAAGAGCGGCGAGCCTGTCTATCTGGGTTGGGTTGAACGTCCGTCCGCAAACTCCGGCTCGCAAGATTGCACGCGGTAGCGTCATTTGCCGTTCTTTTACCATTGCCTCTCTCTCTCGCTGCATGTTTCAGAGCCTCCACAAGCCCGTGGCAGGACGGTTGCTTCCCACGGTGTCCCCAGGGGATGGATGGGGGTGAGGGAGGGGGTGGGGGAAGGGCCGTGCCGAGAGGTCGGGAGGGAAAGAAGGAGGAGAGGATTAAAAGGGCAAAGGAAAGAGACAGTACGATGGTAATACGTAAGGAAGGAGGGGAGTTTTCTTTTGCTGTTGTCAGGCAAACAAACGGGCTTGACGGGCTTGCTTGTAAGCCGGCCACCACGACGCGGCAGGCAAGTGAATATTATACTGTAATGAAGCTGATGACAAACGAGGAACGGCGAGCAGAGCAGAGCAGAGCAGAGCAGAGCAGAGAAGAGCAGAGCAGAGCAGAGCACAGCTGCAAAAGTCGGCCGGGATGGTGAGCGTTCCGGGAAATTGGGTTGCACGGAGCGGAGCCGCGGCCCATGCAGGCAATTTACGGCGCCTACTAGGTACTGGCGATACATGTGAAGACGAGCAAGGTACTGTACGAATGCAGGTGGAATGAGAGGCGGAGGTGCGGCTCTGCTGGCGTGATGAGTTGCGAATATTCCGTCGTGGTGCCGGCATTGACAGGCGGGAGCCATCGGGGCATGTGTCAACGGCTCGCTCGTGAGCATCATTCATGCGCCGACGTGTTCGAAAAAGAACCACCACTGTTTACCAGTCAACTGGTCGACTCGCCTAGCCTCAATGGCAGTTCGTTTCGTTTCGTTTCTGTTTGTTTTGGCTGGAACAGACTGGCCGGCAGAGCGGGCCGGGCGGGGGGTCCACGAGTCGAGTTGTTTTTGTCACGCCCGCCGCGTGTGGTTCGCGTAGGGAGGCGTAAGGAGCCGAGGTGAAGTGGAGAGAGATGGAGACGGAGGCATGTAAGGGAGGAATGTGCGTGTGGGTGTGTCTTGACATTGTTGATGGCTCGCTGGTGAGCACAGGAGCTCGTTGAGACGTGCCTAAAGAGGATATCCTAATGCGGAGGAGGCGGGGAGGCTGGTTCACTTTTTTGCATGGACGCTGACGGCTGCCACTTGATGGATGATGATGATGTGGTATGATGGTGATGATGGTGATGATGATGGTTATGGTTGATGAAGCTTTGCTGATGTCGTCTTCATTTTCAAGCACAAGGTAGGTACCTAGGTAGGGTAAAAGGACAAGTACCTCTTTGCGCAGGTATCTCCAAGTACCTTAACGTGTCTGGGCCGGAGCGACAGAAACTGTCTATGGAGGTAATTACCTACCTTTGTATAAAGCACCTACCTACCTAGGTACGGTAGGTACCTACCTACTTACATACTATAGGGGCCTTGTCCCTGACACTGACAAGGTCCCGTACCGCGTAGCCCTAAGCTCAAACTCAACTCAAAAAGACGTCAACAAGACAGCTTCTCTCGCTGCTGCACGGCATCCTCGGTACAAGCAAGGGGAAGGTCGAGCCAAACATGCACTCTGATTGGCCCGCACCCGGGCTCGTGTGCTGCCCCCTGTCCTTGTGCCTGTATGTACTGTAGGTATCCGTCCGCTAAGGCAGGTCCACTAAGGCAGGTCCGGAGGTACGTACCTGCAATGCTGTCAAGAACGCACTTGAATTGGAACATGGCGGATTTCCTCCGCGCCTTTCACCCCTTGGCTGTCAGTTGGTTACTTTTTCCGCCCTGTCTCTCTTTCATCGCTTCATTCTTGGCTGCATCCGTATCAGTGCGTTGATTCGACAGGCTGGCTGTACTGTGCAGTATCCTAGTACCTACTATCAAGCACCAACATAGGCCTGTCTAGACAGCCTCTCGGCTAAACGTACCTTATGTACAGGGCACGGCGTCCATGTACTGTACTGCCGGGTACCCACCGCAGCCCGCTGAGCAGCATGTTGGGCGCAAGGATGTGCCCTGTTTGCCTTACTCTGCTGCACCCTTTTTCCCCTCGTCTCTCTTCCTGAGCAGTGATCCATCATCCATCCCATCCATCCCAATCCATCCCATCTCCACTCCTCCGCCCACACGACGGATGACACGGCGAGAACTTTTGTTGTTCTGCCGTCTCAAAGCTCTGGCCCGCCGCGGTGACGCGCTCCTCTGGCGGGATTGACTCACGGAATTGGGCCCGAAGACAGACTAAAACAACAAAAACAAAAATAAAACGGTAGAGGTCCCCTTTACAAAAACGAACCGAAGCGAGCGAAAGGAAAGAAAAAAAAAGTGCTCTCCAATCATGTCCCCGCCCCGTTGTCAATTCCAGCGACGACGGTGATCTTGGCCCGTTGGTTCACGGGCAACGGCCCTTTTTTTCGCTCACTCACTTTAGTCGCCCACACGCATTCCATTTCGCCTGCATGCCTCTCACTCAGCTCGATGACGACCGTCGTCGATAGTCGGGGCCCCCGTTGCTGAACCACTCGCGGCTGCCAGCAGAAACAGCAGCGACCTCGATCAAGGCTCCGACCCCGTCGAAAACGCCCGAGTCATCTCGACCCTCGCTACGCATCGAGTCCCCGAGTTGGTGTCGTGACGCACCGCCCCAAGCGCGCCCTTTTTCCTTTTGGCCTTGCCTTTGCCTTTGCCTTCGTGCCTGCCTGAGCCGTTGCAACAGACGAGCCCCTCACTCTCTACCTCCGTTCAAGCTTTTTTTTCTTCTTCTCCTCCCCTCCCATCTCCTGCCTGTTGCTTGCGCCGGTTGCCTACAGCCTTTCCCGTCAAGCAGCGAGAAGTGGCAAGAGCGGGAAGCAGCATCGGCAGCTCTCTCCATAATCAAAGTGCGGGTACCGCACATTCACCCGAGGTAAATACTGCTTCCCTCCGCTCCTTCTCCCCAGGTGCTCCGCAGGACCCTCTGGCGGCCACTGCCCAACCACGCCAACGGCCTGATGCTCATGACGCCCAGCTCTTGCTCTCCATCTTGCTCTCCATCTTGCTCGCCATCCGACCGACCGTCAAGCCTCGACCGACCGACGAGCCTCGCCAGACGGGCAAACGGCCGTCTCCTCGTCGTCTCTTCACCATCGAGGGTCCATTCCTTTCCCTGCATGCTGTCGACGGCGCCGCGCGGGGGACATGGCACAGCGTTGCCCGCTCTTCGATTCATCACCATCCTTTGCCGCTGATGCTTCTGCCTGCTTCGACAGCAGCCGCCCCCAACCAGCACCGTGATAGACCACCTCTCTCCTTTCTTGACATCACACAACCCCCCTTGGACTCGCCCTCGACGCCATCGTACGGCCTTCCTCTCGACAGCGACCCCCGGCCGCTCTCGCTTCTCGGCGAGCCCAGTGAGTCGACTGCGTGACCGACGCTGGGCTCCTCGAGACCATGTACACCATGGCCCTCTCGCCCCTCGACGACGACGGCCCCGTCCAGCGCCATCGCAGCGTCCGCAACCGCCAGTGCTCCGTCTATGCCTCTCGCATCAGGCCCGTCCTCGCCCCTCTCGCCCTTGACGGCGGCCCGCCCCCTGCCCACATGCCCCAGGTGCCGCAGTTGCCGCCCCTGCCCGTCTCCCCTCGATGGGACTCGCTCTCCAACGGATCCCATGTCATCCACCACAGCCCCGAGTCGCCCACCAACCCGCTCGACCGCTCCTGGCCCGAGCCGCCCTCGCACCAGTTTGTCGCCTCGCCCATGCGGCCGCTCTTTAGCCCCGTCCCGTCGGACACGCAGTCGGCTTCGGCAGACTCGCGAAGCAGCTCGCCGTTCAGGATAAAGGGCCTGCGGCCCGAGGTGCGGTCGCCGGATTGTGTCATGGTTGAGAATTTCTCGCGCCCCCGCAAGCAGAGCATCCGCCAGCAGCCCGCCGTCCCGGAACAATGTGCTCCGGAGGCCGCTGTGCCGTGCCTAGCGCACCTGGCGCCCACGGACCTCCTGGGCGACATGGGCCCGTCCGCACCCCAAACGCCACCCTGGCAACGTCCCAGACGGCCCTCTGCCTCATCCTGCCAATCCGCCTCCACCTACTCGTCCCCCTTGGGCCCTCCGCCGACTGTTGATTTGCCCGACCCTAGGTGTGCCCGCGCCCGGAATGCCACCGGTCCGCCCCTGACGGCCGCCAGGCCCCCGTTCGCTGTCTCGAGCCGCACCCCCGACAGCGCCGCCTCCTCGCCAATGATGGGGGGTGGGGCCCCGCCGCCCTGGCTCGCCGGCGACGAGCTACGGTCCAGTTTCAGGTCCCAGCTCTCCGCATCAACCGCTTTCGGCACGGCCGTTACAGAGCGCAGCAGCGTCCTGACAAAGGACAGTTCCATCACCTCCCTCTACGCGAACACGGACGAGCCCAGCCTCGAAGATGTCATGTGCATGTACGAAAAGGGCTTTGCGGACGATGAGGAAGACGACAACCCAGTCGACAACCTAGACGACGGGCAAGACGACGCCAATCGAGGCGACAGCCCACCCAACAGTCGAGGCGGCAGCCGAGTCGACAATCGAGACAACCAAGACACCGCCTTCGGCCCCGACGACGCCAACGACGCGCCCCCCCGCGAGATTGTGACCGTCACTCCTCCCGAAGCCCAATCGGACGCCGCCCCCGACACACGCCCTGTCCCGGTCATGTCGGCCTCGGACGGACAGCTCGCCGACGCGCCACCGCCCATTCCCACGTCTCGCTCCATGCTAGACGCCGAGATCCGGCAGTCCAAGATGATTTTCTCCAGCCCCGCCTTCACCTCATCCGTCCCCGCCCTGTCGTCCAAGGCCGAGGTCGACGAGCCCGAGAAGCGAGACTCGGGCAAGTCGCTCGACTCGGAGCCGTCCTTCTCGGACCCGGCCCTCGCCGCCGACTCCTTCAAGAAGTCCGTCGCCGTCCCTCCCTCTCTGCCCCCCTCGGCCTCGGCCACCTTTCGCGCTGCCATGGAGCCCGAGGACCCGGGCTCGCGCGATCGGTACGGCTTCAAGAAGCAGAACCAATCCATCTCGAGAGAGCAGTACGACACCTGGAACAAGGGCTACACGCAATACCTGGCCCGCAGGCACAAGAAGTGGGTGGCCTATCTCAAGGAGTGTGCGCTGATGACGGACCGGCCCAATCGTTTCCCCCCCCCCAACGCAAAGACCAAGAGGTTTGTACGCAAGGGCATCCCTCCAGACTGGCGCGGTGCCGCCTGGTTCTACTACGCTGGCGGCCCTGCCATCTTGGCCAAGCACTCTGGCCTCTACGAGAAGCTGCTGGACCGCGAGGTGAAGCAGGTCGACGTCGAGGCCATTGAGCGAGACCTGCACAGGACCTTTCCCGACAACATTCAGTTTCAGCCGTTCTCGGCGGCCGAGGACAGGTCCCCGGGATCGCCCCCGCCCGCCGACGAGCCGCCCATTGTCTCGTCGCTGCGCCGGGTGCTGCACGCCTTTGCCGTCTACAACCCTCGCATCGGCTACTGCCAGAGCCTCAACTTCCTGGCCGGCCTCTTGCTCCTCTTCGTCGAGACGGAAGAGCAGTGCTTTTGGCTGCTCAACGTCATCACCATCATCTACCTCCCCGGCACGCACGAGATGAGCCTCGAAGGCTCCAAGGTCGACCTCGGCGTCTTGATGACGGAGCTGCGCGACACCATGCCCGCCGTGTGGGACATGATTGGCGGCGAGCTCGAAGGCGCCCCCGCCGGCGCGCGGCCGGGCACGGGCAAGTCGGCGCGCAAGCCGCTGCCCATGCTGAGGCGTCGCGACCAGCCGAGCCTGTCGACGGATCGGCTGCCGCCTATCACGCTGTGCATGACGGCGTGGTTCATGAGCTGCTACATTGGCACACTGCCCATCGAGACGACGCTGCGCGTGTGGGACGTCTTCTTCTACGAGGGATCCAAGACGCTGTTCCGCATCGCCCTGGCGATTTTCAAGAGCGGCGAGGCCGAGATCAAGGCCGTCTCGGACCCCATGGAGATGTTTGGCGTGGTACAGTCGCTGCCCCGACGCATGCTCGACGCAAACGCCCTGATGGAGGCGTGCTTCAAGCGACGCAACGGCTTCGGGCACATCAGCCAGGACGCCATCGACGAGCGCCGGCAGGAGCGCCGCGAGCAGGCGCAGCTGGACCGGGCGCACCAGCTCAAGCTCAGCGGCAAGCCGGGCACGGGCGGCAACCTGACCGAGGTGGATACGGACTCGTTCCGTCGAAAGGGCACTCTATTTGGCAGGAAGCGAAGGGACGTGTCGAGGCCGAGAGCCGCCGAGGTCTAGAAGAGCCCGGCTCTGGATGCGATGCCGCGTCTCGACCTGTGATGCATCACCGCCCTTGCCTGCCCGCATCGGGGCGAAACGGCGCCAGCCCCAGCGGCAGCACCATCCCCCCCCCCGAACATTTGTTTTGTCTTTCACTGTTCCGGATTTCCGGCATCAGTCACGGCCACGGCGTTGAGGCATGTATGAAACGGCATGGGAGGGCCGAGAGGGTGGGGGACAGGAGACCAGCCGTAGAAATGGCTGACGACAGATACATGGCGACTGCTTTTTGTGGGAAAAAGAAAGAAAGATGTGTTGTCATTGCCATTGCCACCTTTGCCTTGTTTCTCCCGCTTCTGGAGGGCGAGCTTTTTTTTTCATATCGCTTTTTTTCCCTTGCCTCCTTTCTGCATTGCATGACGATGACGGCTGCCAACGACGACTCAACGAGGGCGAGACTGCGAGCGGACAAGACAAAAACAAAGGCTGGGCTGAGGGCTCGGGCTCGTGTGAATGTATGCGTGCATTTTCTCTCTCTACTTCTCTCTTTCTCTCCTCTTGTCCTCCGTCAGTCGACGCGCAAGTCTATGCGAGGACTCTTGTATCTTGTTTGACGGGGCGGGACGGAGATGGTTGGGGCGGGCCGGCTTTACCTTGGGGCTTGTGTACATAGACTCTCATATACACGCATAGATATATTACATGGACGTTTACTTGTGTCTGTTGATGCTTATGCGTGATCTGGTCACTTTCCTGTCTGGGGAAGTGGTTTTAAGGCCCAGACGGCAGGCAGTGTAGCAAGATGCACGGGACGGTCTAGCAAAGGCATGCAGAGTCTTGGTGATGCTTTAAAGCCCGAATCTAACCCTTTCTCTCCCCCTTTGCCTCTGGTCATCGTTACTTTTCCCGTTTCTCTCCTCTTTTGTCCCGTCTACAGCCCAAGAGGCCAAGAGGCCATGGGGCTTTGCGCCGTCTGGATCGCCTTCCGTGCATCGCGACAAGCCAAGCGCTGTGGGGTCGGGGCTCCCTTGTTTTTCCCGCCTCTTTTACCCCTCGACTTTTTGGCTTCGAGATAGCGCATGTTTGCGTCGGACGAGGGTGGCGGCTGCTGTGTCTGCCATGGATGGCCATGGTGGCATGGTGGCATGTGGCCGGTTGTCCGCGTGCATGTTGCGCAGGGCGGCGGCTAGTTGTATGAATAGATTGCTCGCGTGGTTTCTTGGTCTTGATGCATTTTTTTGTGCGGTAAGAATCTCTCCCCCTTCCGGACTCTCCTCGGCCGTGCGCCGGCGTCGCCGGGAACAGCAGCTCGGCCATCTAGGAGGCGGGAAAGGTGGGCTCGGCGGTAGCATAGCGCTGGACGTGCTGGCGGACATTCTTCTCCCAGGTCGACCTGTCGTTGCGGAACTCGTCGGCGATACGGTCCTCGAGCGGGTCGTCGGGCTGGGGGTGGTCGAGCAGGCTGCGCAGGGCGTCGAGGACGGCGACAATCTTGGTCGAGGGCTTCCACTGGTCGGGCTTGAGGAGGGCGAGGCAGACGTTGCCGAGGGAGTCGTTTGTGACGTTGGGGTGGTAGAGGCGGGTGAGGAAGCGCACGGCGGGCGGCTTGAAGGGGTAGTCGGTGGGCAAGGTCAGGAGGATGGCGAAGCGGCCCGGGTGGTAGGGCGAGGAGGCGTCGGGCGGGGCGAGGACGACGTGCCAGGTGTAGATGGACTGGGAGGACTCGGGGAGGGAGACGGAGAAGCCGGCGGGGGGGGAGGTTGATATCTCGGCGAATTCCTGGGCAGGTGTCAGCTGGGTATGGAGGGCGCTGGTGGGTGGTGACGGTGGAGGAGCGGGAGACGGACGGACCTTTGTGATGCGCTTGGTGGACATGGTGGGCGGCGAGGGCGAGCGTCGTGGGCAGGGCGGTTTGGAGCTGGCTTGGCGGTTGCGGTGGGAGAGTGGAGGCTCGTGATGGAGAGGAGAGGAGAGGAGAGGAGAGGGACCGAGGGATGGCAAGAGAGGGCGAGTGCCGATGACGGCTGCCCGGTCGGTCGGGGGGGTCCAACGGATCGGGCCAAGGGGGACCGCCAGGGGAAGTACCTGATGCTATTGGCGGCCTGTAAAGTTACCGGCAATTCTCTGCGGCGGCGGATGCGATAGAGGGCTGGAGTGACTTTGCACCCCGACGTCCCGGGCGGGACCCGCCCAATGGCAGCGGCGGCGGCGGCGGAGGAGCACTGGCGCTGTGGCGTGCAGGTACCCAATGATGGGTGTACCGTCTGCTCGCGAGGGGTCCGGCGGCACTGTACCAGGCGGGGGTACTTGGGACATTTACTCCGTACCTTACTAAGGTACCTACCTACTAGGTAGGCAGATAACGGGAGAGCGGCAGATAATAAGCGTGCTGCCAAAGCGGGGCACGTCTGCTCACCGAGACTTGCTCACCTTGGTTTTTTTTTCTCCCCATTGCCAGCCGAAGAAGCATCGCCGTCCATCCACCCACCACCACCACTCACCACCAGCAACAAGACGACGAACAAAGGGCGCAGTCGAACCGCACACCTACGCTTCTCGGCCCGCACGCACCCCACGCCATGGCCGCCGACGCAGCAGCCCCCGGCGCGGAAGCCGCCCAGATGCCCTTTATCAAGAACCTCGCCTCGAGCGGTGCGTCTCTCCCTCCTCCTCCTCCTCCTCCTCCTCCCCCCCATCACCATCAAGACTTTTCCCATCTCCCTTCCCGTGCTGACCGCCCCGCCCGCCCAAAAAAACAGACCGCAAGCTGCGCACGCAGTCGCTCGACGCCCTGCAGGCCTTCCTCGCCAGCCGCGCCGCCGGCCTGCCCGCCGCCGACGCCCGCCGCCTGTGGACCGGCCTCTTCTACGCGCTGTGGATGACGGACCGCCCGCGCCCGCAGCAGGCCCTCGCCGCCGCCCTCGCCGACCTGCTCTTCGCGCTGCCCGCCGCCGCCGCCGTCGGCACCTGGCTGCGCGCCTTCTGGGCCGTGCTGTCGGCGCAGTGGGCCCGCATCGACGCCCTGCGCCTCGACAAGTTCCTCCTGCTGGTGCGCAGGGTCTTTGCCGCCCACGTGCGCTATGCGCGCATGCGCGGCTACCGCTTCGCCGCCGCCGGCGAGGACGATGTCGTCGCCGTCCTGGCCGAGGCCTGCTTCGACGCCGACGAGGCCGCCGCCGACGCCCCCACCGGCGCCCGCGTCGCCCTCGGCCTGCGCCTGCACGCCCTCGACGTCTGGGTCGACGAGCTCGAGCGCGAGCGCGCCCTGCGGCCCGGCCCCGACGCCGCCCTCGACGCCGCCCGCGCCGCCTTCGTCGCCCGCCTCGGCGCCGTCGTCGACGCCCTGCGCGCCGCCTGCCCCGTCAAGAGCGTGCGCCGCCGCGCCGCCGAGAGCTATGCCGACCCGCGGCTCCCCTGGGCCCAGGCCGCTGCCGACGAGGAGGCCATGGACGTGGACGGCGGAGACGGCGGCGGCGACGAGCATGACGGCGACGATGGCTGGGGCGGTATCGAGGATTGACGTCTTGAGGTCCGCGGGGTGCATTCTTTTTCCTGGCTTGGGGGGAGGGGCGCAGCGGCGTGTCTTGCTCATCGGCCGGAGCGGTGTTTGGCGTTGCTTGTCGGGGTTTAACGGTCGGTTCACCATTTACATCACCAGCGTCCGGGCATGCTTGTTGGCATGTACAAAATAGGCGCAGGAGCAGGACGAGCATGGGGGCATGGGTAGAGCATCATCATCAACAATCTTCATTGTTGCCATTGTCTTGCTTTTTACATTCATCTTCGCAACCCTGTTGGTATTCTTCTCCTGCAGCCTCTCACTTGCCTGTACAGGAAGGTCCCTCTGGCCGGGGAGCCTCGTCGCCTCCGTAACGCCGCGCAGCCGTGCTCGCAATGAGCTGAATGGCATGAGTGTGTGCATGGCCATGTGCCGAATCGAAACATGTAAAGGTAAGAAAAAAGCCAAGAGTCGGCCCTGCCCATCGACGCAGTCGGCCACGCATCCGCGCGTCCCACAGACCGTCCCCGCAACCCGCGCGACAGCCGTACAAGCCTGAAGAGGGAGACTCAGCCAACGCGCTCGTCATCGCCAATGGCCGCGCCCTCGTCGCGCCCGCCCGCCGCGTCGAAGTAGCCCATCTCGCGCACCTCGCGCCTTCGGTCCCGCGCCAGCCGTGCCCGCCGCCACGCCTCCCACTTGGCCCGCTGCTCGGGCGGCGGCGGGTCGGCGGTGGACGACGACGACCCGACGGGCAGCCCCCTCTTGGCGAGGCGCCGCCGGTGCTGCCGCTTCTGCGCAGGCGACATGCCGCGCAGGGGCACGTCGCTGATGCTGCGCCCGAGCGCCAGGTCCTCGAGGTCCGCCACCAGGTCCAGCGCCTCGTCCGCCGCCCGCCCCAGCAGCGCACGCCCGTGCCCGCCCGTCGTCCACTGGTCCAGCTTGACGGGCAGCGCCGCGCCAAACGTCGGGTCGTCGAACGAGTAGACGCACTCGCCCGACGAGCACGTTGCTGGTCGGCAGTAGCGCGCGCACATGGCCGACTCGAGCGTGAGCCACAGAGACGCCACGGCCAGCACCAGGCCCAGCAGGCTGAGGCGGAAGCGCGGCGTCGTGTAGTACAGCCGCGGGACGGGCAGGTGGATGTACGTCATGGCCTCGGGGCTTGGCTGCGCGAGGCACGCCGCACAGTGCTCCTCGTGCTTTGCGGGAATCTTGCGCATGTCGACGTCGGGTTCTTCGCTGAGGGGCGCCTTTGTGTCGGCGCCAGGAGCCGGCTCGAGCCGCGTGCCGGCGTGCGAGAAGCGGTCCTCGAGCCGCTCGATGCCCTGCTTGGCGGTGCGGATGTTCCAGAGCCCCGCGTACAGCGACTTGCTCATCCGATCAAAGAGCGCCGTGTCCTTGACCCCGTACTTTCCGTTGAGCTTTGGCTCGCCGCTATCGGCCTCGCTGCTGTCCTCGCGCTTGACGAGGGGCTGCTCGTCGTCGGAGCCGCCGATGCCGTCGTCCTCTTGAAGCAGCTCCAGCCTTTCCGATCTTCTGCGCCCCAGCAGAATATCCTCGACGTCGTCCATGGTCGAGTCGTCAATGTTGTGGATGCGCTGCAGCTCGAGCAGGTCGCCCTTGACCGACGGCAGCTTGGCCGAGTTTCTCAGCGGCGGTCTGCGGCGCGGCAGGGATCGGGCACGGCGCCGCCTCCTAAGCGCCACCGCCGCCGACACTGCATCGCCGTCCCTGTTGTAGTCGCTCGTGCCCGGGTCCGACGCCGCGTCCTGGTCCCGTCTTCTCCATTCGAGACCAGCTTTCTCATCACCGAACACGACGGCCGCGTCCCGGTGAGCTCGCCTGCCCTGCCTTCGCTCGTCCGCCTCGTCCCTTCTCCTCTCCACCTTCAAGGTCGCAGGGGTTTCGACGTATGCGCCCGTCACTTTGGGTGTCGGCATGCTCGCAAAGACGTGCCTGTCGGCCCTTGGTGTTGCCTCGGCCAGCTCGTCATCGTCGGAGCTGGGTTGCGGGGACAGCGCGCGGACGGATCCTCGCTCAGACTGATTTTCCTGAGGCGCAAACAGTAGTATCTCTGCCTCGATTCTATCCGTGGGGTCGGCTTCGGACTGAACGCTGGATCTCTTGCTCTTAGCCGGGTCCAGCGACTCCGACCGCCGCAGCCCCGTGAATCCCACGGTCGGCTTGGGGCCGTCCTTGTCTCTTGAGCTGGCAATGGCTGCCGGCATTTTCCTGCCCTTGTCGGGAAAGCGCGCAAGTGCCGACGGCTTTGGTCGCGGCTCATCGCCATTTGTCTCCCGTCGCGGAGACGGCGGCCGCTTGCTGCTCGCGTCTGGCTCTGGCGCGGGACTGGCACTCGTCGCTCTTGCCAAGCGCCGCAGTAGGTCGTGCGAGTCTCGCTTGTCGTCAGCACCCTTGTCAGTCGCTTCCTTTTCGAAGTTGCCCCCATTCGCCCCCCTCTCTGTGGTACGCCGGTTCTTGAAGACGGTGATCGGCGTGTCCGGGATACGCTCGCCATTGCCGAGCACAGGCTTGGTTCGCGTGGGAAGTCTCTTGTCTTGGCCGCCTCCAGGCGTGGCCTTGCGCTGATCCGGATGCTCTCCTTGCTTGCCTGAGCGTGGTCTCGCCTCTTCCGGCGACACGGACCGCGACGTCGAGTTTTGCTCTCGTATCTCCTCGAGGCGAGCCGAGGCATAAGCTCGCTTCGACAGCCCCTCGGCCTCCCGTTGCCGTATCTCGTCGAGTTTGGTGTTTTTGGGCCGCAGCTGGTTCCGATCGGGAATGGGGATCTGGGCCTCGACCGCCTTTTCCCTGGCGCGAATCTCATCGAGCTTGGTGTTGCTCTGCCGAGGCTGCGACTTTTCCGCCAGGATCTGGTTGGTCGGCTTGAGCTCGCGCGCCCGAATCTCGTCGAGCTTGGTGTTGCGCGACCCGGGGTGCGTGAGCCGCGGCGGGGACCTGATGGAGATTTTGTCGTCGGTGCTCACCAAGGATGGACGATTCGCGAAAGGCCGGTTGCTCTCTACTCTGATTCTCGGGCTGTCCGAGATTTGCAAGTCTCCAGCCGTAAAGTCGGCCTCGACCTGCCAGTCGAAGCTTTTTTCCGGAGATGCGATGGCATTATTTCTCCGCGGGGATCGGTTCGGCCCCCGGTCAGCCGCTTCTACCGAGGGAAGGGGGATGTCTTCGATGCCGGGGACAAGGTCGGGGATGTCGTGGCCGTCACTGCCGCTGTGGTGGTCTGGCGGCGGTGACTTGGGATTTTCATGTCGAACAGGGCTGACTCGAGGGCTAGGCTTCCAGGTCTGCATGTGATTCCTTGGGGGAGTCGCCTTTTCTTCTTGTGGCCCGGGCTCCATGGGGGCAGACTCGGCCGTCGGTTTCGAGGGGTTTCTGTCGCTCGACTCGCCGGCTGCTTGCCTACTGCGTGCCTTGGTGTCGAGATGATCCTGGCCGAGCATCTGGCGCATCTTGGCCTCGTCTCGGGCGCCCCTGGCTCTCCATGACCTGGGTGCCGGGCTGGGCGAGCCGTCCAAGGCCTGGGCGCGCTTGGCTTCGGCCTCTTCATCCTCGGCGAGGCGAAAGGCCTCGGCGAGCGAGATGGGCCGTCGTCGGTGGAAGGCGGAGCTGGACGTTGAGCTGGACGGCCGGGGGATGCGGGTGCCGCCGGGGGAGACCAGGCTGACGCTGTTGCCGCTGCCGCTGCCGCTGCTGTGGTTGTCGTTGATGTTTCCGTCTCCGTTGGCGCCGCTGTTTCTTGTGGGTTGTGACTCGGATTTGGTCCTGCGCGCGAGGCCCAGGCCAACTCCTAGTGCTGGTCTATTGCCGGCCTCGACAGCCAGGCGCCCGGGCTTGGGACGGGGCGACGCCTGAGCAGCGCCGTTAGTCCTGCTGTCGGTGGTCTTGTCTCGCGCATTGCTGGCGGCTGCGAAGAGCGGTTTCCGTCCCTCGTGGGTGACGACGAGGTGGTTCGAAGGGCGCAGTCCATTCGGGCGCGGCGCTGCTGCTGCCGTCGCCGTCGCCGGCTGGTGCTCCATGACGCGCGACGGCAACGCTTGGTGGGGAGAGGCTTCTGGATGAAAGCCAAGGGGGTCAAAGGGCGTGCATCATTCCGGTGGCCTCGGGCTCGTCGTCGGGCGCGTCGCACAAATGGCGCGAGAAGCTCGCGTTACACGAGTAGCAGGGCGAGGTAGCGATTGTCCACGAGGTTGCTGTGTGAGAGGACGGGGAGCGTCGAGGTTTGTCTGTGTCGTTGCGAGTGCGTCCAAGTTGCGAATTGAGCTGCAGTCTCGATCGTGTTGTTTTGTTTTGCTTCCTTTTTTTCCTTCGGTGAGACGGAGTTGAGGCGCTTTTTTGGGCGGCACGCGGAATTGCAGCGAGGGAAGGGACGGGCGGATGGCAGCTGCCTGCCCCACCGAACGAGCGTAGCGCCCGTTGGTTCGCGCCTGCCCTGTGAAAGTGGGGGGAATAAAGCCGTCTGACTAAGACATTTCATGATGTAATTCATCAAGTAACATAAAGTAAACACAACTTGGAGGCAACTTGTCAAGCTTACAAGAGCCACGATGAAAACTCGTCAACAAATAAGGCCTTGGTCGAGCCATCCTCTGGACAGAACCCGTCACGGGTAATTAGTCACCGCCGAGGCTTGACAGCTACGAGTAAAGGACGCATGCATTCACTGCAAGTTTGTCTCATGGTTTCTCCGCCAAGAGACGACCACAGCCACTCCCCACCTCACAGCTTAATCAAAACCCTCTCAAAGTCGGTGCTTTTTGTTGGTCTAGATGTTTCAAACAAAAGCAAAGATTTGGGATCAATTTCATCGGCAACGCCTCCCGGCTCTGCATTCAAGAGGGGCGCATCTGGCTTATACTTTCTCGATGCGTTTGAAGCTCTCATCAGCCTCTGATTGGAAGGAAACAGCCAGTTGATGCCGGAACAATTCGGGGCAGCTTGCTGTTGAACACGAGGCTCGGTCCATTCAGAGTCTCCGTCGTCACCGTTGGCTCATGTAACCTCTCAGTTGACTATGCACGTGATGCATATATATGCAGCCTGCAGGAGAAAAGCTGCTGTTGGCCGTTGCCTGAAGACGGAGCCGGCATGAGAAGGTAGCACCACATGTACCCCACAGACAGGACATGCATACAGGGAAGAGACAAAGGAAGATGGGTCTCGTTTAACAGTCCATCGAGTACTCATTCGTACCCCCTGAAAGGAAAGGAACCTTTGCAGCACATCGTCCCAAGAGTATGAGCCCTGGCCATGGCTGCATGCAGGTGAGCACATATCAGTGGCAGAATCGCCCCGTAGCCAACATGAATCAAACATGTGATGTAATGCCTTGTCCATCTAGCACCGTGGAATGACGCTCTGGTCTCCTGAAGATGCAACTCTAAGCTGGGGCTGCACTGAGAATGATCTAAACACTGGAATGCTTCAACCTCGGCTGTGAAACCGGTAGTGGTAAACGACTGAGAGGCTATTATAAACATGAAACGAAAATGCTACTAGTGAGACAGGAGAACTATTGTACAGCCGTGATGGAAAGTATAGCACAAAGAACTTGAATATGTAAGAAGAAAGCATCTCTGTCCAAGCAGAGTCAAAGACGTCCAGGAAAACACCAAGCTCCGGGTATCTGCTCCATCCGCTCCTCGAGGCATCGTTACACCTACGGGACAGAGAACCTCGTCTGTCTCCGTCTTCATGGCATAGCTGTGAATCAGACTTCTCCAGCCCAAGAACCACCCGTGGAACCAAGCTCAGTCAACCGCCCACTCATTTCGCTTGGCGACTCTTTGACGCCCCTCCCGAAACCATCAGAGGGTAGCATTTGCCCACATCTCCGCCGGTTACCGAATACTTGACATCGTCGCTCTCCAGCATGTGGAGGCCCTTTTCAGGGTCGCTCGCCAAGAAGACCTTGGGCCCACTGCCATCGGTAAAGTCGCAGACCGTCGGGTACAGCACGTTGCCATCCGCATCCACACCCAGGTAATACGGCCTGTCGGGCGTGCTCGCGTCGGTGTAGAGCGCCAAGACGACGACGACGCCCGACCGCGTCACCTCGTTGTCAGCCCGCAGCCGCAGCCGGGACACGCCGAGCGTGCTCATTGTAGATGCGTCGTAGTGCATCAGCTTGCGCGCGCCGTCAGAGGCTATCGAGTTGTCTCGGCCGATCGGGAACAGCTCGGAGCAATCGGGGTTGCGCTCGCCCTCGGCGTCGGCGGCGTACAGGTTGCCGTTGCCGCACGACACCACCATGGCTTTGCCTCCTGGGGTGACGAGACGAGCGTAGTTGAAGCCATTCACCTCGCTGTATGACGATTGGTTCAAAGGCTTCGGCGCCGAGGTGACGTATTTGGATCCGTGAGCCGGATACTCGCTCGTCAAGTCGGAGACAGAGTCGGGTGGCAGCGCCAAAGGTTCCGACCTCTTTGACTTGGACTCAGTGACGTTTAAGGGCTGTGATGGTCCCTTATAAGCAGGCAAGCTGTATGAAGTCGTGTCAGCAAGATCGAGGACAGATCAAATCACATCGTGGCGGGTGGGGGGATAGAGACGGATAGGGGCAGAGGAAACTCACGCGAAGCATTTGCGAACCAGCGCACGATCTCCAGTATCGTGCAGGTTGACTGTTTCCAAATCCACCACGTTGATAAACACCTTGTTGCGCCAAGTGATCTGAGTGCTGATGCCGGCGCAGCCGTCTCGCTCATTGAATCCGGCCGAGAAGGATCCGGTATTCGCCAGGCTCATGGCCGCAGCGGCCTGAGCAGTCGCCTTGATGGAAGGCTCGTCTATAATGGCCACCGTCTTGTGCCACTCGCTGATTGCAATGCCGCACTCGAGGCCGACGGGGAGCGCCAGGGAGGCCGACAGCATAATCTCTCCCTCGGCCTCCAAGACGGGCTTAAAGTAGGGCTCCCAGCCGCTCTTCTCGTTCTTGGACGAGTCGACAAGGTCGATGACGACGCGGGATGCCTGCAGGCCCACCTCGGCGCCGGCCAGCAGTCTGCCCTTGGCCGCCGCCTCGAGCCCGACGCGCGTGCCGACCGACACTTGCGGGGCGATGGTGACGACGCCGTAGCTGAGGCCCGGCAGGCCCACCCTGAACAGATCCATCGAGAACTCGGACTTGTAGCGGATGTGAGCGTCGACGCCGAGTTTCAGTCCAAAGTGCATGTCCGTGTTGAACTCGACCCTGCCCTCGGTGATGCCGTGCAGCATGCTCCAGCTCGCCTTGCCGGCGACACTCGCCTTGACCCTGGCGCCGCAGTCGACGCAAAAGATGTTGAGATACTTGGTCAGGTCGCCCTCGGCCTTGGGGGAGCCAAACGACTTGAGCAGGACGGCGTTGCCCCATGGCGAAACGACCGCCTGGGCGCCGCTGTCCACGAGCTTGTTGGCCTCCGAATTTTGGTTGTTGGGATCGGGTAGAGCCCACGAGAACTCCTTTTTGTAGCCGCCCGAGAAATTGACGGCCTTGACAACCTTATCGTAGGCGTTGCTGAGGACTTTCTTGACAGTGTTGACCGCACCAGACCAAGTCGACGACCAAAAGCCCCTCTTCACGAGGAGATCGCGCTGGTGCCTCCTCGGGAATGCGGCCGTCCTGTTCAAGCCGTGGCTAGAAGACTGTGGAGCGGCTCCCAAGTCGAGCCCGGGCGCCAGGTCGTTCAAGAGGGCCCTGCTTTTGTCGCCCAGGGGCTCGTAGCCGAGGCCATTGTCAAGGTCCATGTCAAAGTATTCGCCCAGGCAAGCTGTCGGACGGCCGTACTTTGCATCGGGCGGCGCGGCACAGGGGGGCCGTCCGGAAGGCTTGCTCGCGCCGGAACCGGAGCCGGAGCCGGAGCCGGAGCCCGGAGTTGGGGTGGGGCCGGCGTTCCAGCTAAAGTCCGGCTTTGCGCCCTTCTCACGGTCAGACTGTGCGCCGCCGTTGCTGTTCCGGGGGTTCCACCAGCCCCATTCCGTGTCACCGCCGGAGGTGATATCGTCCGGGTGCTTGGACTGGCCACGAGCGACAATTGTGCGGATGCTACTCGAGGCATCCACCTCGAGGCTCGACACGTCGAAGTAGCATCGCTGGCCCTTTTCGTAGCCCCCGCATCTCTTGGCGTATGCAATCAAGATCAACCCGTCCTTGGCGGACCAGGTGTTGGACGCGTGCTCGAAGGCTTCTTGGCTGTTGAACGTCACCGCCAAGCTGTCTGCACCGACGCAGCTGACCGACACATGGTCCGAATGGTCTAGGTTGACAGACTGGCTAGTGAAGTAGTAGGAAACAAAGGCAAAGGCGCCGGCCTTGGCAGGGTCTATTTGAACATCCCGTTAGAGCCAACGATATACCGACGGCTGTCACGTCAAGAGTGCAGCAGCAACGTTAAAATGAGCACGTACCAGAGTTACCGTAGAACATCTGGGAGGCCTTGCCCGGAAGGATAGGCTTGACGTTCTCCGCCGGCTTCGTATCAAATGTCCAATGGATGTCGGGCAATAGGGTAGTTTGGGGGCCACCGGCCGTGGGTGATTGGGTCGCTCGATCCGCCCTGGAGCTGCTTCGATTTTGAGCCGTTGGGGTTGAGGAGATGACGTGCGTCGAGTGCAGCAAGGTTGGTAAGGGATGTCCATGGGCTGCAGACCGAGTGGCTTGTGCGCCTACAGTGCTGCTTCGGTTTTGATTCGCAGGGGTCGAGGAGACAACAGGCATCGGTTGCACCAAGGTGGTTGAGGGGTGCGCAAGAGTGGCAGACCGGGTTGCCCGTGCTCCCGCGGAGCTGCTCTGGTTCCGGCCTTCAGCAGGCAATGAGGTAGAGGAGACAAGGGGCCTGCTCGTGTGACGGCCATAGCGGCTGGAGCAGTCCCCGGAGCTGCAAGCCTGCTCGCTTTGCTCAATCGAAATAGGGGAGGAAGTATTGGAATATAGCGGCCCTGAAGCCGAAGCTAGCAGTGCCTGGGCTGCGGCAACCGTGCCGAGGAGGGCCGCACATGCCTTGAGAATGGAAGGCATTTTGGTGATGGAATCCAATAGGATATAAGAAGCTTGTGATTCAACAAGTGAAGGGTCAAGTGAAGGGTTGATTCAAATAAAGAAAAGGGAATGAGTGGCTCCAGGAGTAGAAGACGGGGTGTGAGAAGAAAGGATAACGGGCTGCGCCGTCACTGACCGGCTGCAGAGGGCACAGTCGCTGCTCGTAGGTGAAGAAAGAGAAACTCTTGAAGGAGAAGAGAAGAAGCAAGGCGTTGACGGCATACTTATACGAGGCTGTTATGAAGCTGATCCTTATGGGTCTCGGCATGCCTCGTCCAGTCCACGCGCCTCCCCCATGCGGCAGTGCCCGGTGGACGAGAGGAGCTTCCCTGGAGCATCGTTGTGATAGCCGTGGCCGTTCCGTCATATCGCAAGACTGAGCCTTGCGCCAAGAGCAGAGTGCGAAGCTATGGGGGCTGCATCCTTCCCCGCGTGAGACGCACAAGCCGTACATGCATGCAGGCGAAATGAAGCCATTCCGCGCCGTTGCAGCTGCGGTCAAGGACGCACGTGGCATTGCCGGGCGCCCGGTAGAGTCACATACGCAACTGAGATAGGGCGACAAGGGGAGCATGTCGCACGGCGGGCGGTGCTGCCCGGTTGAGCGGCTGCCAGGAGGTATTACTCAATATATTTGCATACGTATAACGGCCCCGGCCTATGTGTGGGGATGCTGTTAGTTGAAGCTGCCTCCATGTGAGGGCCCGGGGAAGGCGACAGGGGACCAAGACGGGGGCTCCCTGGCAATACCCGTGCGGCCGCCTCTCGGCAATAGAGCTAGAGAAGCTCGCGGGTAATGCCAGGCGAGGACACGGAGAGGGGGAGCCAGCTTTAATGGATTTACATTGAGCGTGGGGGATATGCCCCGGCATACATACACATTGCAGTAGTTTTGCACGCCTGGCGGCTGTCAAGCCGAAGCCGCTCTGGTGGCATGGTGATCCTGGAGCCCCTCCTCTTGCATGTGCATGAAGGGACAGGCAACGGCAGGGCAGGGCGATACCGGAAGATACGTCGTCCTGCTATAACATGCAGAGCTATAACAGTGCTGAGAGAATCAAAGACCACATCATATCACGCACCTTGAGGGTTGAAACGGGGCATCTTTCAAGGGACCCTCGGCGAAGGAGATCAAGGCTCCACCACGTCCGGGCAGACAGCATTTTTACGACTTGATCGCATGACAGCAACAAGGAACCGGGAGCCGCAGACGCAAACCGGCCTTGACCAAGACGTGGCCAGACCTCTTGGCAGGCCGCCTGGATCGGCGTGCTGTTCGCTCGGGAAGCTGCCCGTTCATCTTATCAATCCCCACCCAACCTGCAGCAAAAGCCGCGTGCAGGCGGGGCGACAAAGAACTAACGTGAAAGGAGGCGGTGTCGAATCCGCTGACCTTCCCGTTGCGGCCTGGCTGGCATGGGGTTCTGTGTATGTGTGGCCCTTTTTCGATGCCCAGTCGACAAGCTTAAACGGTGAGCTCAGGGGAAATGAGGCCGAGCACGATATCGGGTGCGACTCTGCAGGGATTCAATGCAGCGCCTGCCGTGGGACGTAATGCATCAATGATGCTGGAAAAGTGCGGAGAACAAGTGCGTGCATCCGGGAGAAGAAACGAGGTGGTTTCGCTGTCAAACAGGGAACCGGGGTCGGGTGTCGTCGTCGTCTCTGGTCCGGCCATCATGTAAGGACGGGGCTTTTTGCCTCATTGGATCCCGTCACGCAATCTTCCCCATATTTGGTCCTGTGTGTGGAAGAGTCACGCGACTGATTTAGCAGGCGGTGCTGCTCTCGTCTGGTACCCACACGTCTGACGACATGGTCCGTCGCCTCTCCTGGCTGGAGTGAGATTGCTTTCTTGGGAACGACACTGCCAAGCTCAAGGGGTTCGAGGTGTGGCAGGCCCATTGGGTTCCTCGGCCCCGGTTGTTCGTAAAGCTATCCCGGATTATCAGCGGGACGGCAACGTATCGGTAGATGACGACAGGAACGATAATGGTGTGCCCCTTGGACGCGGTTTGAAGGATTTGGCACCGTAGCTTATTGCAGCGTCTCTCGGCTTGAACCGTGCCGTGTGCCCCAAGTCCGCCATGGCATCCCTAATTATTGTTAGAGAAGAGATAAAGATTGCCAGCACTATTTGCTCCGTGTTACGTACGGATGAGCAAGTAGATTGTATTGGAACTCTTCATCATACCCAAACGAGATACGCTCATTGATCTAATTTCAAATAACTGCCATCAGAATCAAGCCAGGACAAAGCTCCTCTCAACGCCAACTCCCTCCTCCAACGCCTCGCCATCCATGATGCCGTCGCAATACGCTTCGCCCAAGTATGTCCACGACTCGTCCCCCCCCTCCCCTGCCGCCTCCCTCAACAGATGCGGCACCGTCCCGCCGTGGAAGACCACGACGGAATCCCCCGGCGTCATCTGCGCCGGGCCCACGCCCACGTAGCCCTTCTCGGTCCGGTACAGCCTCCGGCCCGCATTTTTGAGAATATTGGAATCCAAGAGGGCCAAGTCTGGTCCGAGGCTGACTTCGGGGTCGAGGCCTGCCGCAATCACATCCTCCACCACGGGCCGCAGCTTGACCTTGCTGAAGCGGCGGCGGAACTTGATGTGATACGTCGCCCAGGTCATCCTAGCCGCGCCGAGGCAAAGCCCGCCCATGTCGACGAGGAAATCGGCAAGAGCCAGATAAAGGATGTAAGCGGCTGCGGCCGGATCACGGGCACAGATGCGGAGACTGGTCATCTCGGAAGTCGGGGTCCAGTACCATGGGGTGATGCCAAGCGTTCTGTAGATGCGCGTGATACCAAACGAGGCAACCGTTTCATCCGAGTTGAGAAGCCGCTGCCCCAGATGACTGACGCTGCCATGGAGAGCGCGAAGTCGTTCGAGGCCAGCAGGCGCCCCAAGCTTGTCCGTGAAGTGTCTGTGGGAGAGGCCCGAGTCACAGACGCGCAGAGACATCTGGGCCTCCGCCTCCTCGTCTGAGCCGGAGGCACTCCCGCTGTGGCGGGAAGCAGCGGCTTCTCTGACGAACTTGGCCGTCTCGTCAAAGAACATTTTGGCACAGCGGTAATCAATCTGATCCATCATTCGCCGCTCAGGGTCTAGCCGATGACTTGTCTGTCCAACACACACGATTCTGTCAACCAGGACGCCACGGACCGTGAGCCGCCCGGACCGCTCGTCCAGCCGACGGCGGGCCCCTTCCTTCGGCCCTCCAGCGGCGAAGACGGCGTCTGCCAAGGTCAAGTATCCCACCGGCACCTTGATGTCCATGGCCCAGTCCGGGACCCAGGAAGGCAGGCCTTGTGTCTCTTTCGGAAACTGCGTAAACAGCAAGGCGTCCATGTTTTCCTTGAGAAGCAAGGCAGAAACCTCTGTGTAGATCTGGACGGCCTCCTTTGCGTAGCGGACACGGACCTGCTGCCGCAAGTCGTCGTCATCGGCCGCCAGCCCCAGCAAGCCAAATATGCGATCCTCTGCGAGATGGGAGCCGATCTTGACATTGTTGTCGTTGACATTGAACTTGAGCACGAGGCCATACAGACCTTCTCGCCGGCCCGTTTGATGAATGACCTTGCGCTGCTGGAAAATGCGAATCAAGCCTGCCGTCTTGTTAAAGATGGCGCTGCGTCGACGGATTTCGTGCTGCGACGTGGCCTCGGTGCGCTGGCCTGCCCAGTGCGTATTGTAAATGTTATAGAAGAGCGCCCCGGCGCGGAAGCAGTCGAAGCAGAGCGACTGTTGGCCGCAGATAAAGACGACTGCGGGCGCCAGACATGCCTCCTGGATGATCCATAGGCGGTTGAACCAGCGCCGGCCTAGCACGTCGGCGAAACCATCCAGGGGAAATCGGACACCGAATCGTTGAATTAGGTTAAGTATGTCGTCTCGGTCCTCGCGTTGCCCTTCGTCGACTTGGACACCTGGATCCATCACGGCGTCAAATACACGCGCTAAATGGCTGACTCTGGGCCCCATGACGCGGCTTAGGACCCCTTCTTGGCATATTTCGTGGATAAGGTTAAAATATAACTTAGACGCGCGGGTTGCCGGGCCCAGCCACACAACGGTGCGCGAGCATCTTGCGTAAATGTCCCTCATGAGCTGGACCTGGTGGCTCTTCTCGGGCTTGTCGTCCTGGTTGATGCTGATCTGGTCGACAAAGAGAGGTAGGTTTACGGAACTATTGGCAGCAAGATGAAGTAGTGCTAGCTCGAGCGGACGATGGATGGAGAGCCGTTGGGCGTCGCTGTGTGTCTCCACGATTATCCCTCGGTCTCGCGCACCGAGGGAGGCCGGGTCGCCCCAGGCGTAGGATAGAGCGTCATAAGGAAGCTTGGTGTCGACGTTGACCTCGACCAGCTTAATGCGCAGCGTGCCGTAGGCGCCCGGTATGCGAGCAGGCTTCGGCGGCAGAAGCTGGACCAGGCGAAAGGTTTTCTGCGACGGGTCAAGGGTGCTATACTGGTATTCTGGGAGATGGCTGGAGGCGAAGAGCGGCATGATGCTGGTAGTGAATCACGTCGAGCTCAACACATAATTATACATGTAGTTCTATTGGATTTCGATGAGGAGGGAAGATAAGCTAGACTCCTGACCCCAGCAATCACCACTCGTAGTGAGGCTGAAAAAACTGCAAGTCTCAACATCTCGAGCTGAACATATGTCGTTGGACGCACGTAAGCCGCAATATTGGGCCGTCTACCAATCGGGGCACAGCAATCTGACACTTTGCAGCAAACATGCAGCCACCTGAGCTCTGATTTGAGGTCTGAGCGAAGGAGAAACGGGGCGACTTTCCACTTTCCGATTCGCAGCTTTCTCACACACCGTGGGCTTCGTCGAACGTGAGGCCATACGCGACCGCGATGCTTCGTCCGCGACTTATAGATAGTGGCGGCTTGGCCATGTACATCCAAACCTTGCTTACGGCTCTGCAAATTACGACGTGGCTAGTCTGAGTTGTCGAATCTCTTGGCGGATCGTTCGACCTGGATGCTGAAGGCTATCTTCATGCACCTGTATGCGGGAGTAAGGCCCCTGAAGAACCTTGATGGCAAAAGCTAGATATGTATAATGCTCCTGGTCTGTTTAATTGCTGAAATTCTCGGCCTCAAAAGATGGCCTGTACAAAGTAGACCGACGATAATGGGCGAGCGATATGCCAAGTGAATGAGAAAGGAAATGAGGCCCCATGCCCACTCCACTTTGCTTTGCTTTATGGCCCATACGGTCCTCAACGCGTTTCGACTATCAGTAGGTCATGCTAAGCTTGATTCTCTGTAGAAACAACGGCTGTCCTCTCCTGAGCTACACCGAGATCGCCCAGGTCCAGCACATTGCCACTCCAGGTGTGAACCTACCCGGAGCTCGTATGGGCCGGATAAAGGTGAACGGGGCTAACGCCGTCGTCATGGTCCCGTGCTACAGCCTCCTATAGCCGGTCCTACCGTGGACGTTGTGCTGCGAGCCCTGCGGACAAACAAACAATGGCTGCACTACCCCGGCCCCATACCGATCATTGTAACCTCCTTCCCCGCAGTGTGCCGCTTTCCCGGAGTCTTCCCAGCAGCCGGGGTCTCGGGGAATGGTCGACGGAGTTCTCCGCCGTCCGAGTCAGGACCCCGTAACGGTTCAGCCCGGAACTCGGGACACAGTCAGGTCGGTTCAGACTGCCGAGCCGCTGGCGAGCTTGGCAGACTAAACGTCAAATGCGGCTCTTTTACACCTTTAGTGAGGCAGTCTGCACATGGGAATGCATCCCTTGAGCGGTTGGCTGCTTCAATAGCTTCGTGTTCCTATTACATACACACGTGTGGCCTATGTTGCGGAGCAATATGGAGAATAGCCGCTTTGGTCAGCACAGGTAGTCTGATGTGCCCGGCCGACTGGACTGACGGGAAATGGGAGCCGATATTGTGCTCAGCTCTGCGTGTATTCTTGTTGAGCTTCGTCTAGGGCGAGCTCTCGGCAGAGTCACGCATTGTAGCATGGCCGGGACTTAGTTCCGCGTGGCCATGCTCGACTTGAAAGTACAATCATCATGAGCATACATTCCGCAACTCACTCGGCCAAAGACATCACCGCCCTCACCTGAGCTTGGATGAGGGAGAGGACCCGTGGAGCTCGGCACGCTGGAAAGAATCTCGAGGCGCAAGTCTTATGCGGCTTTTCAGAACGTGTGCCAAATACTATGAGTGCTAAGATCCCGACTTGCATGCAGGTCATGTACAAGATATCAATAATCGTCCTCATATTGAAAGCTCGCGCCGCGCCTGGGCCATCATTCCCTTGTCTGTACCATTGAGAGTCGGCTTCTGTCGAGGCATGTGCCGGTGTGCAAGTTTCCTTTAGACGTCGTGTGTCTTGCTTGACCTTCATCTTCCAACTTCTCGTGCCATGTCGCAAATAACCTCCATGTGATGTTTCACCGTCGGTGCGACATGCCCAGACCGGCAGCGCAATGGCTTCGTCGTGCATGGACTGCGCCCCCGGGAAATCCGCATCGACCACGCTGCGGCCAGGCATTTCCAAACGTGCCCCGGCTTCTCCGTCGAGCTTCGCCCCATGGATGAGAACATCCTTTGGTGAGGAGGAGCTTGGGATGGTCTCGGAGAACATGGCATATCCCCTCCATGGTAGCTTCAATGGCAAAGAGCTCGAGCCCGAACCTGAAGCCAACACCAGCCTATCTTGTTCATGTCGGTAAAGGCACGGCTGCTAGCAGTGTACCACCAGAGCAGCAGTAAGTCACGTTTGTGCAGCAAATGCCCGAGCCTCAATAGCCGGAGGCTACTCGAGTTGACCGTCTGGCCCCGTTGCCCATTGTCACTAAATGCGAGTAGCATTTGCACAGTTCGACAGAGTGAGTCAAAGCCTGTCTCAGGACGTACGTAATATGGCAGTCTCGATGCCAATGATTGCTGTGTCATGCACCCGATTCGTGGTTGGTGCAGGGCGGGCTCCTTTCTGTAACACCAACCACGGTTGAAAGTGGCAATCTCGCTTGTGCCATATTGGAGGCCTGGATGCCGTCTGACGGACAGCAAGCGTCGTGTATCCTGTGTAACGGTGCTGTTTGTCAACTGTCGTTCGAGTATTGCCCGGGCCCCCTCAACGTCAGTGCCAAGTTGCAACGACGACAGGCCAGACACGACGCCACATGGCTTGCTACAGACCTCTTGTACATGGGAGTTATGCGCTGTGCGTGTATGCACCGCACGCGCTTGAGAAAGCCGACATGCTCAGCTCAACACTCGCCGTTCTCACGGCTACATTCGACGCCAATGCCTCGTGGTGCCATTGGGATGAGAGCAGTCTCGTTTTCGTCACCGAATCAGAGGCTCTGCTTTGAAACCCGTAGTCTTGGGTGACTTATAATGAGGCAGTAAAGCCGCTCTGCTATGAATCTGAGCAAGTAGAAAGCACCAGTTCACGGTCAACGTCGGCTTGGGCTCGCACAGAAGCCACACGACTCCCAATCACCTATTCGTACAAGCCATCGTCATCTTCGTGCGGCGACATTTCCCTGTTTCAGAGCAACAGCCATCACTGGCTGACCGAGAATGGATCTACATGCGTAACGGTGGCGCGGTGCGTAATACTATTCTGAGAAGCTCCGACAGAGAGAGCGACTCTCGCCTGTTGGAGGAGGAGAGGATCGACAAATCATGGCCCCGGCTTGTCGCTGCCTCACGCATGTGCCTACTGTGCCCGTTGGAGTCGCCGACTAATCAGCAATCTTTCTCTTGCGGTTCGATCCGGCACACTCCTTTCCCCCAATTGGACGTTTCTTTTCTTTTCCAGACATTCGTTTTTCTTTTACGGCCATGTTCTTGCCTCTCAATGGCCAACACGACATCGGGCTTGCATGAACAAGGGGCTATAGCTCGACCATGTTTGCTTTTTCGGCACCAGTGGATGCGAGACTCAAGCTGAATGTCTCACACCAGGTCTTATTGTGTTTTCCCTGTGGGCCTGTCTCCCAGCAAACGCGGTGAGTTGAAGAAACTGCCCGCCGCCATCTCGTTCTACGGCCGACTGTCGAGCCTCGTTCTGAAACCGTCGACACCAAGGCCTTGGTTCTCGTCAGCGTCATGGCCCACGAACCGAACGAGAGGGATCCCCTCATACCGAGGACCGGCCACCGGGGCGGGCACGCCGAGGATGCAGGAAGCTGCAAGGCCCTCGAGCAGGCGTCGCTGCCCAGCGGCGCGAGGTTCTACGCCATCATCGTCACCCTGATGCTGAGCTGCTTCCTCGCGGCGCTCGACACGACGATTGTGGCGACGGCCATCCCCGCCATCACCGACACGTTCCAGTCGCTCAGCGACGTCGGCTGGTACGGGTCCGTCTTCTTCCTGACGCAGACGACCTTCCAGGCGACCTGGGGCAAGGCCTACGGCTTCTACGACCTGCGCACCACCCTGGCCGTCTCCATCGTCGTCTTCCTGGCCGGCTGCGTTGCTTCGGCCGCGGCCCCGAGCAGCGCCGTCGTCATTGCCGGCCGCGCCATTGCCGGCATCGGCGCCTCGGGCATCCTCGGCGGCGTCTTCACCGTCATTGCCTTCATCACCGACGACACCTGGCGGCCCGTGTACATGGGCATTGTCGGCACCACCTTTGGCGTCGCCAGCGTCGTCGGGCCCCTGCTCGGCGGCCTCCTGACCAGCACGGCCTCGTGGCGCTGGATGTTCTGGATCAACCTCCCCATCGGCGGCTTTGCCCTCGTCGCCCTCTTCGTCTGCTTCCAGACGCCCAAGCTGGCCAAGGACGCCCAGAGGCGGCTCCCCTGGACCGCCGTTGTGCGCGAGCTCGACTTCACCGGCAATGCCCTCGTCACTGCCGCCGCCGTCCTCTATCTGCTCGCCATGGAATGGGGCGGCACCGCGAAGCCGTGGAGCTCCCCCCCGGTCGTCCTCGCCCTCGTCTTTTCCGGCATCCTCACCGTCGCCCTGTGCCTCTACGAACGCGCCATGGGCGACCGGGCCTTGATTCCCTCGCGCCTCTTCACGCAGTGGCCCGTATGGCCCAACTGCATCTACACCTTCTTCGTCTCGGGCGTCTACTTCCCGCTGCTCTACTTCCTGCCCATCTATTTCCAGGCCGTCCAGGGCGTCTCGCCCGCCGTCAGCGCCGTCCGCAACATCCCCCTCATCCTGGGCGTCTCCGTCTTTAGCATTGCGTCGACGTCCTTTATCGGCCGTACGGGGCTGTGGAAGGTCCCTCTTGTCGCCGGTGGTCTCATCACCCTTGCCGGCTCCGTTCTTCTCTGCCTGCTCGACTCCGACTCGACCACGGCCGAGTGGATCGGCTTCCAGACCTGCGCCGGCATCGGCATCGGCACGGCCATGGAGGTGCCGCTCGTGGCCAACCAGAGGAGCCTGCCGCTGCAACACATCGCGGCCACCGTCGGCCTGACCATGTTCTTCGAGCTCGCCGGCGGCGTCGTCTTCATCTCGGCCGCCCAGGCCATCTTTGCCAACGGCCTGCTCCGGAGCCTGAAGCAGACGGCCCCGAACCTCGATGGCCTCGACGTGCTGCACCACGGCGCTCTCCGCCTCGGGGAAACGTTCGGAGACGACGCCCCCGCCGTTCTCGAGGCCTACATCAATGGCTTCCACGGCGTCTTTGCCATGTCCCTGGCCTGCGCTGTTGTACCCGTCTTGGTATCCCTGATCGTCCTCTCGCCCTTCTTTTCCCCACGCAGGAAGAGTTTCTGGACGTAATGGGACAACGACACGGGGCTTTACATTCAAAGTTGACAATTCTGTCGCTGCGGTCGCTGGAGCATCTTTCCCACTGAGCTATATGCAGACTTGCGTGTAGGATATGGGGGCATAACATTAATATGTGATGTATAGGAAGTAGTCAGGGGTGTGAGTAGGCTCGCTGGCTACGCATTCGTGGGCCCTTTAAAGTGCCTATCAAAACTCAATGTTGTCTCAATTTCCCGGCGGAGATATTTCCCCATCACGACAAGTGCGTCGTGTTGAACAGCCGGTTGCCAGTGTCGGTTGTCTTTGTCCCCGTAAACTTATTGTTAGACAGCCGGAGCGCAACCAACTGCACGTCGTGCTTGCTCATTGCATCGGCCAACGCTTGGCCCTGCGAGATGGCCTCAGCCTGGACAACCCCGGCCACGATGACCACGCAGATGCTGGGGCACATCTGGCGGATATGCTCTATAAACAAAAGCAGTGTCTTGCCGGTGTTGATGACCGAGTCAACCAAGACAACAGTCTTTTGGTCTCGCACGTGGTGTCTGCGTACGCTCGACGCCGAGTCGGCGTGGACAAACATGGCGAGCGGAAACACCTCGTTGATGCCCAGGGCCAGCGGCTCTCCACCTCTCATGAGTGCTATGATCGATGTCTGTCTCTCATTACGAAGCCGATGGCCGCTTGTCTGGTGGCCCTGCACGTGGGGAATGGGATATTCTTCGAGACCTATCGCGGTAGACAAGTACTCGGCGGCCAAATACCGTCCAACCTGTTCATGAGCAGCCCTGAGCCGCGGGCCGGATGTTGCTGCATCGCGTGTAGGAGACATGAGCAGCTTTGCCGCCTCTTTGTCCGTGGCATGCAATACTCGTGAACCGGTCATGCCAGGGTCGCGGTCATCACCCCTGGCACTTACACGGCTATTGTGGCGACCGGCAACCGAATTGATAAAGTCTTGATCGCTGAACCTGACTCGAGGCAGCCGAATCTCGTCCAAGCGCGGCGAGACATGTTCAGGCATCAAAACCTGTCGCGCTCGGAGGCCGTCGCCGATGGCAGCCGCCAGAGCCGCCTCCATGTTTCGGCTCCTCGTCTGCTCATCGCCAACCACGACGATGGCCTCGTTGGCCTCTCGTAGCATCGGCAGATCCAAGGGACTGTCACCGAATGCCAAGACGTGCAGCATGTCGGCGTGCCGCAGCCGAGAGACAATGGCAGCTTTCGTCGCCGGAGTGACCACGAGCCCGTCAGAGGTTCTGCCTCCGCCCACGACCTTGACTGTCTGCGAGAGGCTCTCTCTTTCCAGCACCTTTTCCCAGGCCCGGCCAAGACCACAGGTCACCACGACCGCGCCAACGTCGTCTCGGCCGGCTACCGACCGGAGCAATGAGAGGAATTCTGGATAGACCTTGATCGATGACGCTACGGCTCCACACAGGCGTTCATACTCCTGGTCGTCGGAAGCAGCCCCTTCGTATAGCAATGCCGCTTGGCGAAAAGCGCAGTCCGAGTATCCCAACGGGCTTCCAAAAAGCAGCTTGAGGGGGCAGGTCCCTGGCTTCTCTGTCAAAGGCCGTGGCTCAGCACGAATCTGCCAGAACAGCGCCCCCGTATCTTCGGCGGCCAAGGTCCGATCTCCGTCCAAGACGAGAACCGTTCGCAGTCGGTCTCGGCCTGGCAGCACTTGGTCGAGTCTCGTTTGAGCACGCACAAAGTCTCGATCGGCGGCATCTTGTCGAAAGCGACGAATCAAGGCCGAGACTCGCAGCGCCAGAGCAGCCTGCTCCGTAACGACAGAGAAAAGAATGCCATGATGACGGCACAGGGGTTCAAGTTGTTGAATCTCGGCTTGCTGCCATTGAGAGAGGTGCTGAGGAGACACCGCAGATCGAGTCCTCAGCTTGTCATCCACGCGACGCTGGGCGATGCACCGGGGGTCGACTTGGAGGTAGACGATGTGAGTGTAAACTGCCAGGTCGTTTGGAGTGCAGACTGGGGTTTCCATGGCCTCCCCATCTGACCAGAACATGAAGTGGCCGGTGACGACTGCGGTTCGCCCGGTGGAAGCGCTCTCCCTGCCAATATCATCAATGGCACGCCCTCGCCAGTGGGCCTTTTCCTGTTCCGACATGCTCTTGAAAGCCGCGAGGCCACCCGAAACGAGAGCAGAAATATTTTCCGAGCCTTCGTGCATTTTGAACTCGCCGGGGTACAGCTCGTGCTTCAGACGATTCAGAAGAAACGACTTTCCTGAGCCTGGGACGCCGTATAGCCCAACCACGACAGGTTTCTTCTCTTGCTCCTCATCAAGACAAGATGACGGGACAGAAGCTGGAATCGGAGCGCAGGAGACGCCCGAATCCTGCTTCGTTTTCTCGAAACGACCTGTTGCCGTTGCCGCCATGATGAACAAAGTGACAGTGGTGGTGCAAAGTGTCAGAGTGGTTGGGGGTGCAATAGGATTGATGCTGACTAGAAGATCTTTGAACTGCGTTGAGTGTAGAGGCTGGCGGAATGGACGACTACCTTGGGACAATTTAAACTTATCCGCAGTGAATGAAGCCCTGACATGATATCTGCTCCTCCCCATGAGGCCGTTGTCATTGAACATGGGAACGGTCGGTAAGTTACTTCGTACAAGCAGACCCAACAACATCATACATCATGTAGGCGGCCTCCTGCATGCGGGAGGCCAACAGCTGACATCAATTGTCTCCCCCCGCCGAGAGAGCTCGGACGCGAAAATCAAAACATGCGGCGTTCTCGATCCCTGCCAGTCAAGGGAGCCCGACAAGTCAGCTCCCGTCTCCGTTTGGACGTGACTCATACCGCGTCACCTCCTCGGGAATCAGGCCTCGAACACGTTGGATTTCCGTGGTTCCCTCAAGGGAAAAGGGGCCACACAGCCCTCAACCGGTGGCAGACTCGCACAAACGTCGGAGGATGGATGCCGTGGCGACCTGCAACCTCGCACAGCTTGCGGTCCTTTGCCGGGTTCACCACTTCGCGCACCGAGGCCGGGTCAGCACAGCTGCAGCAGCGGGCAGCCACTCGATAAAAGGCCCATCTCGACGTGTACTTGAGCAAGAGGTACGCATACACGACGACGTGCCGGGTTCGGAAAGGCGGCGGCCCCTGCAGCGGATGTCCGTCGTGTTGCGCCCGGCTGATGATGTAGAAGACGTCGGCCGTCTCGCTGAGTCGCTCTAGCGCGGACCGGGCGGCCTGTTGCTCGGCCAGCTCTTCTCGCAGCCGGTCGCCATACCAGGGCCGCGCTTGTGGCGTCAGTCCCAGGAAGCGATGCCATCGTTGCAGCACTCTCTGCAGCCGCATGTTGCCGTGACTTGGGAGGGGGGGAAACGGGTTATCAAGGTGAACGACGCGGTTTCGAGAGCTGTCCTCTTCCAGGGGTCAGGCCTGACATGAACTCACCTTGATGTGCGTAAGACAGGGGTTGCACACATGCGCGCGCAGAGCCGGTCTCGATGTTCAGTGTCTCGTCTCGATGATAAAAGTGAAAACAGTTGAGTGCAGGATGGAATTTGAAGCGGACGAGTGTTTGCATTTTCCCACTCTCTGCAGGGGCCAACTGACGACCCTTGGTGAGACCGCGCACCGGCATGCATGTCCAATCTCCCTACTTTTTCAGCTGGCATCGTAGATGATTACGCAGTGAGTTTTAAACCCAAGAAAAGTTGCACGGGATAACCGCCCTCCATTTCCACGAATTTTTTTCAACATCAGCTGGGCTGCATGTCGTAATAAGTGTGTGGGTGTGTAATATGGAAGACAGGTGCTTTCTAGAATACCCCATTGCCCTTATTGCCACATCAGCACCAAGCTAGAAGCAGTTGCCGCGAAAACTCTGGCTAGGTAGAGGCGTTGTTTCTATGAAAATGGCGCCCTATCTTCACATAAGGTAGTTTTGGAAGACGCCGCAGCACGTAAGAATCCCATGCTGGTACTTTATAAACAAGTCCTGATGCCGTTCCTATGCACACCCAGGCTTCAGAATTTCAGACTGTCCGATGCTGATCTGTGGGTGAGTTACGTTGAAGGAGGGGCAGCTGGCAAGGCACTTCTGGCCGCTCGCCTCGTGATGTTGGCTCTGTCTTGGCTGACGCTGGTGTAAGTCGGTAGTTCAGTCACCCCTTGGATGAGTCGAGGCACGTTAGATCGCCGTGGATGAGTCGATTCCTGTTAGATCGCCAGCTTCCCTCACCCTTGGAGGGCGCTCTTCATCTTTCACAGACGGCAGCAATTCACCAAAAGGCTGAAGCAGGCGATGATGGCTTTCAACGTGCGTGATGCTTCCGCATGCGTGCAGGATCCTATAGCTTTTCCTTCCATGACAGCGAGTTACGGTTGCTAATTACGGATTAGGTGTACGTACATGATTTTCTATCCGCCTTTTCCAGAGGTCAACCAGGGATTCCTCCCGGTGTAATCAAAAGCTCACGTTAATTTTCTCCAACTTGTGTGCCAGCTGCCTCGAACGCGCGCTTGCTATTCAGGAGCTCCATGAGGTTCGGATGCGGCTTGTCTGCGCATACAGGTTAATGATGGAAAGCGCTGTTGCGCCCACCGAATCAGGTGGAAGGCCCCACAATGTCAGGCATGAAATCGGTTCCAGTAGTTTCGTAAAGAATAGTCTGAAAATCAATGCTTTTATACTGAGCGTCAAACGCCGCTCGGTGATGAGGGATAGTAAAGAAATCCTTGACTGTACATGTAAGCGAGTTTGTATTCTGTTCCTTCAAGAAGAGGCTTATCTTCAGGTCATTGCCGAGCTTTAGAGTGAGGAACTTGACAATCAAGACGTTGCTGGTGATACTGTTAGTACTAACGTAAGAAGTAATTCCAACCGCCTTTCTCTAATCGTGTCTTAGGATCTCGCGTCAGCCAGCGCCAGTCTCCCAGCCTACGTAAAAGCTCATAGCCGCTGTAGGTATGGTTGCGGTAGACAACGGGCTGTAGACGTCTATCCCTGTAATCAAGATGGCAATAATCTCGCAACCAGTTGCCGTCTTGCTAACATGCCAGGGACAGAGCAATTGAGCTGTACCTTTAGGCTCCTTAAAGCTTATAAGGGCATCTACAAGGGCCAAAATTACAGCCTATGACAGTAACTCAAAGTAGATAGATTCCTATCCTTGCAGCTAGCATAAGCAAGGCTGCACACAGACTACTGCCATTGAGCTTTAACCTTGCTAATTATGAAAACGAATGCTATTAAGAAGGTCTTCTTTGTATGCATTATATTTTAGTTATTTAGAAGGAGCATGTTAATGCAGTGAAGGTTATAGAGGCAGTCCAGTTGCCAGAGCGCTAGGATGAGACAGCATTTTCATATTGCTTTTGGGGACCAAAAGAGGGCAGAAACTCGACCTTCTAGATCAAGGGTGCGACGGACAAAGTAGTCCGACTTCTCAAATAGATTATGGAGGAATTCATGTGGCATATGCCCCATCCTGTGTCCGCTCCTTGGACCTATGAGCCTTTGTGTCGCGACCGGCTTTCCTTTGCCTGTGTTCCTTTGAGATTTATGGCTCCTGGCCCAATCACATCAGAGAATCGTGGTAGAGATGACTCGATTCAGCCGTGTCTGATTGGCTACATCATTGGCATTTCGCATCATCCCATCGAAGCAGGGCACCGCACATGGACCCGGGGCTGCTGACCCGGGTGACAGCTCCTCCTCCTCTTCTTCCACCCTCGTCCTCTTCCAGCCGCCAAAGATACAACAACAGTTGATACGACTCCCGCCACAGCGCCGCTCTCCGCACAAGTCAAAGGCAAAGGATAGGTTTCAGACTACAAAAAGTACTCTGCGCACCACACGATGTTTCAAAGGACTGGACAGCATTCGAAGATCCCCAGCAATGAACAGCTCTTGATTTTCAATCTGGGGTGAGCTAAGCTTCAAGAGCATGTTTACTGTTGCCTGTTCTGGGCAGCGGCACTGGGCGTCTCGAATGAGCCAGCAGCTGATCTTGACAGGCAAAGATGCAGCGGGTTGCAACCCCTCGCGCCAACTGAAGCCCTTTTGACGTGGATACATTCAAACGAGTTCTTGCGTAAGTGGCGCCGGCCCGAGAAACCTTGCAAAAGGGCCGCCGAAATAGTGCTGGTGCAGGCTGCTCGCCAAACAAGTCAACAGTTGACAGGGCCGAGTCTGTCAGAGCATGTTACGTGTAGTAGGCAGTAGTGCGGCGAAGGTGAAACTACGTCTGCTCGTAGGCCTGCAGTCCGGTGCCGACCTGACTCGCTCCCCTCGCAGTCGGGCGCTTTCACTCGGGGAATTGGCCCGCAGGCACTGTCTTCTTGGCATAGAGTTTCTAGAAGCCAGGATAATGCCGGGAATGACAGATGGCTTCATACGGATACCGAAACGCGGAGAGTAGCAAGTGAGTGCATGCGGCCCTGCCACGCTCTCCTCCGCACCTTGGGCGGCATCTCGACCTTTCAACATCTTCAAATTCCTTGCGTGTCCCGCTCTCGTCTTGCGCCGGCCGGCAGATTCAAGCACCGTGATGCAATTGAGCCAACATGGGCGACCCTCGAATTGACGCAGCCCTGGCTGCTGGCGACGTGCCTCGGAGAATCAGCGTCGCAATCCTCGAAATGAACCGAGACCTTTCGGCCACCGTTAGCATCGTCATCGTCACGGCCCTGGCTACTTTGATCGTCTTGTGCAGACTGCTCTCGCGGAGATTCATTATCAAGCGCTTCGGACTTGGCCTCGACGATGGAATCGCGCTCGCGTCGCTGGTGAGCCGCCCTGGAGCATGGAGCTTCTGTGACGACCTGGTGCTGACATTTCGGATAGGTTGTCTTTATTCCATTCGCGGCGCTATGCTTGGAGCTTATTCAGATAGGCGGGGGACGAACATTTCCCTTTATCGAATTCGTCCTCGACGAAGCGACAGCCAAGAGAATCCAGGTCATCGACTCTATTGCGCATTTGGTCTACAGCACCGCGCTTCTGCTCTGCCGCGTATCGGGTCTCGCCTTCTACTACCGCATCTGTGCTTTGCACAAGGAGTTTCTCATCGCAATCAGGGTCATCTTCGCAGTCTTAATCGTCGGCTACCTGGTGCAGATGCTGCTCGTCATCTTCCACTGTAAGCCTGTGAACATGGCTTGGTTGCCTACATCCAACGACGACGAGCTTTGGAATGCTACGTGTTTGCAATGGTATCAGGTATACAGCACCATCTCCGGCATCTCGCTCGCCTGCGACTTTTTACTCTTCGGCCTCCCGGTGGCAATGCTTAAGATCCTAGATATGCCACGGAAACAAATGGTTCAACTAGCCTGTATCCTCTTACCAGGCCTTGTGTAAGTACCGGCATACCTAAGAACTAACAAGGCGAGGGCTTTCTAACCGCGTAATTAGCGTAGTAGGCATTTCTTGTGGTCGAGTCGCGCTCGTCGTTTTCTACGGCAGTAAGTAAACCCCGAGCCGGCTAGGTCGGAATCCGTACTGACGTGCGGCATCCAAAGACGAGGAACCTAGAACGTTCAAATTTGCATTTCTTAGACTGCTCATCGTCGAAGTCTCCGAGGTTAGCGCGACGCTCATTGCCCTTTCAATCCCGGGAGTCAAGCCGATGGTGGATAAGTTCATCTTGCGAAAAGACAATTGTTCGGAGTTTGGCGGATCCAGGATCTCCTCCAACAGGGGCAGCATCGGGTCCCAGAGCTCGGGGCTGAGCACCTTAAAGGGGCTATCGCATTTCAACGTGCTCGGCGACGAGAGCGCCGCCCAATACGGGGCAGCGGTGTGCCTGGGTGAGCAGAAACAAGACAGGAAGCAAGAGGGCATCCAAGTGACGGTGGATGTCTACGTCGAAGACGGACGAAGCAAGCCGACAAAAGGAAGACAGAACTTCATATAGACCGGTGGCTCTCACCAGGATCTCGACACCGCTGAGCGGGCGACCGATCAGGGTATGAGCTGGCGACTGGAGAAACTCGCCTTCATGCCAACCACCTTTCACCACACAAAGCAACAGCGTTGCCACGAGAACCCCCCCCCAGAACTTGTTATCATACATGTAGCCTTAGAAACAGCCTCCTAATTATGCAGACGGTGAAATTATGAATTCCAAGTTGTATGACCCATATGGGTTGCTGGTATAATGCCTGTGACCCTCTCAGAGATGACTTTGCTCAGAAGATGAGAGGTTGAAGCTGAACACATTTACACTTCACTCTGTGCAGGGTAGTAGGTCTACTTGCTGCATGTATGCAGGAGGGAGTGCACCCTGTAGGAATCAACTTTCCATCAGAGTTGATTCTGTCACGCTCATAAGAGGCTGTTATAATATACACCTAGTATAGCTTACTGCCCAGACTTGAAGCTTAGCATTCACCATTCCCAGGCCAGCATATTTCAGTTCTTGCATCACATATTCGAGAATTCTTGTGGTAGGAGTAAAGGGAGACTGGTAAACGGCTGCCTTGGCTGCAGTGTCCTCTTCTGGCCGTCTTTGGAAACCTCCAGTACAGCGACGACGTTGATGGCACAAACCTTGAAAGAGTTAATAAAGGAGGCTGCTACTCGACTGCCGTGGCCAGGCTCGTCTTTGTGTTGTGGTCTGAGTTGGTACACATGAGCATGCAGAGCGTCACTATAGGTAATGTCCACGAGCCGCATTGTTGACGCAACTCGCTCCACAACTTGAGCGTCAAAGCTAAAAAGTCTCGTTGGCGTATATAGATAGATACATGATGTAGCCGACTTGCCCTTCCAGAACGAACAGTGGAATTAAGACCCAAAGTTTACATGAGAAAGAGCTACGATTCTACTACTGTAACAGTCCAAGAACTTGAGGACACTCCGCGGAAGAGGGCGCGCGAGCTGGCCCTGGGATCCCTGATTCATGGAGCGGAGCACATGATGCACTCGGATCGGACGCAGCCGGCGTCCGGCGTTACAGATGCGGTCTTGACCAGGGGAGACGGCCCCGTTTGGTCCTTGGCGACATGGCGGGATGGTCCGACGTTGGAATCAACTGCGAGAAGACGGTTGATTGATCTGGAAGGCGCACCTATCCGGTGTCCACTGGGTCGGGCTTTGACAAAGGATGGCGGATCTGGCAATAAATTTGCAGCTACTCTGCATCAACTGCGTATATCGACGAGGCAGATTCAACGTTTCGCCCTTCACTGTACCCGCACAGTACCGGCCAAGGGCAGATCAGGTGGCCCAAGAGGCCTTTGGCTTTTCTCAATGAATATCCCAACTTATTCGTCTCTACCAGTGATGCGGCATTCTGCCCCGTCTTTTTATTTGTAGCAAGCGCAACCAATAGTTGGTACGTCTTTACCCAAACTCACACCTTTGACGTGCAGTGTCAGCTGCCAAGACGCCTGTACCCTTTATGGTGGGTGAATATATAATACCTAAAGGCAAAGTTTAAAGGCGGAATGTCTTACCTACTTGTAGCAGCGTCTCCTGTCAGCTAACGCGTCCCAGGCATTAATCTCGTCCGAGGACAAGTGATACATTCATCTCTAAACGACTCATATCTCCACTTCCTACTTGACGGTCTTAACCATCTCGCCCTTCCGCCTTCAGCGCCGCCATCTGTTTCTGTCCAGCTTAACACGATTCCTCAAGGCCGTATCAGTCCTTCGTGAGCGCCTAATCCTGCATCGAGACATAACGAGGGCAGTCGAAGTGCAGCTTGGCTGCATTGCGACGAGTTATAGGCCAAGGCATAACAAGGGAGTAGTTATGGGGCTGGCACCGGGGCAAGGGCCTCGGGGTCCAACACCCTTGTATACGTAAGTAGGTTGCCTAAGACGGTATGTAGGCTCCTTAGGATTGTAGGGATATTATAGTCTATAAATATAACCTTGATCCCTCTGGCTAGTAATTCTATACATATCGTCGCTTACTTACTTCTATAACCATGTTACTTCTGTACCTGCTCTTTAATGCCCGCTGAGATTCTCCAATAGTTCTATGCTTCTTCTACCTTTATACGCTGTATTGAAGCAAATACGAGATATTCTATCAAACGATAAGATGGCGCTATATACACGCTTGACGATGGTGACCACTCTGTGCACCGATCCGTCCGCAAATGCAGCTGTGGTGGACAGTTTGGACAGGTGCAGAGCCCAATACTGCAGAGGCATTTTGGGCCCATCTTCACAGCAAAGACTTGGCACGATTTCGAGCTTATCACTGTAAAGAGTGTGGAAGCCCTGTCGGCTTAAACAGAGTCGCGAGCCTGACCTCGAGCTCGCTTGGTTGGGGGAGCGCCGATATGGCGTTCGTACACTGCGGCGCCGGTCGACGGAGACAGCAGGCCTTTATGCGGAAAGGTGCGAGTTGGCGCAGGATGCTCATCACACAGCCTCCAGTTTTCGCGGCTACCCATCAAACGTTTTGGGCCGGAAGAGGTAATCTTCATGGCAACCTGCCAGCCAGAGAACACCGCCACATCTGCTTTACAGACGGCCTGTGTATGGGCTAGCTCTACGACTTGCTCTTTTCGCTGCTCTTTACCCAGGCAAGAAAGGACAGTCACTCTGTCATGATTAGATGGATGATCCCCGATATGTTCGCGTCGGCCTCCCGGATTGCACTTCAGAGGAACAAGCAGGCCGTGACGGCCCATCTTTGTCATATAACGGCGCGAAAGTGTTGTTGCATTTATGCCTGCCGAGCGTGAGATTTACTCCGATATCAATCAAACTTCGTATTCGCAGGTACAGAGCTCCCCAGTTCTTATGTTGAGATGATGGTGTCGGGCAACAGCTGTCAATTGAGTAAGGGATGCCTGTGTCAGCAGGGCCCAAACAGCCATACACACACATTAACACAAGGATAACCCATCACTACGCATTGAGGCCAAGGGAAGTTGCAATTTCGTATTAGAACATCAGGACCATCAGGGTAGGGCTATGTTGGCAGCTATACCAAGGTTTAGAAGAGGTATCTGTACGTATAAATACCCCCTTGGACCTCACATAGCTAGAAGAAGGGCATGCTCACTTTGTCACATCGATTCATTGCCCCTGATCACTTCCACATGCGCTCTCGAACACCTGTTCGAGAGATGGATACAATACAATCAGGGCCGTCGTTGGAAGCATGGGCAACCATGGGCACACCCTCTTGGCCGGGTGAACTGACACCGGCCGGGTGATTCGGGCTGCGTCATGCAGTTGAGGCTCTGTTGGCCATTGAAAACCCCTAATGGGAAGTTGAAGGATGATCCAAGATGAAGCGCGGGTTCTCGTTGACTTTGCGAGGGAGGGGGCTGACGGAATAGATCTGCAGATCCATATAGAGCCACGATCCATACAATACACGTACACTGAAGTGAGCTCTGAAACGAGATCTAGTTTTCCTGTCTTTCCTTCGAAGAGTGGACTACCATACTCCTTATACCTGCTCGTTATCAACTCGAGACATGACGGGTTCGCTCGCAATGGCACGTTGAATAACATGATACACTTTGGGCGACGCTCAACCACGTGCAGTCTCGAATGATAATTTCTGAGTAAGGCAGGTTGCCTACAATATTAGCCGTACCAAGATTCAGCAGAAGGGGAAGAGGGATGGGCCTTCGTGCTGTTTCAGGATGCACATTCCTTGGCAGACAACATGGGTACTCAGCTGGGCTCGACGTTTGCTCGGATACGACTGGAAGCTTGGCGGATTCGGGCACGGCAAGAATCGGAGCCGACATTAGGTTCGCGGCGCGGGAACATAAGCAAGGAGTGTTGCATAGACTTGGCCACAGAAATAGCACCAGCCTATCAGTTTTAGGTCGGCGAGGTTCTATAGTTCTCGAAGCCCGCGAACAGGCATACCTTGGTGTTTGTGGGCTTATGGGCTATCGAGCAAGAGTACACACCTGGACCAAGTAAGTCAACGCAACATCAAGCACGACCTACCAGCCTTCTTGGCATAAAGTGTTGCTTCGGACAGTCCGGATGTAGATGTCGAGAGAACGTACTCGCGGGTGGATATGACAGGGCAACCCGTGTGGAAATGTTGCAGCGCTCGGCCGGGCGTGCGCCTTCTCGTGCTGATGTTGATCCAACGACTCGTGGCGCCCCAACCGATCAATGCTACTCAAGCCAGGAGATTGTAATTAGTTGCCCCGTAACCGTTTGTCCCGTCGCGTCCGGGCCCTGTTCGGGGTTCGCCGCGTATGCCACGCCCAGACCAAGGCAGAGCGACTCCGGTAAGCATGACACGGCCAGCCCTGAGTCGCGCATGGAGCATAGGTGAGTGTTGACGAAGCAGGGTTGCGAGAGCATAGACACGACATCAAGGATCTAACGATACCGGCCAACGTAGGAAGCATTTGAAGCGAGGTTCGGTCCTATAAATACCTCATGGTCCGCCTCCCAGCCGTCATTTGGTCCTCACCACCATCACGTCTGTACACTAATATCCTCAGCCAACACCAACAGTCTTTTCAGATCGACTCACACTTTCACTTCACCTTTGTCCTGCAGAATGAAGGCCTCGACTCTCGTTCCTTTGCTTGCCGGAATGGTCGCGGCGGTTCCTGTCGGCTCGGTCACGACCGCGATCGCACGAGCTGATAACAAAGGAGTAAGTGGCTCTGTTGCGCTACCGTTTATTGGTAGTGCAGTGTGCTGACTCTTCGGGCGACTATAGAGTCTCGATGCAAACGTGCAGTTCTTCATTGGCGAGACTAAAAACCGACTTCAGGCGGAATGGGATTTAGTTATGTCGTCGTCGGACGCTATGAAGACTACCATAAACGACATGTGGAATCTGGCCGAAGAGCTTTTGGGATCTCAAGCTACCAAGGAAAACGTGGAGTGGTGGATTCGCGAATATGAAAATATCAAGCAGAAGCAGGATGGCGTCAAACCCAACGTTAAACTTGTGAATGGTATGCAAATGATAATCGACACCGTCGACCATTATGCAGATTATCTCAAGACATTAAAGGACTTCCAGTACTAGATAGAGCAGGATGGCAGTCAATGGTTAGCTACATTCAATGCCTAAATTTATAAAGTGCCGAAGGTGGACAAGCGATGAGCCTCGTGGCACACGAACAGGAGGTTCATATAATGAACCAAGAATTTGAAGCGCCGGGGAACCCTTTACTCATCTTTCCTAGCAGCCTCACCTGGTGAAACCTCCCACCTATGCTCCAGCCATGGTCCCGAGTCTCGGCCGGGCAATACGTAGCTTATTATACAAGTAGATCCAGGCTCCGGCCCCTGTCCCTCCTTTGCCACGGGGCCGTCATAGTTCTCATTGTGCCCCATGAGTCATGTACTCCACTCGGAGTGCTTTGGCAAGTTGGCCGAGTTGGTTATGGCGCCAGGTTAAGGTCCATCTTCACATGAAATATATCCTGGTGGAGCAATCCTCCTGGGTTCAAGTCCCAGACTTGTCATATCTTTTTGCATCTCGGCACAGTTTTTGTTGTTGGACGCCTCCCTGGACATGGGCCGTGTCTTTTTGCTTCGCGTCAGCTTCTGTCGTGTAATTTTCATCGCCATGGCAGTGCATTGACCAAGAGAAACATGGTTTGACATAACGGAAACCACCAGAAAACCCGTGGATGATGATAGGGAGGTCAATTTTGTTGTTTTGGTAAATCTAGTAGGCGGATAGTCCCCGGTCTGTGTACCCGGTTGGGACGCCTACGTCGAGGAACCTCGTCATTCTTCCAGTTTGTCCCTTTTTTATTATATTTTCTCATTTGTTTCTCCTTTAATGCCCAGTCTGCTAATGGCTCAGTGTCTCTACTTGCATCCCGCCCCTGAGGACAGCCACCCTCATGCCACAGAGCAGGTTGTGCGCATTGCCCGAGTGGCTATAGACTCCGCCCTCGAACCACTGCGTGGCGTCTCGGCCCATGCCCATGTTAAGCATCGACTTGCCTCCCGGGTGCGTGTCCATGAAGCCGGCCACGTCGTAGATGACGCCCCCGATGGCGATCCACTTCTTGCCGTTGTCGTCGACCTGCTTCTTGAAGTCGGGCCAGTCGACAATGGGCAAGCACTCGAGCGGGACGCCCCAGTCCAGCTGGCCCAGCCTCCGGCTCATGTTCTTCTGCTCCTGCTGCAGCTTGCGCTTCTCGATCTCGTTGCGCCGAAACGTCTTGAGGCCGTAGGCGAGCCCGACGAACTCGAGGCCCGCGATGAGCCACTTGGTCGGGTCCCAGTGGTACCAGACGGGCGACGAGCGGTAGTCGGAGGGGAACTCGTGGTGGAAGTTGTGGTATCCCTCGCCAAAGGTGATGATGGCCGTCACCAGGTGGTCGCGCGGCGTGTGGGCGTCGTCGTAGGGCTGCTCGCCGAGCCAGTGGGCGAGCGAGTTGACGCAAAAGGTGCTCTGGTGCACAAAGAAGGTCCGCACCAGACAGCCGTAGACGAAGCCGCCGCGCCAGTCGCCCCAGCCGAGGCCGCAGACGACGGGCGGGAGGACGACGACGGTGGCGATGAGGATGGCGAGGAAGTGTCGGTGCTGCCAGACGACGAGCGGGTCGCTGTCGAGGTCCGAGACGTCGGCCCGGCCCACCTTGTTCTTGTCCTTGCGCACCAGCAGCCAGCCGATGTGGGCGTGCCAGAGCCCGTCCTGCACCGAGTACGGGTCCTTGTCCGTGTCCGAGTAGCGGTGGTGAGCCCGGTGGTCGCGCACCCACCACCGGATCGACCCCTGAGCCGCGCTGGCGCCGGCCAGGGCCAGGTAGACGCGCAGCAGCGCGCCGCCCTCGTACGACCGGTGTGCCCAGAGGCGGTGATATCCTGGAGACGACCCCTGTCAGCGGTCCGTCGATCGAAGCAGAACGGACGGGACACGAAGAGCGGTGCTTACCTGCGGTGATGCCCGTGATGGCGACGCCGTAGCAGATGGCCGAGAAGACAAACGTCTGCCACCGCAGCGGCGTGCTGGGCGCGGCGAGGAAGCCCGCGATGGGGATGCCGAAGACGAAGAAGACGGAGCGCCAGTTGATCTTGGAATAGGTCTCGTGCGGCTTGAGGCCGCCGCGGACCTTGGACAGAATCTCCTTTCTCCTCGCCGTCGGCTTTGCCTTCGTCGTCGTCGTCGTCGTCGTCGTCGTTGTTCCCCCACCCGTCGCCACCTTGGTCGTGTACGACATTGTCGTCGACTCGCTGAGGACCATGATGGGCCGGCGCTTGTGGAGTCAGTCGTCGACGCTGTTGAGCGGGCAACAAGGCTCCAGACCAGGTTCAACACTGGACCGGGCTACGCTGAACAAGAACCCGGAGCTGTCTTCTCGCGGAACGAGGCCAAGACGGAAGCGCGTCAGAGTGGGAAAAGGAGCGATTGTCCGTTCTTCACCAGCCGACAGGGAGAGAAAGAGAGAACTGAGGCGAAAAAAAAAGGCAATAAAGTCCCAACCGATGTTTAATCATGTTGAGCACGCCTGGCGACCCGTCTTTTATTCTTTGATGGCTTCAGCGGCAAATAAGTGGCAAGCAGCCGCGTTTGGAAGGTTTCACTCTTCTGTTTTATTTCTGTTCCTTTCCCGTCCGGTTTCTCTGACCAGCTTACTCCAATAGGTGGCTTCTCCCTCTCCTCTCGCTGCTTGCGGCCTTTGCCTGCTCATGCTAGGGGGTGCGAGGACGAAAGCTGCCTCGAAACGAGGCGCGAACTTAGGAGAAAGTTACTATCAGGCGACGAGACTAGTTTTATTCGGCCTCTCCCAGCCTTTAATTGAAGCATGTCGTTACATGTACATGGTTGTGTAGATTTGCGTAACAAGGTCGAGGCCGTTGCGAGATGCTGAGCCAAGGGAGAGCTGGAGCTGGACAATTGGCCATCAAAATGCAGGTCTAGTCGGATGCAACCGTCCCCTTGACTACCCAGCCCGGAGCACAGCTCGCAACTGCACTCACAGCATCGCCGTTCGACGCTCCTCGGCGAGCCATGAGACCAGACCCCGAACATCGGCCCCCCTGCAGACACAGAAGCCCAATCGCAGACGTCCTCACGCCACAGGCTGCAAGCTCCGTCCAACCCACGAGCGGCCCAATGTCTCGCAGCCGCGGCCGGCATGCTAGGCGTATCGCGGCCTAGACTCGCAGGAGACGCGCCTAGCGCTCGGCGTGGGCTTCGGCAGCAAATAACGTTGACGCTTGCGATGGGACAAACAATGGAGCCCTTGCTTCCTTTCCCTCAGACACGGGCGACGGTTGTCAGCTGTCTTGTCTCACTTCACTCATTGCAGCAGCAGCGGCATCATATACGAAGACGGCATGGTAGAACTAGCCAAAACAAGGACGGACGACGATGAACCGCTTGCCCTGGCGCCGACCAGGAGAGAAAGGACAATCAACTTGTCCGGACAAGGCGGAAGGCGAGGCAAGATAAAGGGGGGCGCTGGCGGGACCAAGGACACAGCTGCGCGATGGAAGCGGGAAACGAGCGTGTCTCCCCCCTCGACCTCTCGCTACCTCTTAGTCCGATATCGATCGGCCGGCGGTCCCCGGAGTCGTCGGCCTATTCTTGTCTCGGAACTTTCAGCTATGCATTCCAGCGCGGCCTGTCCGCATGTATTGGCCGTTGCTGTAGGCCTGAGGATCCAGTTGCCCGTTCGCTCTCCTTGCCCCGCGGAGCCCTCGGATAGAACTCGAGGCCATGGACGTGCCACGAAGCCCGAACAAACTGATAATAGGCTCGAGTCGATATAGATCCCCGTCTAAGCTTCTGATTCGCATTAGGATTTCCCATTCGCCATGGAGACTTACAATACATCTCCACTGGGCCTAGACGCAGCGCCGCCTCAGCGGATCTCATACCAATCAATCACTCTGCGATGAGTAAGGAAACGGGGGCAAATCTGATAAAAGAGCGCCTTCCAGACCCCAGTGCCCTCCTCGTAGCCATCGTATAGATGCCATTATCGACGCCAGATCACTCGCGCTAGGAGCAGCGTCGTGCAAGACTAGACACCCCATCAGCGTTTGCGTCCCCTGTCGTTCCACCCGTTTCCTTTGCCTCCTGACACTCCCGAGATCTCTCTCTTCTTTCCAAAGCAGAGGCGCTCATACAAAGACGGCAGCACCTGTTTGGCAACAAAGCTTCCGCTCCGCACCGCCGCCATTGGGCGCTCCTGGTCCGATGTCTTCCTCAGCGCGAACAACAGCATCTCCCATTTCGACAGTCTCCATGGCGAGGGCCAGAGCAAGCGCCTTGTATTACATCCGGACTACGTAAATCCGCCATGCGTACCCCAGCCGCAGCCCCCAATACGGACCTATTCGCCGACGGGGCCACAGTGGGGACAGAAGCACAACATCGTCGGCTGTGGCTATACCGGACCAGCTCTTGGCCATTAACGCAGCCCGGCTATCACGACTGGACCTTTGCACGCAGCCATGTACCTATGTAAACAGTCGTGAGCCACGAGATGGGGCCCTGTGAACGGTCACAAGCCACGAGATGGGGCTCCGTCTACGGCTCCCGCATGAGGCTCTCCTGCGCCGCAATCACGGGAGGCCGACGTACGATGCGCCGGCATGAATGCACTACATGCCTATATGCTTCCTTCTATGCTAAAGGCACCCTTCGCGGCTCCTCGGCAGCCGCGAAAAGACCAAAACCGGTCGTTGTGGACGTCGACGTGTTCGAGGCATCCCCATCTGTCCGTAGGATTTGGCCACATGCCGCTGCCGGTACTTCTCAGCAGGGGGGAGGCTGGCTGGCCTCCCTTCCAACCAACCCCCTTTCGCCTTGGCCTTTACGAACCTGGCTGCGAGTTCCCATGCGAGCAGCGACGTGGAAACCGCAAGCACAAAGACCCAGCGCTCCTCGTGGCACGCTCTCCTTGAACCAAGGTTGCAAAGAAGCCTCGGTCATCAAAACTCAAAGGAAAAAGACGCGCATTCCTTACAAGAGACGACGCATCACTCCCAAGTGAACCCATATCAGATGGCTGCTATACGTCGGTCCCCGCCACGGCACCAAAGGCTAATCCACGCTGCCGTCTTACCGGTAACCCTGACCTTGAGCGACGGAATGTCCCGTCCAAGAATAGAAGTCCCGTCCAAGAATAGAAGTCCCGTCCAAGAATAGAAGCCCCGTCTGCCGAGCCTCGGCTTTCTACCTCGCGGCTTCTGCGATACGTCTTCGCCAGGCTCGGTTTCCTCCGGGGTAAACGAGGCCATCGTGGGCTTGGCCGGGGAAGCCCTGTCTCGCAGAAGATCCAGACTCGCTTCCCTCTTTTCTTACACGAGTATATAAAGAGAGGGAGAGAAGAGAAAAGTTTAAGGCCTGGCCCACCGTCAACACTCGTTTACTGTTCCCCATCCGGCACACACATAGAAAAGCCAAGCTCACACGGGCTTGCTCTCCCTCTTCACCTCGGCTCTCACTTGACCTCGACTAGACACCACCCCTGGTCGCTGACACCAAATGGCTCGCATCCGCACGCTCGTCGCGGCCGTCGCGGCCATCGCAACCCTCGCGCTGGCCGACGCCGACCCGAGCGTCGACGTAAAGCCGGCGGCCGTGTACGACGGGGGCGTCGAGGGCGTCGAGAACGCGCCCATCAAGCTGCGGCTGGGCAACGGCGGCGCGGGTGAGAGCGGCCTGATCGAGGGTACGCTTCTTCTACATGCTTCAACTTGGCCCCCACCCCTACCACATTGGAAGTCGAGATATTAAGATGGCCGCTTGTAGCCCTCGCCAACGCCTTCATCCGAGACTCGGTGGCCGAGAATGGCAACTCGGGCCACTTCAGAGTAGCGTGGTATAAGAGTGACACGACCTTCACCATCAAGCACCTGGGGCAGCACCTCATCGACGCGGGCATCACGTACAGCGCCGTGGCCGAGGACATCGCCATTGACGTGGGCATCGCCAAGGCGCCGGCGCACTACGCCTTCCGCGACCACTTTGCCCTCGTGGGGCCCAAGGACAACCCGGCGCGCCTCAACGGCTCGGCGTCGGTCACCGGCCTCTTCTCCAAGCTGTACGAGGCTGCCGAGGCGCAGCCCGAGGGCCGCGCGGCGCAGATCCGGTTCCTCAGCCGGTTCGACAAGTCGGCCACCAATCTCAAGGAGTCGCATCTGTGGGCGAGTGTCGGACAGGTAGGCCCCCTTTTCCGGGCGAATGGCACTTGTATCCCAAGAAAAAGAAGCTCATTGTCCAACGTCTGGTGTGTGTAGGTCCCCTGGGCAGACCCCGTCTCGGGATGGTACCACAAGTTCCAAGACTACCCCCTGGAGGCCCTCCGCGCCGCCGTCCACCTGGGCGAGTACACAGTCACGGACCGCGGCACGCTGCTCTCGCTCGAGGCCGGCCTGCGCGCCGAGCTGGCCGTCATCAAGGCCGGCGGCGACGACGACCCGGAGGACCCGTTGCTCAACCCGGCGCGCCTGCTCATCGCCCGCAACGCCACAAACGCCGCCACGGCCGACGCCTTTGCGCGCTGGCTCGTGGGCGAGCGCGGCCAGGCCGTCGTCGAGGGCTTCACCTCTAAGACCAGCGGCGAGAAGATGTACAGCCGCGCGCCGCGGAGCTGAGGAGCCGTGGGCTTGTGGATCTATGTCGAGGCTGGAGCTTGGAGGCTGTAATGAGAGTAACGGGGAAATGGTCTTACTTGGCATCACGGAGCGAAACCGCATGTGGTTGGAGCAAGGATTGGCATTTATTACATGGATGATGCATGGCGGCGTTGCATCTGCACTTACAACTATGCGTACATACATGGCTCATTTCTACAAACCACCGCCACCGATAATATCACGCCTTTCAGCCTTTCATACTTGGTACCCGGCGCTAGATGAGTCCATGTTCCTGCATCGGCGCTGACCGGGGGGGGAATAGAGGAAGCGAAAAAGCAAAACGACAAGGGTTTCGATCTCCTCACCACGTTCGCATCTATCCACGTAATAAATCATACGACAAAGAGGTCTCCAGAGAATAGAGCACCGCTTGCGGTATCTCGTGCACTTGCTATTTCGTACGGAGTTCTCCGTAAAGTGGGTGCGGTGAACATCTAGCTTAACATCCAGCCTGCGCCCTCCCTCCGCATCACCACAGGCCTCCTCCCTCACGAAACGCCAACCTCAATCCCGCACCCCAAGCCCTCACAGCAGCCGTCGTCACCATGGACCCTCCGTCCGCACCACAAACCCCCCTCCGTCCCCTCTCCAACATGTAAGTCACTGCAGCCCCTCACTCGACCCCCTCAGTTCTTGCTGAGCTCGCCGCTGCCAGGGAACTCTTCTCCTGCTCGCGCCACCACCTCGGCATCTACCGCTGCGTCGCCATAACCTGCCGCTACACCCACTCCGCTGCCTCTTCCCCATCTCCTCCTGCCCTCCTCGACGCCTCCGTCCTCTACCCCGCCCTCGCCACTCTCGTCTCCGCCCAGCCCATGCTCCGCGTCGGCATCCTCGGCCAAGACCGCCCCCGCCCGCGCGCCCGCTTCTCCCACCTCGCCCGCCTCGACCTGCGCGCCCACGTCTCCTTTGACACCCTGCCCGCCGGAGCCGACTACGAGGGCCAGCTCGCCCGCCGCCAGGGCTGGCTGCACGACCAGCTCTGGCCCGACGTCGAGGTCTGCGCCCCCTGGCGCCTCGTCGTCCTCCGGCCCGGCCCCGGCCCCGGCCCCGGCCCCGGCTCCGACTCCGACTCCGATCCGCCGCCGTTCTACGACGTCATCTTCGCCTTTCACCACTCGCTGATGGACGGCTCCAGCGGCAAGGCTTTTCACGAGCACCTCCTCGCCGCCCTCAACAACCCATCCCTCTCCTCCTCGTCATCCCCCTCCTCCTCGTCATCCCCCTCCCTACCTGCTCTCCTTCCCCTCCCCACCCACGCTCCCCGAGGCCCAGGAAGACGTCGTCGGCTTCACAAACAGCCTCCCCTTCCTCCTCGGCGCCGTCTGGTCCGAGCACGCGCCCCAGTTCCTCCGCCCCGCCGCCCCCTGGCACGGCAAGGCCATCGACTTCTCCATCCCCCACCGCACGCGCACCCTCGCCATCGACATGGCCCCGGACGTCGTCGCCGCCCTCGTCGCCGCATGCCGCGCCCAGGGCACCTCGCTCACCGGCCTCGTCCACGCCCTCGTCCTCGCCTCCTTTGCCCTGCGCCTTTGCCCCGACGCCTCGTGCTTCGCCGCCAGCACCCCCATCAACCTGCGTCCCTACCTCGACCCCGACACGTCGGACCCTTCTCTCCGCCCCCTCCTCCGCTCCCTCGTCACCGGCCACTCCCACCACTTCCCCCCCTGGGCCGTCGCCGCCCTCCGCGAGCCCGACGCCTCCCTCGACGGTGCCATCTGGTCCGCCGCGCGCCACATCAAGCGCGAGCTCGCCCAACGCCTCGCCACCCTGCCCGCCGACGACCCCGCCGGCCTCCTGGGCTACATCGGCGACTGGTTTGCCTTCTGGCGCGCCAAGGACGGCAGGCCGCGCGCCGAGTCGTGGGAGGTGAGCAACATCGGCGTCTTGTCCGGCGGCGGCGCTGCCTGGTCCATCGAGCGCGTCTTCTTCACAAACGGCGCCATGGTCGCCGGTCCTCCCCTCGGCGTCAACATGGCCACGGCCGCTCCCGCCGGCACCCTCACCGCCAGCCTTTCCTGGCAGGACACCGTCATCCCCGACGGCTTCGCTGAGCAGCTCGCCGCCGACCTGGCGTCGCTCACCCGACACTTCCACGAGACGGGCAAGTTTTCCTTCTAAGGCCGCTACAATACTCGAGCGCAGCATAGATTCCAGCATACCAGCTGCATCACCCTCTGGCTGCCACGCAAGCCATGGGCAAGGCGACTTCGACTCCCTCGGTTGGTTGGTACGCTCGCCAGGCACGCCACGACTATACAGCTCCATCACGCATGTGGAACAAGCACGGCTAAGGCCTAGAGGTAGATAATGTATCATAAGACATGGGGACGCACCTTGCTCTGCTCCATGCCCCCAATGAACATAGTGTAAAGTTATATACATGGGCATTAAAGGGTTGGCGGCATCCCGCCCTCGCCGTCTCGCAGCGACCTCTAGTCTTTTTCTTGTACCGTCCGGCTCGCGGGCCATCCGTCTATCCCAAACGCGACAAGGAAAAACGCTCCAGCCCAATGTCATGTTCACCGCGGGGGGAGGCATTTTCGACAAACAAAACAGACCCATCCAGCCCCGCGGCTTCATTGCACGTTCCAGCCATCTCGCCTCACCACCCCTCGCCGGGCGGTCGCACCGGCCGATTCCCCCCTCGAAAGTAGCTGTACCGCGTCGGGTCGACGTCTGGGCTCTCCACGTCCTCGTTCTGCGCCAGCCCGCTGTAGCCTCGTGGTCCGCCACCCAGCGCGCCCACCGACGGGCCAGGCCCCACGGGCGGAGAAGTGATGCCCGAGACGAGCCCGGGACTCGAGCGCCCTCGATCCACGGAGCCGTCCCGCGCATAGCTGGGGTGGCTCACGGGCACACCCGCCGCGTGCCTGACGAGGCCCGAGGCGCTGCCGTTGTCCTGCGAATACAGAGGGTGGCGGCCGCGGGCGGACTGGTCGTATCCGGGCGCCGCCGCGGGCCGGCCACCGGAGTAGCTCGTGTCCGACATGCCCGTCATCATGCGACGCGGCGGCACGCCTGGCGAAAAGGGCGTCGACCGCCCGGACAGGGGCGACGCCGGCCGGGACAAGGAGCGGTCGCTAAACTCGTCGACGGAGACGGGGGTGCCGGGCCGCCCGTACATTTCGCCGCCGCCGTGCTGCTCTGTAAACTCGGCCCGGTTCTTGTAGTACTCGAAGTCCATGCGTGACTCGGAGACATACTCGAAGCCGGGCACGTTGTTTGCGCTCTTGCCCGGCCTCCCGCCCTGCATAGCGTCGAGGGCATACATGTCCGAGTATCCGCTGACGCTGACGAGGTCGCCCGCGCCCGCCTCCCTGCCGTCCGTCAAGCGCCCGCGATAGACCGAGGGCAGCAGGTTCTGGGCCTTGGAGTGCACCATGGGCGTGATGAGCGGCTTGTAGAGCGCCGGGTGGCCGAACCGGCTTGACAGCTTCTCGCTGCGGAGCCGGTTCTCCTTTTGCAGCACAGCCTCCTGCATCTTGCCGGGGTTTTGCGTGCTGTAGTAGCGTATCTTGGTGTCAAACGCGCGGCGGCAGTAGACCTTGAATCCGATCATGATAAAGGGCAAGGGGATGACGGCGTAGAACTGCGTAAGGGTTCCCACGCCGCGCACCCAGCACGTCAGCATGACGACGAGATTCGACAGGATGGTAGCCAGGACGAATCGGTTGAAGAGCACGCGCCAGAACAGGCCTCCCGACTCCGTCTTTGTGACGAAGCGGTAGAGGATGAGGTACTTTTTGAGGTACGAGTCGATGCAAAAGTACATGGCCGTGGCCAGGAGCACGAGGGGTTGAATGCCGGCAAAGCAGAGCGTCACGGTCGAGTAGAAGAGAAAGTAGTTGTAGTAGCTGGCGTACTCAAACGGTGGCGGGGCCGTCAGCTCGATGAGCTTGCGCGGCGTCGGGCTCGAGAATTTCTTGAGGAAAAAGGCGTGAACCAGGGGCCAGATCTGGGTGAGGTCGATGGCCGCGCCGAGCTGGCGCTGCAAGAGGTACGTGACCCAAAAGATGCTGTTGTTGCAAAAGGCCAGGAAGATGGCGTCGGCGATCTTGGCCGTCCGGATGGCGTCCCAGGCGTTCTTACCCTCGCTGGTGTTCTGGACGACGGCGGAGACAAAGGTCCATATGGTGCTGAAGAAGGAAAAGACGATGAGATTGTTGAAGATGAAGAAGGAGTACATCTTGGCCATGACGTGCCTCTCGCGCCCCGTCTTGGTCTGGTCGCCCGCCTGGATGGAGAGCCGGCGGAAGATGATGGGGAGGACGAGGTAGACGAGCGACATGAGCGAGGGCGACAGGATACCCTGGACCATGCCCCAGAAGATTTGATTTGCATCCATGGATCGTCTAAAGGCGGGCCAGACCTTGCCGAGGTTGTTCAGGTTGACGAGGAAGATGGCGATCATGGCGTTGGGGCCGACCCAGAGAAAGGTCAGGATGGCGATCCAGAAGTTGTTGATCCACCTCCGGCGGCTGCGGGTGGCGCTGGACAGGGGCATGTTGCGCCAGATGATGTCGCCGGGCCGGGGCGCCAGCGTGACGGTTGCGCCCTGCGTCTTCTTCTTCTTCTTGCCGCAGGCATGGGCGATGCTGTGGGTCTCTGCAATGTCCGTGTAGCTGGCGAAGCCGTAGGGCATGGTGCCCCGTTTGTCGACGGAGGCGCGGACCTCCTTGATCTCGACCTCGAGGTCGCGGATGCGCTGCGTGTAGTACTCGATGGCGTCAAGCTTCTGGCCCTTGGGGTACGTGTCGACGGCGCGGTCCTTCTTGGATGGCTTGCACTGGGGGCGCGCGGGCGGAAGCTTGTCGGGGTTCCTGAGGTACTTTGCCAGGATCTTTTCGAGCTTGCGGACGGCATGGCTGTGCTCGTCGATGAGGTCGGGGAGGTCCTTGACGTTGCGGGCGACGGCGGTGCGGGCAAAGGACGAGTTGGGCACAACCTGATCGATGATGCGGGCGATGCCTTCGTCGGAGCGGCTTTGCTTGGGGAGGTCGTAGAGCTGTTGCGAGCGAGACATTAGCCCAGGCCCCCGATCGTTGCATCCATGTCCAACGCGGGAGGAGAGAGAGAACCATGGCTCACCATCAGAGTCCGCGAGTGCAGGCTGTTTTGGTACTCTTCGCTTTCAAAGTATTGCCTCCGCAGCTGCAGGACCTTTGTGTAGTTGAACCACAAAAAGACCATGATGACGACGTTGAAGATCCAGGCAACGACGACCTGAGCCCACTGGGCTTCGCCGTAGACGTCGCGGGGCGTGATTTGAATGGTCCAGTCGGTGGGTGGGCCGTCGCCGTACTTCTTGACCGACTTTATCAGGTTGACGGGGAGCAGGATGCCGATGCCGATGAGGGCGAGGACGAGGAACATGTTGCGGCACATGCGGATGAACCGCAGGAAGATGGTGGCGTCCATGCCAATCTGCTGCATCAGGGCCGCCTCGTTGGTCTTTGCCAGGGGCGTGACCCAGGACCAGGGCTTCTTGCCGATGGGGGGCGGGGCATGCTTCTCGTCGGCGTGCTTGAGCTTGGGGGCGTAGATGGCCTGGTTGTAGGGTCGCACAAAGGAGAAGCATATGGCGATGAAGGCGGTGAAGCCGAGCGAGATGCCCAGGGCGGAGAACAAGGAGGCGGCGGCGAGCTGGAGGCCCTGATGTTAGCCTGCGTCTCGAGTCCGTGGCGAGCGACTTACTTGACCCTGGAAGGGGTCTTTGAGCAGCTTGAGCAGCTCTTGGCCGGCATCGTCCTCGCGAGGAGCAAGCCGGCGCAGCACCGAGTTGGGCAGGTCCATGGCGTCAAGGACGAGGCCGCCGGACCGGCACGATTCCAGCCGCGGCCTGGCAGACCGTCGCACGGGAGCAGCTGTCCCGGCGCTGAAGGATTGCGCAGATTATCGGATCCTCCAAGTCGCAATGGTCGAATGACGGCTATTTTTCCTCGTCTGTCGTCGGGATCGACACGGGGGGACAAGAGAAAGGGGGCGATTCGCAGAGGCGCACTGTCGACGGCCGACGCGTCGATCAGTGTCTTAAAAAACAGGAGGCGATGGCGTCGTCGGGCGGGAAGGTGGTTGTCGAGCGAGAGACCAGGGGAGAGCGGGAGGAGAAATCGGTCGTCAAAGGCCAGTGAACGCCTGTGCGGCCCTCGGTCCGTGCCACTTGCGCCGGCTATGATGCGGTCTTGACGATGCAGTTGAGAAAATAAAGAAAGGAAGAAGAGAGGCGATGAGCGACAAACGAGGGACGTTTGGGGGGACGCAAAGAAAGACGAGGCGCCGCGAGAGGAGACGAGAGGGCAAGGAAAAGAGAGGTCGAGGCAAGCCTGTTGAAGCGGCGGCGAGAAAACGAGAAGGGGGGAGAGGAGAACAAAGGACTCGGAGCAGGGAATCTGGGATGAATGATGGGCGGATTAAGGATGATCATGCACGGATGGATTGTTTGGGGCAGCGCGACGAGGCTCACTCAAGGTACCCCGCAGGTCTCTCGTGTACGGCGAGGACAGCGACGGGCGCGCGGCGGCGGTACCCGGGACATGCGCACGCCATTCCCAAGGGCAGACGGCAGGCATGGGCGAGGTACCGGGGCTGGGCCAGATACGGGAGAGTAGTGTAGGATGTGGTACACATTTCGATCGCGTCGCCCAAGTGGTACTCGCGAGTACAAGGAAGCACCTCCGAGAGGCTCGTTTTCTGGGGAGACGGGGCATCCAGCCGGGCTGCCAGTGGTCGCCTGCGCTGTCAATGTGCTGAACTAGCACGCTGTGCTAGAGGCGCTAAGCAGTCGGTGGTTCCCGCATCACGAGGATCTGGCGACGGTTGCCAACGCTCGACGCCCGCGTTGCTTTCTGTTGAGGCCGGGCAAACTCTCAAGTCCATCTTCCTCATACATACTTTGTTCAGACACCCCGTATGGCCCATGCTTTTGTCCTCGTTTGATAGTGCCCGCGCGGAAGAACCCTGTTTCATGCCAGCATGCCAGCCAGCCGTGGGACCCGTGGATACCTCGCATAGTTACCGCTAAACCCGGGAAAGGGAATTATGTCAAGGCTGGTATTCAGGTATTCTGTAGAAGTGAAATCATGCTCATGTAGAAACATGGAGCTTCTTGACCTTGGAAGCCGTCGCTCTCGCTCTTCTATTTGTTTGTGTTGATATGGCAGCGATTACTTTAAAGTGCCGCACGAGTCGCATGAGGTTTGTAGGCGGTCGGCCGTAGCAGCCACTAGCGCCTGGCTCTGCCCCGAGTCCCCTGCGGCTGCGGGGCCCGTTCAGGCCCTGTAGGGAGGGACCTGAACACCCTGAAAGTCGCGGCAGGGCAGGCCGATTACTGAGCCTTAAGGTACCGGTATTTAGTTCAAGGCCGCCTCTATCCGTACATGTACCGTCCTTGGATCCTCCCGACACTCACCTCTCTCTCTATATGGTTTTGGATCTGCGGATATAATGTTACTTGCTCTAATAGAGACGTGTAGCCGGTGTAATAATCTACTCTACCTACCACTTACTAGTACCCAAGTAGGCATCTCTTCCTGACCGGTACCTGCCGGCTCTTGGGAGTGCCCTCTATTTTTAGCCCAGGCTCGCTCCCCAACCAAGCCTGCCCCGACTTAGCGTCACTTTTCCTGCTCCCCGGTTCATGTATTTACCGCTTACCTTTCTTTACCAGCTCAATGCCAACAAACAACCAGTGCTGGGGGTTGCTAGGGGTGCCCGCCGTCTTGTGACCAATCTTCAGCACCCATCGACGGCCATCACGGAGACAACAGCAGGACGCAATATCTACGGTATTGTCTTGGCAAGGAACTTTGCCTTGAGCAAGGGAGTCGCTGCACCGCAATCGAGATGCTGCAGGTCCCTGGCAAGATGAGTGGTGAGCTCATATTAGTAGGTTATCTGGTGCATGGTAGACAACAGTCCCGGCTGCATTCCTAAACCAGAAGACGCAATTCATGCCATCCAATCCTTTCACGCATGGCGTGTCAAAGGCATGTGCGAATGCTTACTAGGCAGCTAGATTGGCCGTGTTCCGATTCGCATCGTATCAAAGACGAACACACAAGACACTATCCATCTCACCAATAGAGCGACCGCTCCCCGCAGAGGCAGCTTGCCTACAGCTGCGCAATAGCAAGCAATACATGGAGCAGAAAACGGGCAGCTTGCAAGTCGACTTCTTGGCACAAAGCTTTGCCTTGACCCAACATACAGTATGTAGCGTTCTATACGCAAACAGGCGCACTTGACGAGGTCAAATTTCCATGCCACCGTTTGGTGCCGGCATGAATGGACCAGACTCGCGCCATTGCATGTGAATACTGCCTTTTCATGGCCATCGCCAGGCTTTATTACTCCTCTCGTGGCCTCTCGCGCCCCACCGACCTCACGGCCTTCTGCTAAAGGCACCAAAGCCAGGACTGACTCTGCGAAAAGAAATTGGAAGGAGAGGGCATATCGATTCGACTCGCAGGGTACTGAAACACGAGACCTAAACTCCTCATGGCACAGACACACATAAACACGCCCTCCTCTGCGTAACAAATCTTCACCTCCCGCAGCGGTAAAAGGCTCCCTTTTCGCCTGAACCACGCCTCGCATTCGCCTATCCATAGTTGCCCCGACAGCGCTTGGTTACCCATGCGTGCGAGTCTTGATCTTGAGTGCCTACGCCTCTGCAGGCCCTTGGCTCCGAGTCTTGCGGGCTGTCCTGCCTACCTGGGGTGCAGCCGTCTTGTCCTTCCTGGGCCGGCCGGGCTTACGCGCCGGTGGTTTTCCATTGACGGCTTTGCCCCCGTTGGTCTCGGCCGAGACGTCGTCGACCTTGGCCTTTTTAGCGGGTGGGGGGCTTTCCATCTCGGCCGTCGGGGGCACGCCCTCCCGGTCTAGGTTGCGCTTGTCTCCCGTCGCGGCCTCCAATGGCGCGGCCGGGGCTACTGGTCCCGACGGTTTGGCAGGCTCCGAGGCCAGGAGCGGCGCGTCGCCCGACATGGCGCGAGTGTTAGCGACCGCAGATGGCGCCGGGGCAGTTGCCGGGACCGTTTCCGTCTCGGGACCGGTGTGCGTGGCGGGCGCGGTCGTTTCAGCAGGGTTATTGCCGTTGGTAACGGCCGCGCCAGATGCGGCGTCGGCGTCGGCCTCTGGGACCGAGGCGGCGGGCGAGGGCTTCGGATCCGTGATGCCGGTGGTCACGAGGGGCTCCTTGGGAGAATCTTTGGCCGCGGCAGGCTCGTCTTGTATCTTCAGCTCGGGCTTGGGGGTTCCGCCAGCGGGTGTCGCCCCGTTGACGGGCGTTTCCGGGACAGACTTGACCTCGACCGGCTTGGGGGTGCCTACTGCGGGCCCAGCGCCGTCGGGGATCTCGGGCTTATCCGCCTCGCTGGGCTGGCCAGGTTTATCCTCGTGGTTTGCCGAGTTTGGGAGGCCGGCGGCAGTGGATGCAGAGCCATCCATGGTCGGAGCCCCAGCTTTCGCCTCAGGGGCAGTAGGCTCGGGCGCGCCCACTAAAAGGATGAGTGTCAGCAAGTCGCGTCCAACTGGTCAAGCTCTAATCGGCACGTCGCGCGCCGGCGCATTGCGCAGAGCCACTTGGCCGGCCGGCGCACACCGGCTAGACGCCCGAAAAGAAAATTCAGGCACGCCAATCGCTGGGAGAGGCATGCTGAGCAGTTCGCGGCGTTCAGCGACAGGCGATACCTTTGTCAATGGCTGGAGCAATTCCGTCGGCCATGGCGATTACTCGTGGTTGGGGGCGCTTGATGACGTAAGAGGGCGAAGGGTGAGCGCAATGCCGGTGGGGGAGACGGCGGATGGCTCAATCGCGCAGCAGACGCAGGCCAGCCCAAGGCAAAGGATACCTTAAGTGATCGCGTCTGGGAGGAGAAACGGACGAGGATCAGGCTTGGTAGAGGCGATGGCAGTCTTTTGCAAGCGTCCAAGAGGGCGCGTGTCAGGCAAACGAAGCAGGAGGGAGTTGCAGGTAGGAGAGAGGGCCTGCCGGTACGAGATGGAGCTGGGCGGGCGCACGAGGGCGAGCGAGGCCACGACGGTTCCACAAGCGGCGCCCATTGGATCGAGCGAGGGTGGGCAGGTCCCTCGCCACGTTGGGCTGGCGGGCGAGGAACATGGTTTCTTGCGTGGATGCTGCGCATACTGTGGTTGTGCGTGACGGGAGCGGCATTTGCTCTGCATTTGGCTCTCCAGCTAGGTTCGTCTTCGGAGGCAGCGACCAGGCCGCACAGTGCGCGTGCGTCTCCAGTCGGCACTCCGGGGCCTGCCATCTCGAGATGGGTGGCTGGAGACGGTGCGGAATCGAAACGATCGAGACGGTGCAGCCCAGGGAGCGTCTCTATTTGCGGGGAAGTTTTGTGCATCTGGGTGGGCCGGGCCGCTGGAGCTCGACGTCGCCAATCAGAGTAAAAGATGGACTGGCTGCGGCTGCAAGCGTGAGGATTGACGATGTCTCAGGATGCGGAAACAGGGGAGGGGCGTGACTGCGCACGTGAAACCGTGTCCGGTTCATTCTCGGCTGCCGTGTCACCGGATGCCACATTCGGGCAGCAGCTCCGTTACAGTCATGGGACCGTGCAAACACCGTGTAGACAGACTTTCACCGGGTGACCAGATGAATCTGGCAGCATCGTGACGTCTGATGCTCAAGCATTGACAACTGCCAACGGATGCAACAACGCTACAGCAGGTCAACCGACACGGAAACTGCTCGTTCCAGCTACGCCTTGACTCGGGATGCAAAGTACTCCTCATCCTTCAACGTCTAGGGGTGATAGACGAAGGTGAAGATTTTGAAGATTTTGAATGAAGGATGAATCAAATGAATTGAATTTTTTGGATCTTGATTCAAAATCTTCAAGCTCCAATTTTCGCGATTCAAGTTGGGTTTGGGCCAATTCAGGCCATTCATGAATGGTTTGAAGGATCCCTAAACGAAGTGAATTTGGTGTGTACCTGAGCGATTGCAAAGATGCCTCAAAACGCCAATAAGTAGTATATAGTTTTAAGTTATAGCCTTCTAAGAAGTCGATAATCCCGAATACTACAAAAATTAACTTACATAAATACTGATCCGCCTGTCCTAGGCAAATCGACTGAAAATAAGCACTTTCAAAGCTCTGCCGAATCCTCAAAATACGTCGGTACAACGCGTTCGAATCCGCCACTGTACACGGCTACACTCTTAGAGCCCCAATCCTCCGAAGCCTCCATTGTATCTAGACAGGGGGTTGATATCGCAGACTTATCGGCTTGGGATGCAGGAGGTTTGGGGGTAGGGGGTTCGGTGGGAGCCTCGGTGGGAGGAAGAGGTTGAGGAGGATTCTCGCCTGAACACAGATTAGCATATACCTACATATATAATGAGGGTATATCCATACATACCATCTTCCAGCTTGCCCGGAATGTGGTCTGGTCTCCAAATAATACTATTGGCAAAGGGCAGGATGTCATACTCCATGGCCGCCTTGATCAACGCCTGATCGATCTTATCTTCCTGAGTATAAGCACTCCGTAAAAGTGTTAGTACTCGCACCGTATCTGCCTTCAAGGCGTGACGGCGGATACCGAATTCGTCTCTACAACCGCTGAAGAGGCGTTCCACGTCAACTTCAGAGCCAGAGACAGAGAGAAGATCACGCGCCGCCGCAGCCAAAAGTGGCCACTCGACCTTGTGTTCTTTCCACCACTTCAGTAGGAAGTCTGGAGACTTTGCAATAGACTCGTCGAACTCTATTCGAGGAGCTGCAAGCCACCGTTCAAGCTCCGAAATAGGGATCGCCGCGCCCGTCTCCGCCTCCCTCGCCTTCTTCATTTGGATGGCTCTCCATTGCGCAATGGAGACTCCTTGAGGACGCTCAGCTGGTCTGGATTGGCTCATAGTTGAGTTTGTGGCATTCAATGCTGCTAGCTCCAGCCACTCCGTTTTGAAATACTTCTTGACTTTAGCCATAATCTCAGAGTATTGATCCGGTATCATCATTTCCAATTGGTGAGTTTTATAACGCGGATCCAGGATGTGAGCTGCGAATAGCATCATTTGATCGTCAAGCTTCTTCATATAAGTAACGTGTTTTGCTTTGCCCTTCGAGAAGGCGTCTCGAATGGACATATCAAGGTCTGTAAAGTCGCCAACTCCTTCGACTACATCATCAAGGAGAGCTTCCAAATCCCAATAGATATCGAGACTTTGTGAGATCGGCGGCATAACTTCGGAGACTTTCAGAGTGTGGTCTTTAAACGGCTTCAGAACCTTCCGCAGTTGATAGAGAGCGACAATCTCTTCTGATAAGGGCAGGAGGCACTTGACTTGCGGGTGAGTATCAACGAACTCAGTATACTCTGCCTCAAGCTCGAGGAATTGGTCAATCATGTCGTAGGCCGAATTCCAGCGAGTGTCGACATCGTAGGTTGGCTTCCGGTAGTGCGTGCGCGGCATGCTTTTGAAGTCTTGCTCCTAGACCCGGATCTCAACATCCAGAGATTGAGGAGGCGGATTTTGGCAATCCACTTCGACTAGAGTCTCCCGGAATGGTGTAGTTGTTGCTTTTATTCTCTTCGTCCCACTTGTCAAGCATCTTCTTGGCTTCCTTCGCTGTGCCTGCTTTGAGATCTTGCAAGACGCCCTCACAAATGAGCGAGGTAATATGAGCTAGACAGCGGATCCAACTCTTCCTGCCGTGAAAGCGCATGCAGGGCCTCCTATTGGGCTCACCTTGTCGTCGAATTTGGTCTTGAGAGAATCGTACAAAGACTGACAGAGCGTGCCGTTATTGCCGGCGTTGTCTCCCGTAATGGCGAGAAGCTTAGGCTTGAGCCTGAGCTCCTCAAGCGTCCTCTCAACTATCTCAGCTAATTGTTTGCCAGTGTGAGATCTTTTGAGCTCAATAAACTCAATAACTTCCTCTCTCCTCAAACTCCGGTGTAATCCAGTGCGCAATAATGGCGAAAATGGGCACCCGATTCGGTGCTGTCCAGATATCAAGGGTGAACGAGATGGTGGCACAATTGTACTCAAGCTCAATCTTCAGCTTCTCCCTGCGTTCGACAAAGTCTGTATATATATGATTGCGTAACGTTATACGACTCCTGTACACACATGTTGTGTTGTGAGCCAAGAACATCTCTTGAAAAGCAGGAGTCTCGACAACAGAGAAGGGTTGTCGGTGTTTTACAAACCACCGGCGGATAGACTCCTTTGCCGTGAGTCTTGCTCTCTGCCTAGGTCGACCGCTCCATGCGTCTGCCTCTGTATAATCTCCTCCACCAATGGCGCGGCCGTATCCATTAATTCGAGCGTGGTGAGATTCCTTCGTAATACCGTGGATTTTTAAATGGTCTCTGTCAGAGGGAGCAGACTGACGGTCTAATCCGCACACGTATAAACTCCGGTGAAAGAGGCAGGTCAGACACAAGGACTTGAGTCAGGTATCGATACAGTAGAGGAACATTGCCCTAATCGGGATACACGGGAATTGGCACTGATTCAGGGCCACCACGGGTCCCAGATTGGTATCTATTCGTATAAATACCCCTCAATGTCGCACAGATAGATAAAAACATGCATCATCGTTTGGACTCAATTGTGCCTGCCCTTATCCTTCCGCCCGCGCTCTCAGCTTGCTGAGAGTTATGAGCCAGTTTGCGGTGCTCTTTATCCTTCGCATTCCTCTACCAACTGTGAGGCTATCACGAATCTCAACGCACCATATATCCTTCACCCTTGGGGTTGACGCGAGGAAGAGAGCAAAATTCAGGGCAACACCCACAACTACGCAGAGTCAACGTGACGCGTGCATCCCTCGCAGGAGGTAAAACACACGATGACACTAGGCCCCAATATCAGAAGGGGAGGTGTACATCACCACACTCAAGGAAAGCCTTGACTGGACCCCATGGATTAGGGTATCAAATCATGGGCTCAAACGCACCACATCTGGGAGTACGTTAACCCAGAAGGGACCGTGGTGCTCGAGGAGCCCCTGAGGCCTAGCTGGGAAGAGCTACTCGAGAAGGTAGGGCAGAGGCCCCCTGAGGAAGCTTTCCCAACGAAGAAAATAAGTATAAGGCAGCAAGGGAAGACTTCAATGAGAAGCTTCAAGATGCCAAGGACCTCTTTAGGTACAAAGAAGACCTTCCAGGATCAATTGGACCGCTTCAAGGCTAGAGAAAAGCCATGATGCAGATCGAGGAGGTGATCAAGAAGTCCATCAGTGAGGGCTCCAGGGCGAGACCTGATACAGCTGACGCCCGGGACAAGATCAAGAACTCAAACAGAAGGTTCTCCCCTCAGCGGAGGAAGAAAGAACCTTATCGATGAAAGGTATCATCAAATCATCAACAAGAAAGGAACCCGGGACTGGAAGGCCTGGGCAGAGCAACTGGACCAAGTCATCCTGGATTCAAGAGACCTAGCGGTCTCGACTATTAATGACACAAAGATTCGTCAGGACTTCCTCAAAGGGACCGAAGAATGGGACCCTAGCTGGCCCATGACGATTAGGCTGCTGGACGCACTCCTGGAGAGAACAGGACTCCCAGCAACCCCTTTGCGCACCCTGATTGCCGACTTTAAAGGGGGTCAACAACGCAAACAACGCTCCAAGATCATCTGATCAGAGGACTAGGAATGGCCCAGAGGGTCACACAAGTGCCCGGCATGTAAGCAACACTGGGTCAAAAGGATGAGTGGTGGGAAAGCTGCTGGACCTTTAGAGCGATGTTCCAGAAAGACCCCCGAAGGATGGATTCCCAGGACCACCTTAAGGAGGCCATCAACCAGCACCTTAAGGAGAACCCCTTGGACAAGACCAAAGCCATGGAGTGGAAGCCAAAAGCCAAAGACATCACAGTCCCGCAGAATAACAACAACTCGAGCAAACAGGCTAATACAGTGTCGCACGTGCATAGCACTAATACGAGTGAAGACTCTCTCGAGGACAAGGCCATCTATGATTCAGGGGCTAGCGTACATGTCTTTAACGACCTACGATGGTTCGATGAGGATACCTTCACCTGGGGATCGTCAGAAGAAGTCCGGGCAGGAGAAAACTCCTCCAAGTCAAGGGGTAGGCATGGCCGTTATCCCAGTGAAAAACAGGATCAATTTGAAGCTTGAGAGCAGCTACTACATCCCAGAGATGCCAACAAGTGTGTTCTCAGCTCGTCAGGGATTGTTGCGAAGATCTATTGGAACCAGGTTAACGGCACACTCTACCATGAGCCCACAGGGCGCACTCTGGTCAGTCTGCAAGAAATTGAAGACCAATACGTTATTGCAAGCCTCTCAAAGCGGCCCCAACACAGCGTCTTTGTCACAAGCAGGGCTCCTAAGCCACCAATGGGTGGGCAAGCAGACCTTTGGCACAGACGGCTAGGACATCCGGGGCCAGAACCCCTTAGCCACCTAACCAAGATGGGGGGACCGGCCACGTGTGAATGCGAGGTCTGCGCAACAGGCAAGGCAAAGAGGCAGGTCTCCCGTGAGAGCCCACTTTACGACCCAGAGGGCCGGAGCTCAATTTAGCTTCGACTTACACCCAGGCCCGGTGGCCGGATTCGGGGGTGAAAAGTACTTTGCGCTCTTCACATGCATAACGACCAGGATGAGGTTTTATTACGCGTTGAAGAGCAAAACCGAGGTCGAGATGCCTTCAAGAAGCTAACATCAATGCTAGAAACTCAGTACGGGATAAAACTGATCAACCTGGCTTCTGACGGAGAAAAAGCCCTTCTAACAAAGGAGCTAGTCAAATTCATCGAAGGATTGGGCATTCGGGTCTTCCAGTCAGCTCCATCCACGCCCACGCAGAATGGGCATGCAGAAAGGTCGGGGCCGTGGTCAAAGAAAGGGCCCGGCTTATGAACCTGGACTCCCGCATCCCGGAGGAGCTCTGGACCGAGACCTACCGCACAGCAGTGTATTTGCTCAACCGTACGCCACTTAAAGGATCTGATCATAGCTGGAGAAGCCCACACGAACGATGGTGGACCTATATGAGGGACCACAACCCTCTATACGGCCACATCAAGCGAGTCCAGCCGAGCATAAATCACCTGCGTGTCTTCGGCTGTGTGGCCTACCCAATGACAATCACTGCGTTGGAGCATGTAAAGTCACATAAGACGCAGTCCCCGCTTGAGCAGAGAGCTCATATCGGTTACCTGGTGGGCTACAGATCGACCCATCAATATGTCGTGTGGATACCCTCGATCCGCCAGACCAAACTGATGGTCTCGGCGAATGTACAATTTGATGAGTCAACAATGTACGATCCGAAGAGGAAGAAGACGCGGAAGCCTTCCAGGTCTATACATACGATGTTCTTCGTCAAATGGTGGCGATAGACGTCCCTGACGACGAAGACATAGAGGAAGCAGGAGTGCGCAATTACTCCGATGATGAGACAGATGACGGAATGACGCCGTACACCTCGGAGTCAATTGCGGCACCCTCTGCAGACGAGGCGACACAAGAAGCACCGAATTTGAAGACTTCGATGAGGGCTACAACGGACAGTGCCTATATTTCGCCTCCAAGCACTTCAAACAGTAGGGTGGAGGAAGAAACCTCGCCCTCCCCACCAAGCTCTGTCACCACTAGCGTGACCCAGCAGGAGGTCACACACCACGGGAGTCAGGACCCGGAGGTGGAAAACTCAAGCATTATCTCGAGCCCTACGCGGACCGACCCGGAGCCTCAGGTATCATTAGGCACGCCGATCCTAGACGTATTGAATGAGCGATTGAATGAGCCGCCTGTCGATCCGGGGTGGTGCGCTCGAAGAGCCACAATGGTCAGAATTCGAGGAGCTGTCTCTGGGGGTGGGAGAGCCCGACCCCAGAGTCACAATCACAACCTGAAAACGACCCCGCAAGGCGAGGACAAGTCTCAGGGATAAACCCGCCAATGTGCTTGAGGGCAAGAGACAGAGGAAGCCGAAGAAGGCCTTCATCAATAACATCATTGCTAATGCCTCGAAGCACAGGCTTCACGTTGAGGATATGCCTCCTGTGCCAACCTCCTTTAAAGCCGCGATGGCTTCGGAATACGCCTCCCAATGGATAATGGGGATGGGGCGTGAAATTGAGGACCAGATGAAGCTCGAAACGTGGACCAAGGTGGCCAGAAAGATGGTTGAAGAAGCCGGCCACTTCATAATCCCGTTGCGATGGGTATATGCATATAAACTGGATGAGCAGGGCTACGTCACTCGCTTTAAAGCCCGACTTGTGGTCCGTGGAGACCAGCAGCCGGAAGACAACGAGGACACATACGCGGCCACACTACGAGCAAGAACCTTCAGAGTGTTAATGGCCCTCTGCTGTCTTGAAGACCTTGAAACAGAACAGTACGATGTGAAAACAGCGTTTCTGTATAATAAGCTCAAGCATGCCATCTATTGTCAGATGCCACCAGGCTACCTTGAGCCTGGGCTATGCTTGAAGCTTCTCAAGGGACTATACGGGCTTCGAATCGCTCCAAGGCTGTGGTTTGAGGCTCTCGGCTTCTTCAAGAAGCTGGGCGCTCAACAACTCGTCGAAGATGCCTGCGTGATGACTTATAAAGGAGTCATCATCTTCTTCTTTGTGGATGACATCGTGATGATGTATCCAAAAGAAAAGAAGGCCGAATGGGAAGAACTTCACGCTGCCATTATGAAGGAATATACCATCAACCACATGGGGGAACTTCGCTGGTTCCTAGGGATTGAAGTCATCAGGGATAGGGCCCAGAAGAAGCTTTGGCTCGCTCAAGCCTCGTATCTCTCGAAGATGGCCAAGAAATTCCACATTGAGGACGATGATCAGATCCTTGGCGTGCCCCAGTGTAAGGGGCTACGCCCCGATGTGTAGATCTGGCATGGCCAGACTAGTCACGTGCGAGCGCCACGGACACGACTCCTAAAGGGAGCGATGTAGACACGTCTCCCCTTTACACTCTTTGTAGCTCAATTTACATCAATTACGCCCAGCACCTGTGCCAACAGTGCTGACCCCGTAACATATTGAGCTACCAGTTAACAAAAGACAGGACAGACAGAAGGACAGACAGCAGGACAGACAGCAGGACAGACAGCAGGACAGACAGCAGGACAGTCAGCAGGACAGTCAGCAGGACAGACAGCAAGACAGGCGATAGGCTAAACGACGAGACGGACGATCGATCGGACGACGAGACGGACGAACAAGATGGAGGACAATAGTAGTTATGCAGGGCACCGCGACCGGCGGCGCAACGAGCCGATGGAGGGAAGGAGCAAGAGCTCTTGCAGATCTTATCTGGGATCGCGGGAGACGAAGAACTGCGGAAGATGTTCACCGGGCTAGGCCTAGCAGCGCCACCGTTGACACCCAGCCCGGGGGTGCTCAGTACCCCGGCGATCTTACCCGTCGAACCGAGGCCGGAAGCAGCCCAGGAAATGGACCGTGGCAAGAAGCGCAAGCCGATGACTTGGCCGAAGTGGAACGGTCAACCCGAGTCCTTCCACTTCTACCTCGACCGTCTGGTATTTAAGTACAATACCGACGAAGAGGAGGGCCTAAACGGCAATAACAACGTCGTGTGGTACGAGATCCTGCAGACCTTGCCGGATCAGATGATGAGGAGAGTCGAGGGTTTTTGGAGGCAAGAGAGCGCGAAGGGCAACCCAGACCCCCGGAAATTCTTCTCGCACCTAGCCCAGACGTTCGGCAGCGTGCAGCAGACAGAGAGGGCGCAGGACAGGCTGCGCACCCTCATTCAACGAGACAGCCAAGAGTTTGGGAAGTTCCTCCTGAATTCGAGGAAACATTGACCAAAGCGGGCGGCGCGAGCTGGGATAATGCTTCCAAGCTCGCATGGCTACGGAACTCGATCTCTCCTGCTCTCCGTGAGCAACTAGTCCCGGTTATCATGCCGAAGGACTACAACGAGTACATCAACGTCTACACCCGATTGCTTGGGCGTTCGAGCACACCGCGAAGTTTAAGGCGTTGCAGAGGAAGCAGGGCTCCCGCGGGCAACGTGACCAAGGGCAGGCATCAGGCATCGGCAACATCCAGGTCGCCGGTAACGACAACACCCCGGCACCGTCAGCAACGTTACCCGCCGAGCAGAACGCACGTGACGCACGCGACCATGACGGCGACGTAATAATGACGGTTACACGCACTCAGGGGCAGGGTCAGAGAGGACGGGCGAACGGCCAGGGGTCAAGTGGAACGAGCAAGACGGTTCGCTTCCAGCCTAGGTCAGGACGGAAGCAACGGGCGAGGTGGGTATCCGAGGACGAACGGAATAAACGCCGTGACGAGGGTCGTTGTCTCCGCTGCGGCGACAACACCCATTTCATTGCCGCTTGCCCCTACTCGCCAGGACAGGACCCTAGCCGGTCGAGGGATGTAAAAGTCCGCACCGCTAGGATCATGCCCTTGCTGGAAGATGATGGTAACGACTCTAGTGAGGAAGAGTCAGGACTTAGCGAGACCCCATCCCTCTCGGGAAATGCGTAGCCTCGAAACAAAGACGGGTCTCGAGGCCAAAGAACGGAGCAGTGGCAAAAGAAGAGAAGTTCTCAGGAAAAATGGAAGTTGGTCCTACAATAATTCGAAGCATTATCAATAGGACCAATCTCTTCTCCTCACTCGTAGACGAGGATGCCAGTGCTACGCCGCGGTTGACGAAGAAGTCGTCGAAAAGTTGGAAGTTCCTATAGTGGAAATAGCACCGCGAGCTATTACAGGAGCATCAGGGGCAATGGAAGGAGCAACGATTAGGGGCCTCGTATGGCTATCAATGGAGGTCAACGGCCACATACAGACGATCTGTGCCTACGTGGTGCCCCGATTGGAATTCCCCCTAATCCTAGGAAAACCCTGGTTATGCCACACAAAGTCGTACTCAGTGCCCCACGAGAAACGACTATGGCATGAACCTACACAAGACTGGGTAGATCACCTCGGGAAGGAGAATATTCTGCGAAAGCCAAGGAGTTCGAAGAAGCAAAGCACGTACTAGCCAGTACCTTTGTGGGTTACTTTGAAAGGATCCGCAAGCAGGAAGGAAGAGAGGCAGCTGCCACGGCGATTTTCGCTATCAGCATGAAGGATATCGAAAGGGCGTTATCACCAAAGAAACCCATGTCAGAAGCAGAGCTACGCCGAACGATACCCCAGCGGTTCCACGATTTACTGCCTCTATTTATGAAGAAGGAAGCTGATAAGCTGAATCCTCATAAGCCAGGCATAGACCACGAAATCAGAATCAAGGAGGACCCGAATGGCCAGCAGTTACCACTACCGTATGGAGCACTATACGGTATGTCACGAGAGGAACTCCTGGTTCTTAAGAAGACTCTACGAGACCTAGTGGATAAAGGATTTATCCGTGCAAGCAGTTCAGAAGCAGCAGCTCCAGTCCTGTTTGTGAGGAAACCAGGTGGCGGGCTGCGATTCTGTTGTGACTACAGAGCGTTGAACGCAATCACTAAGTCGGACCGTTACCCCTTCCTCTAATAGGGACACACTTCGCAACCTAAAAGATGCGAAGTGGTTCACTAAGGTCGACGTGGTACAAGCGTTCCATAAAGTACGGGTTGCAGAAGGAGACGAGTGGAAGACAGCGTTCCGCACCCGGTACGGTCTCTTCGAATGGATGGTTACCCCGTTCGGGCTAAGTGGCGCGCCAGCAACCTTCCAGCGGTATATTAACGGTATCCTACGAGACTACCTCGACGAGTTCGCCTCTGCTTATATGGACGATATACTTATCTATTCGAGCGAGCAGAGAAGACCATTTCCGGAAGGTACGGTTAGTTTTAGAACGCCTCGCCGAGCATGGACTACACCTAGACCCGGAGAAATGCGAATTTGGAGTCAAGCGGATTAAGTACCTAGGATTCATTATTCACGCAGGAATTGGCATTCAGGCAGATCCCGACAAGATACGAGCAATAGTCGAGTGGGCAGTCCCCGTTACCCAGAAGGGGGTGCGCAGTTTTCTAGGATTCGTTAACTACTACCGGATATTTATACCGCAAGCCTCGGAAATAACTGCACCCCTAACAGCACTAACAGGAAAGGGGACTAAGTTCAAGTGGACGGACGAGCACGATATGGCGTTCCAGACACTAAAGACGCTATTTACGAACGCCCTATTCTTACTCAATGGGATTTCGAGAGGCCAACCTTCGTAGAAGCAGACTGTAGCGGCTGGGCGCTTGGGCACACTTACGCAGGAAGTCGACGGACAACGCAAGCCAGTAGCGTTCCACTCGCAGAAGCTATCACCGGCTGAGCGCAACTACCCAATCCATGATAAGGAAATGCTCGCTATTATTCGTTGTCTCGAACAATGGTCAGCCGAGCTACGAAGCTGTGATAACTTCGTTATCCTTACCGACCATAAGAACCTCGAGTATTTCATGACGCGCCAACAGCTCTCGGAAAGGCAGGCACGTTGGGCTGAATATCTCTCGCGTTTTAACTTCCAGCTCCAGTACCGTCCGGGACGGGAAGCAGTGGTGCCAGACGCGCTCTCGCCGCGAACAGGACCGACCAAACGAAGCGGATCACGAAGCACGAGATATGCAGCTTATTCCAGAAGCAGCCCTACGTACCTACGTCGGAGTAACGTCGACTCAAGCGGGAGAAGGCGAAGAAGAACACACGGTTTCCACGACCCAGAGCTACAACAATTATGGCAGCAAACGGCAAACCAGGATCCAGTCTTTACAAGCGTTTATAACGCGGTACGAAACGGATCTCGGTCCTCGACCCCAAGCTTAAGCTGAAGGTACAAGTCGCCGAGTGCTTTATTGATCCTCGGGGGCACCTACGACTACGTGGCCGCTTATGGGTGCCAGGCGCACCGATCACGACAGAAGCAGCAGCCAAGGCAGCACCGCTAGAGCAGGAGTCGCTAAACGAATTAAGGGCTCCTTAATCCAGAAGGTTCATGACTCCCATGTAGTAGGCCACCCGGGACGGAAGGGACGATAGAAGCCGTATCCAGGGACTTCTACTGGCCGCTAATGCAACAGCATATCCGACGTTTCTTGCGTAACTGCGATGTCTGCGGCCGTACGAAGATATGGCGCGAGCATAAAAGGGGTCTACTTAGACCGCTACCCGTACCGGACCGCTTCTTCCGCCAGATACAGATGGACTTTATTACGGACCTCCCCCTTGCGAACGGTAACCGCTGCCTCTGGGTTATCAAGGACCGGCTAAGTAAGGAAGTTATACTCGAACCGATGCCAACGATGGAAGCGGAAGCATGTGCAGAGCGTTTTCTATGGTGCTTCGCCCGCTACCACTGGTGGCCCGACGCTATAACGAGCGATAGGGGCTCGAATTGGGTAGGCCGCTTTTGGAGGCACATGTGCAAGTTACTGGGGATCGACCAGCAGCTAAGCACGGCGTACCACCCCCAAACCGACGGAGGCCCTGAGAGGATGAACCAAGAAGTACAGGCATACCTCCGCGCCGTGATTAACCAGAACCAGAACGACTGGGATAAGTGGGTTCCCGCGGCTCAGATGGCGTTAAACGGTCGGGTCAATACCTCTATAGGGATGTCCCCATTCTTCGCTATACACGGCTATGAGCCGAAGTCACCAGTTCCCCTCGTTACGGAAGCATATGCGGAAGAGTATCCTCAGCATTCGCCAGAAACCAGGGCAAAGAAATTTGTTACCAAACTACAACAGATTACGGACCTCTGCCAAGCATCAATGGCGACAGCTACGCAGCAACAAGAACGCTTCGCTAACAGACGACGGAACGCGGCAGAACGCTTCGAAGTAGGCGATAAGGTTTGGCTTGACTTACGGAACTACGCGTCAGAGCGACCTAAGAAGAAGTTCGACTGGCTGCACGCTAAGTATACGATAAGCAAGGTACTCGACCCGTACACGGTTGAACTAGCAGACCTCCCGAGGGCTGCTATAATAGGTTCCACGTCGACCAACTCCGGAGAGCGGGACGGACCCAATGCCTGGTCAGCAACGCACAGACGCTCAACCCCATCTATCCAAGTAGACGGGAGGCTCACCAAGTAGTAGAGGAAATACTATGCGCTAGGTGGAAGAGAACCGGCCGCGGCCGTAGGCGGAAGTCCTTGTACGCTGGCAAGGTTGGCAAGACCCGACCTGGACCTCTTTAGACAATATGCAACAGACAGCGGCCTTGGATAAGTACGAACAGAGATACGGCCCGGCTCTCGAAAACGATGGACCATACCAGCACCGACGAGTGGCAACGGAAGCACAGCCGGCCCAAATCCAGGGGCAAGTCGAAGGAATACAACCACAGCTGCAGATACAGGGCAAGAGAATACGCGGACCACTACGGGCTAGGACTAATGGCGACGCCCCGTCGATAGTAACGGCACCAGACCCTATAGACGACGGCCCTACGATCGTTGTAGGGGACCAGGAACAGGAAAAGGGCACCAGCGCCAGAGAGGAGTAGGGGCTAATGTGGGCTACGCCCCGATGTGTAGATCTGGCATGGCCAGACTAGTCACGTGCGAGCGCCACGGACACGACTCCTAAAGGGAGCGATGTAGACACGTCTCCCCTTTACACTCTTTGTAGCTCAATTTACATCAATTACGCCCAGCACCTGTGCCAACAGTGCTGACCCCGTAACACCCAGATCCCGATAACGACCGAAGAGCTCAAGCCATACGAGAAGACGGCTACTAGGGACGAGGTTCATCAATATCTCTCTCTAATTGGCTCAATTCTTCACCCAGCGATTCACACCAGACCCGACGGTGCGTTCCCGGTTGGAAAACTGGCACAATTCAGCCATAACCCGGGCCCGAAGCATAGGAGAGAGGCCAGGAGATGCCTGGCATACCTCTATCACACGAGAGATCGCTGCATCTGCTTCTCAGTCAAAGAAGCTGAACGCAGGTTCCTCTGCGCTTCTGATTCATCCTTTGCAGACAACCCGGAGACTCGAAAATCCTCACAGGGATATGTCTTCTTGTTTCTAGGCGGACCCGTTGACTGGAAGGCTACGAAACAAGCGACTGTGACGACGTCGTCCACAGAGGCCGAATTGCTGGCCCTGTCAAGCGCGGCGAAGGAGCAAATGCAATTTTCCCGGCTAATTAAAGAGCTTGACATCAAGGTAGAAGGCACCAATGAGCTATGGTGCGATAACCTGCAGACCATCAGGCTCCTGACTGAACTAAGCGCAAAGCTCAAGACGAACCTTAAGCACATCGATATCCATCGTCACTGGCTTCGACAGGAGGTTCAGGAAGAAAGACTCCAGATCACATGGATCAAGTCTACGGAGAATCCCGCTGATGGAATGACAAAGGCCCTTCCCAGCAAAAGCACGAAGCTTTTGTCAAGCAGCTAGGGATGCAAGGAGACCGGTGGCACCAATTGAAGCCGATGCGCCGGAGGACAGTTTCGACAGTATCACCACCCAGAGAGATATAGATGCTCTCCGAGCATCACCCAGGCACAGGATGGACCCATCATTTTGCTGGTATTGACTTGTTAAAATGCTCCTGGTCACAACACCAAGGAAGACATCATGAAGAGCATCTCCCTCAACGGTAGTAGCCTCACTCGCTGGATATTTGATAAGATTGGATGATTCGTCTGTCTCTTTTGCTTGTTTGCCTCACTCACCCAGTGAGACCGAGGCAAAGGGGTGTGTCAGAGGAGCAGACTGACGGTCTAATCCGCACACGTATAAACTCCGGTGAAAGAGGCAGGTCAGACACAAGGACTTGAGTCAGGTATCGATACAGTAGAGGAACATTGCCTAATCGGGATACACGGAATTGGCACTGATTCAGGGCCACCACGGGTCCCAGATTGGTATCTATTCGTATAAATACCCCCTCAATGTCGCACAGATAGATAAAAAACATGCATCATCGTTTGGACTCAATTGTGCCTGCCCTTATCCTTCCGCCCGCGCTCTCAGCTTGCTGAGAGTCTCCCATGCCAGAGGTAACCCCTCGGCGGTTCGATTCGAGGACCTGGAATCTCTTCCGAAGAGTATTGGGATTTTGAAGGCACTCTATACAAGTCCACCGGAACTCTTGGAAGATCTTCGGCCCATCCTTATCCTCTGAGTAAAAGCTTCTGTCTATAGCTTCCCTCTGCATATACCAATAGACGTGGCTGTTCTTGTCTCTCTTCTTGCGAACATGCTTTTGTTTGTTGTCGGCCCACTTCTTGATAAGTCCGGCTTTCTCTGCGAGCGTCATATGACTACTGTTCAATGGCGGCTCTGGTGTATCCGCGTCGGGCATGTCATCATCTGACTCACAGTCAGGATGACCCGGGGGCGCGCAGACAATTGTATCTTCGCCAGTTGGAAGAGGAGAGGAAGGAGCCGGAGTTGCGCTAGAATCAGCGCGCGCGCGGATTCGAGGTTGAATTGAGGACGTTCGATGCGGGCATAATTCTGCGTTGGCAATTTACGCCGGGTCCTTGGAGCAAAGAAATTCGCTGCGGCAGATGTTTTTGTTTCAGCAGGGCCATACTACGTATCATGTTATAATTAGCTATCCACTCGTAAGGTAATTAAATAAGGAGGGTAGATTGGAGAGTAATGAAGTTTTACCTGATCTTGGCTGAAAGGCTCGAGAATGGACGCGACACAGGTAGTCGGAACGACACCAAATAAACCACAATAAAGTGTCAAGGAGTCGGGGTTGAACGGGTAGGATAGGTCGTCGGTCAGGGCGTTGATTCGGGGGCTGATCCGAAGCCGCTGTCGGAATATCGAAGCAGGAATTAGGCGAGGTCGTGGTAAAATAATGTCGTGGCAGTTGTCGCGAAGACCGTTGCGCCACGCAGGCAAAGGTGGATGGGCTGACGACCCTGTCTTTCCGACAGCAGTAGAATTAACAGGTGGTCAACTGAGCGGAAATAACGCGTCTGAACGCGGCTAGTTGGCACAATATATCCTTATCATGCAGATTTTTCGGGTACTTCCTGATCGGCTAATTTGTATGGACAAACAAGTAGCAGTCATATTGGGCTCGAGGAGTAGATAAGTCCCTAACAGCCTCCAAATCGCGAGCTGACTCGATTCGTGTCACTTCCAATTGTTCGCGCAGTATTGAGATGTTGAGGATCTGAACGCGTTTTCGAATCAGCTTGCTGGGGCTGTACAGCGGTATAATTATTATATTATATATCCAGAATATGGGTTGCCGAGCTTAATATGTGCTTGAAATGTAGTATTCCAACCAAAAAATGGGCTATCCATTGATTGCCTTCAAGATGATGTGGCATTTCTTGAGCAAATGTTAACGACATGTAACTATCGAGGGTTATATCATCCGAACGAGAAAATCCAGAACATTCGAGCGGCACTACATTTAAATCATGTGCATTATAAAATGGCACTGTTCATGAGCTTCATGGTGTTTTTTTAATACTCCGTATAGGGTGGCAAGATTGCTGAAACGGTGGCGTATCAGGCACTGTTAGGGTCGTTATACCACAATATATGGACGCCCTAACTGCCGTCCTTCGCCTCGATTTCCCCAGCGACGCCCCCCGCCAGACGCGGGCGGCGCGGGACTAGGATTTTGCCAGTGGAGTGTGGACGGTGGAATCCAACTGAAACACGCACAACAGACTTTTAAATACGCAGAGCGTCATCACAAGCGCGGCCGAACTCGAAGTTACCGTGTCCGCGCGGGGCAAACCCCTTAATGATGGGGTCAAAGCAGCTTGTTTATTGATGTGTATGTGAGCCTGCCGAGGAAGAACAGGAAGAGGCCCTTGGTGGGTGGCTTCGGGTATTGACCCTTTCCTCCTGTATGTCCCTTGGCCGCGAAGCGGGTGATAATTTTTTCGCCTTACGTTTCGACCATATCGCCATTCATTCACAATTTTTATGAATGAATTGAATGAAGACTCCTGATTTTTGATTCGTCGAATTTGAAGACCTTACCCGATTCGGCTTCATTCAATTCAAGGGTCCCGAGGCCGATTCGACTTCAAAATCTTCAAATATCAGCCCTATCAACGTCTCCCTGGCAGCCAACTCTTGACCATGGACACATCGCAAAACTCGTTGCCCAGGTTGCGCACTTCCTCGGCGTTCCCATTAAAGACCAAGTCCAAAAAGGCCGTCACGATGCCTAGCACGGTCCGCTGCATCCGCCAGCCATTCATGCTCCCAACCACGGCCTCGATCGCCGCCCTATCCTTGTCGGGAATCCGCAGCGCCGTCACCAGCAGCGGCGCGTCGGTAAACGAGTAGTGCTGCGTCTTGGCCACGGCCAGCTCCAACTTGGGGCCCCGGAGGTGAGAGTACAGCTCGGGCCAGCTCGAGTTGGGCGCCGGCCCGTGGCCCGGGACGCCGACGAGGGCAAACGGCCGGTCGAAGCCCTTGTGGGCGACGGGGCCGAAGATGTGGCCGTCCAAGTTCATGCCGCCCAGGATGCGTTCGTCTTTGAGCATGGCTGCCGCCACGGTTGCCCCCCCCAACGAGTGCCCGTACATGGCCACCTTGGCTACGTCGACCTCGCCGGGGAAGCATCCCGTGAGCTGCTGCAGGGCTGACGGATCGTGCAACCGGTCGATGATGAAGGAAATATCTGCAGCGCGAACCTGATCAAGCGGCTCTCACGTCAGACCCTGCAGGACTCGGCCGGCGCCGCATTCGACTCACCTCAATGGCCCGGATGGCATCGGGAATTGTGGATATGTCGACCGCGTGCACCACGGAGCCATCCGGAAACTCCACAATGGACGCATCGTAGGGATGATCAACGGTAATGACGACGTAGCCCTGGCTGGCCAGCGCCCTGGCACCGGCGCTGTATCCGAGCCTCGAGCCCTCGAGCCCGGGCGAGAAGAGGACGACGGGATACCGAGGCTTCGGGCCGTCCTTGGGCCGGTTCTGGGCTGGGGGAAGCCGGTGATACTCGATGGAGAAGCGCGAGAAAAAGTCGTCGGCCAGCGGGGTCAGCGTGCTAGCCAGCTGTCCGAACTGGGCGGCGGTCGCGGGCGGCATGTAAGGGACTACTTGGACGGGTGTCTTGGCGGGGTGCCCCGGCTCGAGGGGCAGGAAGACGGAGACGAGGATGCGCCTCCTGTGAGCCTCGTGCGCGGGGGCATACGGGTCCCAGCGACTCTCGTCGGTCAGCTCCTGGACTCGCATGGCGACGGGAAAGGGGCCCAGGGGACCGGGGACCAGGAGTGCCCGGACGGTGCCGAGCGTCGCGGCGAGGACGAGGAGGGGTAGCATCGTGGCAGATTTGAACGCCCCAATCAGGCTGTGGCTGTAGAAGGAGAATATGGAGAGACCCGATGCATTGTATTTACAAGGCTCGAGGGCGCTTCTTATAACTGCTGCGTGATGGATGGCCAGTAGCAGCAAGCATGGGTGCTGCTTACGCTGCACTCGTCCACAGGGAGCATCTCGTCCTCGGAGAACATCGCCCGAGAGACTGCGCAGCTGCGCCCCTGCTCCGAGTCGCCGAATCTGGCCGATATAAGCCTCACGGCCACTAAGAAGCCGGCGGAGAAAAACAAGAGTGAGACTTGATGCTCAAAAATGTCTGATTTCGGCAACCATGTGTTGTCGGGCTAAGGAGTAGGCAGCAGTCAAGCAGGCATGTGTGTAGGCGGCTCGTCGGCAACAGAACCGGTCGATGCTCTCTTACGGCCGTAAGCTGCAGTGCGACCCCCGGGTGCCAAAGGAATCGAAGCATTCATTGCGTCACGCCGAGTGTTGCTGCGGGTTCGCTGGTGGCTTGGGCAGCAAATAAGCTCAGAGCCCCGACGCGAGGGATGAATTCTTTGAGACCTCGTCTTTTTCTTCTTCCCTTATCAATCAGTCATTTCTGCGCAGGAGTTCGAAAGAGGGGGCTGTAGCGGTGAATTTGCGGTGTTGCAAGGTCCGAGGTTGGCCGTGGTCGATGACGGATCAGCCGGAGTCCGCCGCCTTAGTCATCCAATTTGCGAAGCAACTTGGCAGCTATGCGACGAGGCAGCTATCGCGACACACCAACGGAAATCAAGCCAGCATTCAACGCGGGCCCAGCTTCCCACGCGCCAATCCCGCAAGGCCAACTTGCCGACGCTCCTTTTCTCCTCTGACCTCTCTGCAGTCCCTTCTCCCTTGCTCGCCCGCAACGCCGTCCTGCCCGACCCCAACCAGCGCGTCACGCTCCTCCGTCTCCTCGTGTCCCAAACCACAGACAGGCCCATCGATCCCCCACAGCCGCCATGGCGTCCGCAACGGCCTCCAAGGAAAAGTACTCGGTCATCCTGCCGACGTACAATGAGAGGCGGAACCTGCCCATCATGACGTGGCTCCTGAACCGCACCTTTACCGAAAAGTACGCGTCGTTGTGAACCCGCGTCCCCGCCCCTTGCTGCAATCAGGCCCCGGCAGATGGTGGATGGCTGACGGAAAACACAGCAACCTCGAGTGGGAACTCATCATCGTCGACGACGGCTCGCCCGACGGCACGCAAGAGGTTGCCCAGCAGCTCGTCAAGGCCTACGCGCCGCACGTGGTGCTCAAGTCGCGCGCCGGCAAGCTCGGCCTCGGCACCGCCTACGTCCACGGCCTGCAGTTCGCCACGGGCAGCTTCGTCATCATCATGGACGCCGACTTCAGCCACCACCCCAAGTTCATCCCCCGCATGATCGCCCTGCAGCAGGCCGGCGCCTACGACATCGTCACCGGCACTCGCTACGCCGGCGACGGCGGCGTCTTTGGCTGGGACCTCAAGCGCAAGTTTGTCAGCCGCGGCGCCAACCTCTTTGCCGACACGGTCCTGCGTCCCGGCGTCAGCGACGTCACCGGCTCCTTTCGCCTCTACAAGCGCGCCGTGCTGGAAAAGGTCATTGCCAGCACCGAGAGCAAGGGCTACACCTTCCAGATGGAGATGATTGTCCGCGCAAAGGCCATGGGCTGCACCGTCGCAGAGGTGCCCATTTCCTTTGTCGACCGCCTCTACGGCGAGAGCAAGCTGGGCGGCGACGAGATTGTCGAGTACGCAAAGGGCGTCTTTTCTCTGTGGCTCAAGGTGTGAGGACCGAAGGAGTTACCAAGACTTGAGCTACCAAGACTGGTCCATTCTCTGTCCAGCACCTCACCACGTGCTGTCTCTCATCCAGTTTTCTCACGCCGTGCTCTTGACGTTGTCGCGTGTTGGCTGGATGGATGGATGTATTGATGAAAGGGGGGGTGATTGATGAAAGGGAGGGTCGGAAGGGCGTTAGGGCGTCAAGCACAGCACCGCTGCCACTTTCGAACACACATGTTTCTACCAAAGAAAGCTGCCGCCGTCTCCTTGATAATTGGCCGTTGCAGCACTATACCAAGACTGGCCGTGTCCATGGCTGTTTTGGAGCCGGCAAGCAGCACTAATCAAATCCCGAGGTCATCCAATGGCATCTACAAAATTTGCAACTGAGAGGAAGCATCATCGCCGACATCAGATGAAAATCGCTGCCAGTCCCAGGTTCTTATCCCCCGTAAATAACACCTCACAAGGCACCCGGCAGACCATGGATCCAGCACATCGGCTGCCAGACCGTCACAGCTTAAAGTCAGCACTCATCTTCTCCCACCCCGCTGCCGACTCGTCCAGCCGGGCCACGCGCTCCACGAGCCTCGTCTTAAGATTTCGGTGCTTGTCCGTGCACAGCTCGTACATGGTGGCCAGGTTGAAGAGCAGCGTGTGCGACGACGCGCCCGCGCCCACCAGCCCTTCGAGCAACTCGCGGCCCTGCCGTCTAGTTATTAGTCTCTTTGTCTCATTCTGCTGCCGAGCGGCCTCCTACGCGCATTCTACGCAGGGCAAGGGGTTGCCGCGGCGCGGGGAGCTCGCAGAGTAAAAACTTGCCTCGTGCATCCTGCCTAGGTAGAGCAGGCAGACGGCCGTGTTGACGCCCACCATCTCGTCCCCGGTGCCCAGCGTGTCGTGCAGTCCCTGCCACTTGCCGAGGGCAGCCTCGTAGTCGGCGTCGGCCATGTCGCAGAGCGCCTGGATGAGCGTGTCCGTCTGTGCGGCGTTGTCCGAGCACCTGGCCGCGCACTCCCGCGCCTTGGCCGCGCTGCCCAGGTGCAGCCACAGCAGCGCCCTCGACAGCGCCAGCTTCTTGTTTCCGCCGCCGTCTGACATGGTGGCCAGGTGGTGCGCCGCGCCAGGCAGGTCATCCATGTCGATGAGGGCCCCGGCGACCTGGATGCCCAGTTCGTGCAGGCGCGACCTCCAGAGCTCGCGCGTGGTGCCGTCGTGGCTGGCGGCGGCCTTTGAGATGTGGACCCGTGCTTCTCGGGCGAGGTCGTGGTAGCTCATAACGGCCCTGCGGTGGTCGCCGAAGCCGAGAGCCTGGAGGCGCACGTTGAGGACGCGCAGCTCCCAGGGGGCCAGGTGCTGGCCTGTTTCCTCGTCGACGTAGATGCGGGGGTTGTTGAGGTCCTCGAGGGCCTTGACTTCCTGAGCCGCCAGCGGCGTCGCGTCAATGAGCGTCAGACAGGCCAGCCGCGTGTACAGCAGGTCAAAGATGGTCTTTGCATCGCGGGCATCGACGCCATTACGACCGCTGGCCGCCGCGGCGGAGCCCGTCAGCTCCTGGACAGCCGCAATGGCCGCGGCCCTGAACTGGCCGCGCTCGAGGAGCTGGTCCAGCGGCACCTGGGGGTCCGGCTGCTTGGGTGAGTTGCGAAAGGCCGGGGGCACGTTGAGCTGTGTGATGGGGTGGTAGATTTCCGGACGGAGCAGAAAGGAAAAGTCCTTGCCGGGACGGGCATCGCCGGGCTGGGGAGACGCGGCATCCTGGCGCTGGCGGGCCGACGAGGCGCTGCGCCGGGGCAGCTGGACCGTCGGGCTGAGCTGGGCCGTCGAGGGCGACTTTGGGCCGTCACTGGGAAGGGCTGGTCAGAAGCGGCTTGGCTTGCGCGACGCATGCGACCAACTCTTGTGCGGCATCGAGAGGGCCCCTGGTGCTGGATCTGGGTCTCGACGCTGAGAATCTTGGTCAGCTGGGATTTGGCCATGATGGTAATGCATTGATCAAGTCCAGCCGCTCCTTGCCGCGACTCACATCTGGTGGAAGACGACTTGTTGCGTGCGTGTCCCTGTGACGGGACTCGTTGCGGCTGACTCATTTGCCCTGCTTCATGGGAGCCTTCATCTCTCGAGGAGGCCTGCTTTCGTCGTCGCTGGTGAGAGGTGAAGCCGTCACGTCGTGAGCTTCAAGTACATGTACATGTACGGGCGTGAACTCGGGTATTTGCCGGCTAACTCGGAAGCGGGAGCCAATAGGCTCACGGTACCCGCGAATCTAATATTTCGCGGGCACCGTGACAATGACTAAGCAGATGTCGCAGGGGAACGCGAGCCCGGTGACCGCGCGTGTTATTGACGGTCGACAACGCGCCTCAGCAAAAGCACCCGTCCGCTTAAACATGCTGTAGCGACCGTTAAAATGGGTCCGCCTTCTCTCGGGCCGACTGCACCGTTTGCCGAAGACTGTCTTCCACCGGAACTTGACTACGACTCTCGCGATGACCTCCTCATTTCGATCAACGCTTGGGCTGCGACGCGGGGCTATGCCTTCACAACGGAAAGTCCACCAGAGCCAAGGGTGGCAGACAGACAGTGACCTTCGCGTGCGACCGGTCTTGTCGACCCCAAATCCGTCGATAGAACGTCAGCGAAAGACAACAACCCGAGGGACGGGCTGTGAGTTTTCGATTTTGGCCAAAGAATCAGCCGACAGGCAATCTTGGGCTGTGCGACACCGCCCAGACAAACGATTTTCCCTGCATAATCACGCGCCCAGTCGCCACCCTTCTGCTCATCCTGCTCATCGTAGGTTGACGGAGAAAGATATTGAAAAGTTATCGCGCCTTTCTAATGCCGGCATTGTCCCAAAAGATATTCGGACCTATATACGACAGAACTGCGATTCTCTTGCCACACAACAAGACATTTACAATGGAATTGCAGCTACCAAGAGAGATGTATGCGAAGGGCAAAGTTCAATTCACGCTTTGGCCAGTCAGCTCGACCAGGAGGGGTTTTGGAGTCGGATCCAATTCGGCCAAGACGGCCGAGTGACCGCAGTTCTGTTCGCTCATCCAGAGTCCTTGACGTATCTCCAGGCATACCCAGATGTCTTGTTGCTAGATTGCACGTACAAGACGAACAAACACGGCATGCCGCTCCTCGACATGATAGGAGTAGATGCTTGTCAGCGATCATTTTGCATAGCATTTGCATTCCTTGGTGGGGAGACCGAAGCTGACTTCGTGTGGGCGTTGGATCGCCTGAGGTCACTGTACGAACACCATAGCGCCCGCTTACCCTCTGTCGTCCTAACAGACCGCTGCATCGCCTGTATGAACGCCGTTGCCATTTCCTTTCCCACTTCTTGCTCACTACTCTGTCTGTGGCATGCCAACAAGGCCGTCCTCCGCTATTGCCGGCCAGCCTTCGTCCGCCAGGACCAACCGGAGTCCACAAACGCAGAGACAATTGATACGTCAGAGAGCAACGGCTGGTCTGAGTTCTACCAATTCTGGCACTCGATCATGGCTGCACCAAACGAAGAAGCATTCAAGGACCGAGCTACGCAATTCGAGAAGAAGTACCTACCCAACCACCTCAAACAAGTTGGATACATCAAAACTTTCTGGCTTGAAGGGTATAAGGAAAAGCTTGTTAAGGCTTGGGTTGATCAACATGCTCATTTTGGAAATACAGTCACGTCGCGCGTGGAGGGCATACATGCATTGTTGAAGGCCCATCTCAAAAAGTCCACGCTAAATCTTTTCGAGGCTTGGAGGGCGATGAAGCACGCGTTACTCAATCAACTGTCAGACTTGAGATCGAATCAAGCCCGACAGCAGATTCGGGTCCCAATTGAGCTCTCTGGGCCCTTATACGCTTCAGTGCGCGGTTGGGTCTCCCATGAAGCGCTGAGAAAGGTGGAGGAGCAGCGGAAGATGCTTGGTAGGAGAGATCCTCCCCCACCGCCAACTTGCACGGGGGCTTTCACCAAGTCCCACGGGCTGCCTTGCCTTCACACTCTAAAATCTTTGCAAGAGCAAGGACAAGTACTCTTACTTGAGCACTTCCATACGCACTGGCACCTGCAGCGGGATGGAACTCCCGGCCGCTGCTAGAGCCGCGCCAGCGAATCGAGTCGACCTTAGCAAGTTCGGCTATTCCCAAGCAGAGCACTCGGAGAGAACCCAGTGCATTTGAGAGTATCGAGGAGGCTCGTAAAGCGCCACCCACATGCAGCAGGTGCCATACGGTTGGTCATAGGATGACCGCGAAAGCCTGCCCGCTGCGCTTTGGAGAGCTGCTTCAAGAGACTACGTCGTCGATGCATTCACGATCGGTGTCACCATCGGAGATCGTACCGTCATCCCAGTACGTGCAAGCCGCTTTGGACGCACAGGAGCCAGAGCTTGCAACTGAGCCGCCAACTGATGCGTCCCTGGCGACGGATTTGGGAGTGTCGCAGGAACCCTTACAATTCTGCCCACTACAGCTCCAGACCATCCTCCTGCCCAGTCGGGTCAGTCCTTTCACGCCGAAATAGGTTCAGTTGCCACGACCTTTCCCGGTGACCAAGATTCCGGGCCCGTACCGGGTCCGCCCCGCGATGCCACTGAGCTGCTGGTATCGCCACCACCTATCTCACCTGACTTGCCAGCCCCACCGCCGCCGAAATATGATTCACCAGAAGCTATACACAAAAGTTATACCGCTGCAAGAAGCGCATGGTATGCAGCGCAGCCGGCCGGCAGCATCAAGACAAACCAACAATACCGCAAGGCAATGAGGCTTCCAGCTAGGTATGACAAGCAAAGCTATGAATGGTGTATGGACTACAAACAAATGTCCAGGCATTGCGCCACTACAACGGGGTTGAGAGCATGGACGAAAGAAGAAATGATGGCATACCTTGACTGGAGCCATGCAGAAGATCAGCGTGTTGAAGCCCAGATCATGAAGGAGATGGGAGACAATCCGTTAGCCAACACACGGAGGGCGTGGCCGACATTTGGCGACAGGTAGAAAAGGACAGCCGAGAGCAGGAAACGCTGTATTCTGCACATGTTGAGGCAGATGATTGTATTTTCGTCGAGCCGTAGTTGGCTCTACTGATATTAGCAGCTCTTTAGTTCTAGTAGACAGTAGACTCACACATACGACGAGCACAGTGCCGACAGACTACCCGCATCATGGCTTTACGCAGACAACGGACTGTGATTAGTCATTTTCGCGGTGCCCGCGAAATATTAGATTCGCGGGTACCGTGAGCCTATTGGCTCCCCTCGGAAGCTTGTGTATGACTAATAGAAGAAGATTCTCTGGACATCAACGGCATGACCCCGTGAAGGCCTCGTTTCACGCCCCCATGCCTCAACATCTAGTGTCATGAGAGCGCTCTCGACTCTCCAGGATTTCTTCATCAAGCCGTTGCACGAGCCGACCCGGGATGACGCCATGAGTTGACTGCCAAGGCAGAAAAGTTTTATCCGGTGCTAGCGAAGACTTCTCGTCGCCGCACGTCTCCTCAGCCCTCACCGTCTTCTTGGTCCAGCCGATCTGCGCACGCCTCCCCTGCATACGTATCGTCACCCTCCCTTCATAGCCCCTGTTCATTCTGGAAAAGAAATTGACGTTTCGCATGCATGTACGAGGATGCACGGTGACCTGCAAAGTCGCATCCGATGCTGCGCCAAGTTCCAATGCCGCGCGGCCTTTTCTGTCTAGCCATCGTCGCGAATAAGAACCGATGATCATCGACTGAAGGACATTAATGACTTATAGAGATGGCGTGGACAAAGGCCACTCGCCGGCAATCTTCGTGGTCGCCAATACGCGCCTGTAGCCGCAGTCCTTGCTGCCGGACTTGGACACTCTAGGCACCCCGACATGGCATTCTGACGGTTCAATGCTTGGACGTTTCCTGTAGACTCCGCCAAGCTCTCGCATTCCATTCTTACTTGATCCCTTGTAAGACAACTATTTAGCGTTTTCATGACCCTATGGACGACGGGATCGAGGTGCCATAAGGGCCGTGAAGTTATGAACTACTACGATGATGAGGATGCTATAGTTGCAAGCCCTATTATAGCATTAATATAGAGACTCTTTTTAGCACATGGGCCTGCCTAAGCTCATTCACCACCGGTTTCTCAGCCTCTTCAACGCCCGTTACTCCAAAGGGGCTTGGCCGTCACCCCGTTGGTTCCCATATTACTTTGTAGTCGCGCACCAAGTAGCAGACGAAGACCCCTTTCTTCAACGTTCGTGTTGCGAGCTCGCTCTACGGCTCCAATAAAGAGCCGACTTGCTTGCCATCCATGTAGATGCTCGACAGGAGCCTTGGCTCTCCGTCTTTGAAGTGTGTTTCGTTGCCACCTCTCTCTTCTGCTGTCGAGAAAAGTCAGAGACGCAAACTTTTCGGTCAGCGCCAGGAAAGGGGTATCGTCAATAGATATAATACAGTGTTTGCTTGCTTGCTTGCGTCTCGTGTCCACGAGTATTATTCAAAAATGAGCGTTACCCGCGGCATTCCTCTCCTCCAGCTTCAAAAGGACACCCCCTTTCCAGGACGAGACGCCGGCCACCGCCAACCTCGTCGCCGGACCATGATACACACGAGCCCTAGAGCGGCCACCAGCAAGGGGAAGCCCACCCACGGCTGTTCGACATGCACGTGGTCCCCGAGATAGTTGAACAGCCGCCCATCGGACCGGTGCCACGACCGGCCCGCCGCGTGCCGCACCACCGTTCCGCCGTACTCGTCGTCCAGCACGCCCAGCACCGGCTGCGTCGCGGCCCGGGCCCGGTCATAGTCGCGCGACGCCGCCGTCACCATCATCGGCCCCGTGGACCAAAAGACTTGCAGGTACGGCAGGATGATGCGTCGCGACGTCGAGGCGCCGCGCCGCTTGGCCTCGTGCAGCGCCCACAGGAGGAAGGGCGAGGCGCGCTCCGCCATAAAGAAGTGGTTGCTCAGACCCAGGGCTCCCGATGTCGGGGCAAAGATGGCCTCCAGCCCAAGACGCTGCAGACAGGATACCCCCTGGACCGACTTGGGGTGCACGTCCAGGTCGGCGTAGATTCCCCCGTGGGCGTGGACCACCACCAGTCTAGCTACGTCGGCTCGCTGGATGTTTTGTGGATAACCCTCGTACGTAGGCAGCAGCCACGCGTACTCGGCCCTAATAAGCCCGACGATGTCGTCGTCGGTCCACAGCCAGACCGTGTAGTTGAAGGGCTCTAGCCCGGCCCTCCATGAGTCGCGAGACGACCATGCCGGGTAGGTGCGCACGTCGGCCGTTTTCCAGATCTGGTGGACAATGTTGGGGATGTTTCGGCCGGCGACGGCCTGGCGAGCGTCGTGGGACGTTTTATGTTTTGGGCGATTAGGCCGAGGGCAGGCTTGGATTAGCTCGGTCGACGCTGAGATATGGCCGACGAGGGTGTAGTAGTCGACGTAGCTGAGCTGGTGGACAAGGACAAAGAGGACTAGGACAGCGCCTAGTGAGGCAATGAGCTTGCGCGAGTTCCCCCTATAGAGAGCCATCGTGCCCTTGCCGAGGAAATCGGCCCGATCGAACGGGGTGATAGGTAAAGTCTAGAGAGTAGAAGCCCGAGTGAGTTCCAAGTCGTACGAAGCGAGGGGTAGTTAATAATATTAAACGGAGCAGTAGGTGGTGGTGTCGTCAACAAACGAGTGTCCAACATGAACGGTGCGCATGAAGTCGTACCGAGCAAACCGTTCAAGTTATAGTCAGAGGAAGGAATCGACTGCAATTCAGCGCCCCTCCACGTTTGAATAAGCTCGGGGACCGTTGGGGGAGGAGCCGGAGCGAGTCAAGGAAAGAACCGCTCCAAACGACAACAAGACGGAGACAGGGCTGACCGAAGAGGCCCGGAGGCTGGATAGAGCCGCTGCCTGCCTGACAGAAGGGCAGACGTCGGGGCATATGCACCGGCTCCGAGTCTGGAAGGACGGCAAGGATCAAGCCTTGTCCCGGGGACCTCGCCGTCGTATGGCACATGTCCACGCCGTCAACGAGCTTCTCCGACTCTGGAGCGCGTTCGCCATGTCCATCCTGCCAAGTGTGGCTTATAGGAACAGGCAATACACCAGGGGGTGGTCCCACGAGCAGGGCGTTGGTAGCTTCCGCGCGTCCCTTGCATACTTGTTACATACGCGGAAACTCGCCGGCGTAAGCGACAAGCTAGCGGAAATGATCTACGGTATCTGTCCGGCGGCTCGTGCGAGGGACCAGGAGGAAAACTTGATATTGTAGCAAGGAATGCGCAATAGGCCATGGCGGTGAACGTGGGCTCTGGTCCATCAACACGTCCACACATCAGCTGTCTAGAGAGAGAGAGAGGGAGAAAGAGAGAGGGAGAGAGACTTGCGCCAGAAACAGCCTCAGCTCTGGCATTCCTGACCACCTCGAACCCTCATGTGGGCCACGAATGGCGGACGATCTACTAAGTATGTCCAACTGCGAGGTGGTGCGTCAAGCGGACCCGACTCGTAAGCTATAGCGTAGAGGTGGATAATTATCACAGTACACGCCAAAGGGGCAAGCTCTGCTTTAATAATGCAAGCAATTAAGAACTAACGTCTTAGCAGCAAGTGGCCCACACATGTTCAAGTCGAGTCCGCTGTTCGCCCAGGCGGTAGGGGTGATAGACGAAGGTGAAGATTTTGAAGATTTTGAATGAAGGATGAATCAAATGAATTGAATTTTTTGGATCTTGATTCAAAATCTTCAAGCTCCAATTTTCGCGATTCAAGTTGGGTTTGGGCCAATTCAGGCCATTCATGAATGGTTTGAAGGGATCCCCTAAACGAAGTGAATTTGGTGTGTACCTGAGCGATTGCAAAGATGCCTCAAAAACGCCAATAAGTAGTATATAGTTTTAAGTTATAGCCTTCTAAGAAGTCGATAATCCCGAATACTACAAAAATTAACTTACATAAATACTGATCCGCCTGTCCTAGGCAAATCGACTGAAAATAAGCACTTTCAAAGCTCTGCCGAATCCTCAAAATACGTCGGTACAACGCGTTCGAATCCGCCACTGTACACGGCTACACTCTTAGAGCCCCAATCCTCCGAAGCCTCCATTGTATCTAGACAGGGGGTTGATATCGCAGACTTATCGGCTTGGGATGCAGGAGGTTTGGGGTAGGGGTTCGGTGGGAGCCTCGGTGGGAGGAAGAGGTTGAGGAGGATTCTCGCCTGAACACAGATTAGCATATACCTACATATATAATGAGGGTATATCCATACATACCATCTTCCAGCTTGCCCGGAATGTGGTCTGGTCTCCAAATAATACTATTGGCAAAGGGCAGGATGTCATACTCCATGGCCGCCTTGATCAACGCCTGATCGATCTTATCTTCCTGAGTATAAGCACTCCGTAAAAGTGTTAGTACTCGCACCGTATCTGCCTTCAAGGCGTGACGGCGGATACCGAATTCGTCTCTACAACCGCTGAAGAGGCGTTCCACGTCAACTTCAGAGCCAGAGACAGAGAGAAGATCACGCGCCGCCGCAGCCAAAGTGGCCACTCGACCTTGTGTTCTTTCCACCACTTCAGTAGGAAGTCTGGAGACTTTGCAATAGACTCGTCGAACTCTATTCGAGGAGCTGCAAGCCACCGTTCAAGCTCCGAAATAGGGATCGCCGCGCCCGTCTCCGCCTCCCTCGCCTTCTTCATTTGGATGGCTCTCCATTGCGCAATGGAGACTCCTTGAGGACGCTCAGCTGGTCTGGATTGGCTCATAGTTGAGTTTGTGGCATTCAATGCTGCTAGCTCCGGCCACTCCGTTTTGAAATACTTCTTGACTTTAGCCATAATCTCAGAGTATTGATCCGGTATCATCATTTCCAATTGGTGAGTTTTATAACGCGGATCCAGGATGTGAGCTGCGAATAGCATCATTTGATCGTCAAGCTTCTTCATATAAGTAACGTGTTTTGCTTTGCCCTTCGAGAAGGCGTCTCGAATGGACATATCAAGGTCTGTAAAGTCGCCAACTCCTTCGACTACATCATCAAGGAGAGCTTCCAAATCCCAATAGATATCGAGACTTTGTGAGATCGGCGGCATAACTTCGGAGACTTTCAGAGTGTGGTCTTTAAACGGCTTCAGAACCTTCCGCAGTTGATAGAGAGCGACAATCTCTTCTGATAAGGGCAGGAGGCACTTGACTTGCGGGTGAGTATCAACGAACTCAGTATACTCTGCCTCAAGCTCGAGGAATTGGTCAATCATGTCGTAGGCCGAATTCCAGCGAGTGTCGACATCGTAGGTTGGCTTCCGGTAGTGCGTGCGCGGCATGCTTTTGAAGTCTTGCTCCCTAGACCCGGATCTCAACATCCAGAGATTGAGGAGGCGGATTTTGGCAATCCCACTTCGACTAGAGTCTCCCGGAATGGTGTAGTTGTTGCTTTTATTCTCTTCGTCCCACTTGTCAAGCATCTTCTTGGCTTCCTTCGCTGTGCCTGCTTTGAGATCTTGCAAGACGCCCTCACAAATGAGCGAGGTAATATGAGCTAGACAGCGGATCCAACTCTTCCTGCCGTGAAAGCGCATGCGGGCCTCCTATTGGGCTCACCTTGTCGTCGAATTTGGTCTTGAGAGAATCGTACAAAGACTGACAGAGCGTGCCGTTATTGCCGGCGTTGTCTCCCGTAATGGCGAGAAGCTTAGGCTTGAGCCTGAGCTCCTCAAGCGTCCTCTCAACTATCTCAGCTAATTGTTTGCCAGTGTGAGATCTTTTGAGCTCAATAAACTCAATAACTTCCTCTCTCTCCTCAAACTCCGGTGTAATCCAGTGCGCAATAATGGCGAAAATGGGCACCTGATTCGGTGCTGTCCAGATATCAAGGGTGAACGAGATGGTGGCACAATTGTACTCAAGCTCAATCTTCAGCTTCTCCTGCGTTCGACAAAGTCTGTATATATATGATTGCGTAACGTTATACGACTCCTGTACACACATGTTGTGTTGTGAGCCAAGAACATCTCTTGAAAAGCAGGAGTCTCGACAACAGAGAAGGGTTGTCGGTGTTTTACAAACCACCGGCGGATAGACTCCTTTGCCGTGAGTCTTGCTCTCTGCCTAGGTCGACCGCTCCATGCGTCTGCCTCTGTATAATCTCCTCCACCAATGGCGCGGCCGTATCCATTAATTCGAGCGTGGTGAGATTCCTTCGTAATACCGTGGATTTTTAAATGGTCTCCCATGCCAGAGGTAACCCCTCGGCGGTTCGATTCGAGGACCTGGAATCTCTTCCGAAGAGTATTGGGATTTTGAAGGCACTCTATACAAGTCCACCGGAACTCTTGGAAGATCTTCGGCCCATCCTTATCCTCTGAGTAAAAGCTTCTGTCTATAGCTTCCTCTGCACATACCAATAGACGTGGCTGTTCTTGTCTCTCTTCTTGCGAACATGCTTTTGTTTGTTGTCGGCCCACTTCTTGATAAGTCCGGCTTTCTCTGCGAGCGTCATATGACTACTGTTCAATGGCGGCTCTGGTGTATCCGCGTCGGGCATGTCATCATCTGACTCACAGTCAGGATGACCCGGGGGCGCGCAGACAATTGTATCTTCGCCAGTTGGAAGAGGAGAGGAAGGAGCCGAGTTGCGCTAGAATCAGCGCGCGCGCGGGATTCCGAGGTTGAATTGAGGACGTTCGATGCGGGCATAATTCTGCGTTGGCAATTTACGCCGGGTCCTTGGAGCAAAGAAATTCGCTGCGGCAGATGTTTTTGTTTCAGCAGGGGCCATACTACGTATCATGTTATAATTAGCTATCCACTCGTAAGGTAATTAAATAAGGAGGGTAGATTGGAGAGTAATGAAGTTTTACCTGATCTTGGCTGAAAGGCTCGAGAATGGACGCGACACAGGTAGTCGGAACGACACCAAATAAACCACAATAAAGTGTCAAGGAGTCGGGGTTGAACGGGTAGGATAGGTCGTCGGTCAGGGCGTTGATTCGGGGGCTGATCCGAAGCCGCTGTCGGAATATCGAAGCAGGAATTAGGCGAGGTCGTGGTAAAATAATGTCGTGGCAGTTGTCGCGAAGACCGTTGCGCCACGCAGGCAAAGGTGGATGGGCTGACGACCCTGTCTTTCCGACAGCAGTAGAATTAACAGGTGGTCAACTGAGCGGAAATAACGCGTCTGAACGCGGCTAGTTGGCACAATATATCCTTATCATGCAGATTTTCGGGTACTTCCTGATCGGCTAATTTGTATGGACAAACAAGTAGCAGTCATATTGGGCTCGAGGAGTAGATAAGTCCCTAACAGCCTCCAAATCGCGAGCTGACTCGATTCGTGTCACTTCCAATTGTTCGCGCAGTATTGAGATGTTGAGGATCTGAACGCGTTTTTCGAATCAGCTTGCTGGGGGCTGTACAGCGGTATAATTATTATATTATATATCCAGAATATGGGTTGCCGAGCTTAATATGTGCTTGAAATGTAGTATTCCAACCAAAAAATGGGCTATCCATTGATTGCCTTCAAGATGATGTGGCATTTCTTGAGCAAATGTTAACGACATGTAACTATCGAGGTTATATCATCCGAACGAGAAAATCCAGAACATTCGAGCGGCACTACATTTAAATCATGTGCATTATAAAATGGCACTGTTCATGAGCTTCATGGTGTTTTTTAATACTCCGTATAGGGTGGCAAGATTGCTGAAACGGTGGCGTATCAGGCACTGTTAGGGTCGTTATACCACAATATATGGACGCCCTAACTGCCGTCCTTCGCCTCGATTTCAGCGACGCCCCGCCAGACGCGGGCGGCGCGGGACTAGGATTTTGCCAGTGGAGTGTGGACGGTGGAATCCAACTGAAACACGCACAACAGACTTTTAAATACGCAGAGCGTCATCACAAGCGCGGCCGAACTCGAAGTTACCGTGTCCGCGCGGGGCAAACCCCTTAATGATGGGGTCAAAGCAGCTTGTTTATTGATGTATGTGAGCCTGCCGAGGAAGAACAGGAAGAGGCCCTTGGTGGGTGGCTTCGGGTATTGACCCTTTCCTCCTGTATGTCCCTTGGCCGCGAAGGGTGATAATTTTTTTTCGCCTTACGTTTCGACCATATCGCCATTCATTCACAATTTTTATGAATGAATTGAATGAAGACTCCTGATTTTTGATTCGTCGAATTTGAAGACCTTACCCGATTCGGCTTCATTCAATTCAAGGGTCCCGAGGCCGATTCGACTTCAAAATCTTCAAATATCAGCCCTACCAGGCGGTGCAAACCATGGGAGTGAGCAAGAGGCCGGACTCGCTGCCCGATGGACGACCCTCGTTAGGCCGCGTTGCTGTGAACACAGTCCTCTGCTCCTCCAGGACGCCTTCTGACTAGATGCACTTGGCTCGGCGAGGTTTTGTTACGGCGGAAGTTGACAGTGGAGGCTGGACACAGAGTTAATAAAATACTTCGAACACCCGTTAAGTTGCCAATGCAAGGGGCTTAACGGCTGAATATCCAGCCCGAAGGGTGAATATCGTATACCTGCACTCGACTTTCTTAAGGGGTACCCACTAGAACCCCTTCCGCCTTCAGCGGCTAACCAGCCGTTCGAACTACTTCCTGGCAGGCCCAGTCTAACTATAACCCTATATCGTACCCCCCCCCCTTCCCTGTAGCTTGTAGGAAGACGACGTTTAGTCACGGTAGAGTGGTGGATACAGTGGATCGCTCAGCTGTTGACCCTGACGCCGTTGTTGGTCAGCGAGGCGCATCTTCATCCCTGTCTCATAGTTAGCCGTGAATGCAGTACGTAGGAAACGCAGGCGTATAACCTTCCGTCGGCGTGTGGTTATAGAGGCTCTGACGATCGAACGGCGCCTCAAGGAGTAAGCCTTGGAGCGAGGTAACCCGTGAGACGGCAACATAGCTAATACCGGCCTGGAAGTCGCGTGTAGCGAGATCAGTAACTATTTTATCCTTTGTTAGGCTCTGGCATTTGTGAACAGTAATAGCAAACGCCACGATTAGGGGAAACTGCGTGCGAGCGCAGGTCTCGTTGCCCACAAGGAAGTCCCGCCTGACTGGCAGGATGGGGTGAGATTTTCCTGCCCTCGTTAGTTGTTAGATACGGCGGTCCGTCGTAGCTATCAAAGTCCACCATAATAACGGCTGGGGGGTCTTCCAATGGATCGGCGCCTGCGCTCCAGGCGATATCGTATACAGTACCCTGAGCACCGTTAACTAGGCCAGCTGATTGCCACAGATTAGTCGTGAGCATCACCCTGGTGCCCTTAGCAACAGGGAACTTGTTAGATAGATTGCCAGCATTGTTGCTTGGTGCCTGCCCAGCGCCGTTGCCGTGATTCTTTGCCTCCACTTGTATTGCCGGGGCGTTGAGATGCACCATATGCTCGTGGTTGTATTGGTTGACCCGTGCCTTTGTAGAATACACTCGCAAAGCGGTCCTGAAGCCGTCAAGCTCGCTCCGCGGTAGCCTGGCCTGTACCCGATTGCTAAGGAGGTTCCAGGATGGTATAGATAACTTTACATCACGCAGTTCCTGCAACGCCTGACGGAACTGGGCCTGATCATCACCAGCCTGGCGCTGTGCCGTGGTCAGGAAGACGGTGCGGTCAAATAGGCGGTAGGCCACCTGCCCTCTCCTTTCCAACGAAGACAGGCCGGTGCTAGTCGAATACAGGGCTTTTGTCGGACTGGTGGTAACTGGAAGAAATCGCCCACAAGCACAACGCTCACACCACCAAAGAACTCGAGGTTACGCTGTGGAAAGGCTTGTCGCAAACGGGAATCGATCCGCGCGAGCTGCTCAAGCCCTAGCATGCTCTTTTCATCGATAACGAGGTATTTGATGTGCCGTAGGCGGGACTGAAGGGCGGCTGCGTCGGCCGGGGGAAGGTCGGTGAAAGTACCGCCTACTGGGAGGCGCAGCAACGAATGAATGGTGCTGCCCTGTATCTGGTTACTCGCAACGCCTGTTGGCGCCACGCGGCATATAGGGCTAGGATTCGGTAGGGCGGCTGCCTGAAGATGGGAAGAAAGCACCTTGATAAGGAACGACTTGCCTGTGCCACCACCACCATCAACGTGGAGAAGGATTTGAGCAGGATTTTGCGCCTGGAAGTGGCCCATGAATGTGTCGTACACGAGCCGTTGTTGCGTATTCAGCGTATTACGCCAGTGAGGGCCAAGGACCTCCACATCGTTGGCCATGGGGTGGCTAGCGATAAGGTCTTTCCAGTAGCCGTCTCGGAGTTCCGGATAAGTACCACATGCTGTGTCTACTCGTAATTGATGTCGATATCGCGGCGGCCAGGTAGGTCAAGATCTTGCTGGGTAAGGGAGTTGTCAGGTAAAGGGCGGCGAGGCGAATCCAGTCTTCGTCATCAAATTCTTCCTCCACAGGCAGAGCCTCGTATTGATCATCTTGAGGCTGTAATCGAGCCTCTTTTGGCCGACTGTAATGGTCATCACCATGACTGTGATGCTGCCAACAATAGGAGAAGGCCTCAGCGTGAGAACCAAAAGCTGGCCGTCAACTGTGAGGAGATCATCAACCCGCCGATGTGGGTGGTTTAATGTTAGCTTTACACGACAGTAATCTGACCACTGTTGACCTTCTGGATCAGCCTGATAGCGAGGAAAGTAAACCAGCACTCGAGGCCTGCCGTTAATGTTGCCTGGCTGCCATTGCTTCCACTTGGAAGGGTCCCTAGGGCGGAAATTCCAGCATTTCAGGAAGGAGACGTAGCTTAGGTCCGCTAGGGCTTCCGGGCGTTGAGTGTACTTTTCGTAAACGTTGGGGGCCTCGTCCACCTCATCGCCGTCAATACGGAGGGAGCGGGAATGCCTGTCAGGATTACGACAGTCGACGTACAGGCAAGTTCGTGACCCTTCCTGTAACGGCAGGCCGAGGAGCAAGTGGCTGACCTCCTGCTTCGAGTAATCCCGCTCCGCAACCAGCTGATTGAGGAGCTTTGACGTGAAGGAAATCAAGGGGTTGTGGTCCTTGACCCGGGGCATCAGGGCCTTCCCAATCTGGGCAAAAGACTCGCTCTTCTTTTCCGACTTGGAGCAGTATTTGGCCGCGTAATCGATTACCTGCTGTAGACTCGTGCAAGGCGAAACATCTGTATTGGCTAGCCACGCAACGGTAAGCAAGCGGTTGTAGTGGTTAATCTGGCCATCGTTCCGCTCGCCCCTAAAGCTCCAGTGTTTAGAGTGAGGAACCTTGTCAAGGAGGCTAGTAGGCGCTGGCCGTGAGGAAATCCAAAGCGGCACTCCACCTGCTTGGTATGCTTATTGAGCTGCATGCAGTAGTTGTTGCAGCGGTGGCGTTGCACGCGGTTGACTACCATCGATAGGAACTGAACGGTAAGGGATGTTCCAGTAGATTACCGATCAGGGGTTCCCTCCCCAGGAGCCTGTATTCGCTGTGGCTCTGGGTTCACTGCAGATACGTGGTATCCCCAGATGCGAGCGAATTGCTCCCGGACTGATCGTTGTCAGGATCTAAGTCTGGGTGGCCACTTAGCCAATATAGGCCGTGGTGGTGACTGGAACCCCTGCCCTGCCACTCGTAGCGGCCCCAAGAGTCCGTTAGGTTGAACTTCTGCTTCAAGACAATAGCCTAAACAGCGCATAACGCTTATGAAAGTGGTACGCAGCGATGTGGGCGTTGTCTCGCAGTAGTTGCCGGGATAGAGCCATCCGCGCCGCCTCAGGAGCTGTTTGCCACTCGTCAAATCGAGGCATATGGCGGTATAGGGATTCCCAGTGGTAATCGGCTGCACTTGCAGTAGCGAAAAGGCCGGGCTTGCCTAGATTATAGGCATATGCTTCCAACTCCTTCCTTTGTTTATACCAATACGGCCGGGTGCCCTAATTACTGCGGCTTGGCGCGTGATCGACTGGATCAGGACCTGAGCCTCCGGCTCGTCAGGCTCAGCCATTGCTTCCTCTAGGTCGGCGCGTGTAAGGGGCTGACGGCGGCTGTCGCGTTGCTTGACGAGGTAGTCACTTCGCTTTCGGACCTGCGCACGTAACAGCGTGTTGAGGGCGACGAAAGGCCACGTCTTATGGCGGGCGAAACGTCCGTCATGCCATCTCATCGCATGGGCAAGGTAGTCCTGGAACGTGATGCTCCGTAAACGAGGCTCCACGAAGTCGGCCTTGCCGTCAGGGTAGAGGGTAGGGAATGCAAGCGTTAGCAGCGGCTGGGAACGGTTGAATTCGTCGATGGGGGTCCTGCGAACTGAAGGCAGCGGCATCTGGTGGTGAGCCTGCGCGTTACACGGTATATGCTCCACATCAGTCATACGCTCAGGTTAGGGTACCATCAAGAAATCGGGACTGCAGAGCGTTCAATTCGGTATCGGTAACCTGCAAATTCGGGATCGCTGATGCATCGGCATCGCTAGGATCCTCTTCCACAGCCTCCTCGACGGGGCCTTTGGGGACCTCGCCGTCAGGTATGTCAGCCACTTGGCTGGCAATGGAATCAACTATGTTGCCATCAAGAGGAAGCCGGTGCAAGCGATTCTGACTCACGACGATATCGCGATAGCCCCGGTGGTGGCGCTGTAGGTAGTGCAGCCACGCCAACAGGCATGAGCGGCGTACCCGCAAATCGCGAGCAAACTGTTGCCGGAAGCGAGGGCTGCCCTCCATATTAGGAGGCCGCAGGAGGACGACATCTAGCTCTTCAGGTAGGACCGGGAGCTCTTCAAATAGCCTGCCAACATTGCGAAGGAAGTGGACAACATGACCGCGATATTTATATTGAGCGCCACGTACCTGCAGGACCTTCACATGTACGTGAACTCTAGCAATGAGCATCTCCTCGACCATCGTTAGATCGGGTAGATCGCTCGGGACTTCCCAAAGTCAAGGTTGTTCGCAGCGCTAAAGAAGTAGGGCTCGTTGGGGCCTTTCTTCCTGTCTCGACTAATGCAGCGGCTGCAGATTTTCAAGCTATTTCGCTTCATATCGAACCAACGCTCCTGGCAGCGAATGCAACTATGCATCTTGTCGTCATTCAGGGCAGTATAGAACTCGCGCACAAGGGCTCGATCCCCTCACAAAGGGCAGGCAAGTCAAGGTCCCTGTAAAAGGCGGATCAACTATCTGATCGAACTGTCGCTCTTCAGGCTGTGGCCGTGGCCGGGGTTAATGTTGACTCGACGTGTATAGCGGCCGCGGCGACGACTCTGTGGCAGTAATGAAGGAGGGTACGAGGCGATTCCTTCGGTATAGGCGTGCCTTGCACAACAGAAGCCGATGGGAGAGTGCCTTGAGGAATTGGCGTTTCTGGAATCGGCGTGCCCAGAACTACTGTTGGCAGGCCAAGGGTAGGAGGGTGGGGAAGGTCCTCTACCGCGCTTGAGGTAGATGGCCCCGGCAGAGGTCTAGGCAGTCCCTGGAGTGCGGGCGCCAGGGCACGGCATAACGTAGATGTGGCAGGGGGTCGTAAGACTTGCACACACGCAGGCGTTGGCGCAGCCCGCCTTGGAGGCGTCAGGTTAGCTAGAGAATCGGTCCGTTTCGTGGCTCTGCGTGGCGATAGCCTCAAGGCGAAATTCCGCATTGCGGCAACGGCGGCTCGAGATTCGGTTACCCGTTCCTTTCGGCGTGCCCTACAGCTAGCACAGTCTCTTGTAAACTTCGTAGGGTCCTTGACGCTTCGAAATTCGACTTCGGGCAGGTCTTGCTTGCAGGTATGGCAATTCCGAACTGCCTGGGGTATGTCGTCCTCCATCTGGCCGTATATGTATCCACCTCTTACCCTTCAGACTGCTAGAAGAGACAGAATAACCGGAGAATCTTGGGAGGTGGGCTGGCTGCCGAGGTAATAGGTGAACCTATAAACCGTTAGTAACATGATTAGTTTGATAGATTGGGCAGAAAAGAGAAGCAGCCGCTATGTAGGTTAGTGTAAAGAGTGCCTAGCGACCCAGTAAATTGATGGCATGGATGGAAGAAAGGAAGAACTGGAAGCTCTTGGAGAGCCTGCCAAGCTGGCCAGTTACCTAGTCAACGCTCAGGGGTAATTTTTGCGGGCCTTCATTTGGTGACGTTATCGGCCGACCAATCCGCGCACGAGTTGAGCACAAGCCAGGCCAATTAGCCAATCAGAGGAGGTTTTATGCTCGAATCTTTCTGACTGAGTAGAACGCCCTTCGGGCTGAATTAACACGAGAGGAAGGCTCGCCAGCCGCGGCTCGCGCAAAGAAGCCTTTCGGAACGAAATTTGGCGACAAGAGAACCGGAGAAGAGTTGGCTACAGAGAGAGAGAGAGTTGGCGACAGTAGATAGGAGACAGGAAGAAGAGTGAGGTCGAGATACGAGACACGGCGAGAGACGTAGAGCATTATCGTGAGTGAAACCGAGACAGAGCGTCGGGGAGGCAGGCTAGGCCGCTGGAGGAGATTTTGTTTAAAAGGCGCAAACTCAAAGGGCGTGGAGAGACGGCAGGGTTGAAGAGAGATGTGAGTGGGTAATGCATGTCTGGGCGAGTGGAAGGCTCGGAAAATTTACATGTGCTACCGGTATAAGTCGTAGGTATAAACAGAATAAGGAGTATATTGGGGAAGTTTTGACTTGATCGTCTTCATGAAAAGGAGAACAAGAAGAGAAGAGAATGTGCTATTCGAGCCTTTGGCAGTTGATTTTGAGGATGATGAGACATGTTGTCATGTTGTATTGTTTCGTTTGATGCTTTAAAGTTTAGAGAATATTCTTGGGCGGACGTCGGGCGCGCAGTGGTCGGGAAGATATCGACGCGGGAGGTCTGATAGAGCCAGAGGCGGATGTGTCTTGGTGATTGACCTGTTCGGTGTCCGTCTCTGACTCTGCGGGGTCTTCCGGGGACAGAAAGGAGGAGGTATCGGATTTGGGGGAGTCTTGACCGTCACAGTCGGTGATTATGGTGGAAGTTTCGGGAGAAAGTCGCGGTCTCTTGGTTGGGGTTTGGTAGGGATCGGGCATTGACCGACTTGATGCCAGCATAAGGGGATCGACTGGGCCAGAAGCATGCGGCGTGGGGGAGGCGGGGCTTTGGGCGGCCTTGGGTTTCTTCGTAGAGGTAAACCTGGCCAACGCAACGCTATAGTCCGAGGGATTGCCGACCGCGCTCTTGGGTGTCGTCGGCAGTAGTTGTGTTGCAGAAGCCTGGTCGGACATGGCCTTGTCGTGGAAAGTCCACGTGTCGGGGACGACGATGAAGATATAGTCTTGGTCGAAAGCCGGGGCATGTTTCATGATCTGGTGATCCAGTAAGCCGGCGATTTTGCCCGTACAGGTGAAGAGAGCGTTCGACTGGAACTGGCTGTCGCGCCTCTCGGTCATCTTCTTGCATAGGAGGTCCAAGGATTAGCGTGAATGGGAAGATGACGAAAACTTGAAGGGCTGAAAGCCCTTGAAGGGGGTTTTGCCGGGAATCCCAGGACAAATAAAGGTGGAGAGCTGGACAAAGCCGCAGCAGCTCAGCTGGGTGTCGTCAAGGGCCGCAGCCGAGTTTCCATGCAGGAGGTCGCGGCCGGAGCCGATGACAGGTCCCATGAAGGAGACAATGGGTTGTATCGTTGGGAAAGTATCCACCGAGCTGAGGGTGCGAGTGACAATTCTATGGATATCGTCAGGGAGGGCAGTGGCGACAGAGAGATTTGGAGCATAGACTCACGGTTGGTAGCTGTGATCGCGGACTATAAGCGCGGGGACGGTGTATTCTGTGATGTTATCATCGTCCGACTCCAAGCCATCACGTCGCTCGATTTCCACGTCAGGGCAAAGGGATGAACACGGCCGACCATGAAGAACCATTGCTCGGTCCATTCCGAGGAGATTATCTGTTGGTTGTATATGGAAATATTAAGGCTGAAGAAGATGCAGGTCGATGGATTGCCAGTATCTGACCGGATTGCTGCATACTCCGGAGTCGACAGCCATGAGGGCGTGGGAAGGAAGACCCTCGCTAGGGTTTCTGCGTTGAGTCCTTTGACACGATGCTCATTCTGGTAGGCGAACCTAGCCGGGCAGCCGGGCTGGACAAAGGCCATCATGGACATGTCGGCGCCAGCATTTTTCTGGCTGTCAAGAGGTTGCCGCGGGGAGGACGAGGTATCGACGTTGAGCTGGGAGGCCGACATCGTGAGAACATGGCAGATGTAGTCACCGTGGAAGTGTAAATGAGGGGTTACGCAGAGTGGAGGTGGGCATCCTATAAAGCAGGTTTTCTTGCTGCTCGAAAGAGGGCTCGCGGCTAGGGTCGGGGAGACTTAAGAGTCAGAGAATGCTACCTAGATGATAGATCAGAAGCGGGGGGTATGCGGGAATGAGCTGGCGAGGTTCTTGAACAGTCTCGACCATCTGGTTCTATGGTCGTGAGTGAAGTAGGGAGCCGGGAGGTTGGAAGTTGAGTAGGGGTGATGGCTATGTCGCGAGAAGTTGGAGGTCGGCGAACAGTAAGGTTAGTGTGGGTAAGTCTGCGGAGAAAGAAAGTCCAGCAGTACCCTTCGGTGTCATCGTTGCATGGAGTAGATAGCAAAGGCGACAATAACGAATGAGAGTGAAGGAAAGAAAGAGGTTATGGTAGTATTGCAGGGGTCCCTTTTTGACGGTCGTCGGTAGTTGGATGGGCATTGCGTGCGGCTGAGCGAGGCGGGTGCCGACCGTGTCGAGTCCACTATTGGGACACGGTGAAGTCGGATATAGGGGACGAGCTGAGGAGGAGGATGCGAGTTGGTCACGAGAACTCTCAAGAGGGTTTGCAAGTCGAGACTCCGGTGGCTAGCGACTACAAGAGGACAGGCAGGGGGATCCTGGCTGTCGCTTTAGCATGAAGGCCGTTGATGCGACGTTGGTGGTGGCGAGGGAGCAAACCTAGCCGGGTAGTCCGGTTGCACGAGGGACACCGTGGACATGTTATCGCCGGCAGCCTTTTGGCTGTTGCTCGACGAGGTGGAGTGGCAGATATTGATGGAGCAACTGATGCGCAAGGTGGGTGGGAAGGCGTTGGAAGGGCCGGAGAGTATGGTTGGAAGTGTGCGGCGGGCGGTTGGCGCGGCCACCCCCATGTGCCGGAGGTCGGCAGTAGCCAGGGATTCGCTGGAGTGCGCAAAAGAGAGCACGGCGATGGAAGGGCCGCCTTTGGCAAAGCTGGGGTAGCAGGTCGCACGTGGAGACCAGCCGAGGGTCGGGACGGTGGACGCACATAGGGAGGGTAAATGGGGGATTACAAAGGGGTAGTAGTATTGCATCGCTTCGGTACCATAGGCAAGCATTATAAGGGAAGAAATGCCACGGCCATGAGAGTAGTGATCGTTAGGAAGCTTCCCACTGAAAGAAATAGTGTACGCCAAGAAGCGAGATTATCCAAGTGGAAGTGCTCCGGAGCCAAAACTTTCTAGCCTGTTGCCAATCCACGCTAGTCGACGTCGAGGAGGCAGTAGCATGGCGGACAGTCCTGCAGGGAAGCTAGGCGAGGCGGCCGCTCACCGTGGAGCCTGTTCGTTGTCAGTCGAGGATGGAGAAGAGGTAGGAACGGGGAGTGCCTGTTTCGGGGTGCGGAGATGATACAGGGCAACTCCGAGAAGGCACGGAGCACGGGAGACAAGGTTGGGGCGGTTCGGGAGATACAGATCAGTGGCGAATGAAGCATTAACGTTCCGGCTGATTCAGCCTAAGCAGTCTGCGGTCGAAGAAACCGCATGGAGAAAGCATGCAGGGCGATCGCAAAGTCACTGCCGAGAAGACCGCCGCGAGGCGGTTTGCGGTCAAGCAGAGCACGGAAGTCCCGTAATTTGGTCAGCAGCGGAAATTCCGCGCAACGTCAGTCACCGAGTCCGCTTCCGAGGTTCGTGTTGCCTACAGAACGTGGAGACCAGGGGCAGTGGGCTCTGACAGTCCGCCCTTCATCGGCCGTTTTTGCCCCAGGAGAGGGTCCTGAAGGTGACGGGCAGGGAGATAAGGCGGCGACCGGCGGTGTCCCGGGTGTTCGTTCGAAAAGGGACCGACGCTCCGACCTATCCAGCCCAAGGATACGACTTTCCAAGACCTAAGACGAACGGCGCAATTTGCAGCATCGATTGCATGGGGTTTGCCCAAGCCCGTCGGGGACCGGTTCGGCGGCCAAGGGCACAGGTGGGTGTGGACGATGGCGCAGCAGAGGCAGCGGACGGCTCGCTGCGCGGACAGAGGCAGTCCCGGAGGCGGGAGAAGAGAGCCCGTCTTCCTAGCCGGGATGGGCGCCCGATAAAACAGGTCCGAAGTGGAATCGGAAGGCATAGGAGACGGGAGCTGCAGGCCGAAGACCTGGCGAGTGTGCTGCGCTTTTTGGAGGAAGACTTTGCCTTGAAGGAGAGATTGTCTAACGATCAGACGTGGTGCACGCCAATACCGCTCGAGAGGAAGGTGTCGACGGTGCGAGACTTCTATCAGGCGTTCCACGATGCGAGCACGTTGCCGATACGGACCTGCATGGGTGCTACCGCAAGTGTACGAGAGGAGAGTTGAGGGAGATTACATGGGATCATTGGCTGTCAAGTTGCGTACCAAAGGGCGGCCGCTCACCATTTTCATGCCGGAGTTGCTTTCCTGAGGGCGAGTCCGTGTCGGTGTGCGCCGAGTGTGGCCGATGCCTGGCGCGCAGGAGCCTGTCGCCGGCGATCCACCTTCACAGTCGCCTTGGCTGCGAGCACATGTTCCCCGATGAGCTCGGGACTGACGCCGGTCGAAGAGAAGCTCATCTCGCTGAACTCATGTTACGGGTTTGTCACGAGATATAGCATTCCGGGCGGGCAGAGACAGAGCGTGAAGTATCCGAGGCATGTCAGGGCCACATCACAGTGTTTCCGAACAATGTGCAGGAGCTGGCCACCAAAGTGCTCCCGCACCCCTTTGCAAGCACTGGACGAGATCCACATCTCGTGGCAGGGCGCGGAGAAGCCGGCACCGAGCGACCTGTCGAGTCTCTTGTCGGTGAGGCGGCGGGTGGTCGAGAGGGCCCTTGTCTGGCTGAAGCGGAACAACCCCCACTACGCCGAGATCGAGATCGACGCGGCGGAGATGGAGAGCTGGGAGACTCGATACACGGGGTACCGTCGTCGGTGTGCGATCGTATGGAGCGGAACGAGCCGTCTGGGTGGGAGAGCGCGGACGGCGCACGTTGTGCCGCCCACGGAACGCGCCGTGGACGAGGAGGGCCGGTGGAGATCGAGGAGCTCTTCGCCCTGCTCAACCAAGGACAAGAAGCCGGCGGCCAGGGTGAAGGTCACGGGCCCAACGGAGAAGGCGCGGTTCGCGATGGAAGTGACGCCTGCCCCGACCAGAACGTTCCAGCGATCAACGAGGTGACGTCTTCTGGCATGTTCGCGCTCGACGGACCGCCAGACGTCGCGGACGTGGAGAAGCTGCAGTTTGCCTGTGACGCTGTTGGTGAAGGTGCCGACGACGGCCGTGCGGCCCGAGAGCGTGGGTCGGGTCCCTAGCCGGGGTTCGGGGCGTGGCGACGGTGGTTGTGAGCCATACATCCGGGTTTCGCGGGGGTGAGTTTACCGATTCCTTTGAGGCGTCCTTCTTTGCCAGGACGTTCCCGACCCTGTTCCCATTTGGCGTTGGGGACCAAGGCTGGTTGAAGAGACCATGGTCGACGCGGGAAGGTCACGGCCAACTTGCGAGGCAGGGCTGTCGAGGCAGAGGCGGCCGCGGAGACCCGTATCGTCTCGAAGCTTGAACCTTCAGGCGTGGGCCGAGATCGTGCTCCGGCGCCATGGTGGTCGATTTGCACTGCACCACATCTTCGCATTTCTCGTCTTCAACATGGGGGTGCGGTCGAGGAACCGCCGGGTCAGCATGTTGAGTGTGGGGAGGAAGAACTTCCGCAAGGTAGAGCGCATCGTGCGTTCGATGACCACAGAAAGGCTAGCGGCGGCGAGGGTCGAGTTGGAGAGCTCGGGTAAGACGACCGATGGTGACGTGAAGGAGCTTCTCAGGAGCCTCTCGCTTTACGGCCACCGGCAGCCCATGTCGAGAGAGGTCCGTCTCAATATGCGGCGGAAAATCCAGTCGCTCATCGTCGGATATGGCGTGCCGGCCATCTGGTTCACCATCAACCCGAACGACATTACGAACCCGGTGAAGCTGCGACTGGCGGCATACCGCACACGCGATCCCGACGCGGCCGAGGAGTTCTTAGAAGGCCTTGGGGATGCGTATAAGCGGGCACGGCTGGCGATATCGGATCCCATGAGCTCGGCCGTGTTCTTCCACCGCGAGATGAAGCTGTTCTTCGATCATTACGTGAAGGTCGGTGAAGAGTCGGTATTCGGGCGCATCGGCAAGTACTATGGCGCCGTGGAGACGAACGAACGAGGGCGCTTCATGTTCACGGCTTGCTCTGGCTGCACGGGAACGCGCATCTCAGCTCGATGCTTGCCGACATCCACGGGGAGGATCAGGCGGCGTATCGCGAGCGAATCGTCCGATACATCGATAGCGTCTTCTCAGAGGTAAGAATGCCTACCTAAGATGTGCCACCGGGAGCCTGAAGTACTCTTCTGATGGCCAAGTGGGGCCGGGTTGACGTGCAAGGCAGGATCTGGACCAGGAAAGTTTTTGCGCCGTGCAAGCGGAGCGATCTGTGACGGGCGGTATTGGTTCCTGCTGGACAACGCCGCGCAGTTCTCGGCCGCGTTTATCGAGGAGGCCAACTTCTGTGCCGGCGCGACGCAGGTGCACACGCATAGCCCGACCTGTGTGAAGTACTCCTTGGGCAAAGGAGGGCGGAAAGGGGACCTCTGCCGGTTCAAGGCGCCATGGAGGTTAGTCGACAAGACCGCCCTCACGGCAGACGGGGTGCTGCAGATCCGGAGGACACACAGCATGGTCAATCGATGGAACGAGGCTATTGCTGTCGGGCCCGGCACAACCATGATATTTCCTTCATTGCGACGCAGCGCAAGACAATGGCCCTCATCTATTATGTCACGAACTACGCGACCAAGGTGGAGGACCCGGTGTGGAAGCGTGTGGCGGCCGCGGCCGAGCTCCTGGCCACCTCAACAGGTGATGGCACGGCAAACGGAGGGCGGGACGGTGGCGGAGACGCTGCCACCGATGACCCTGTCAAGGGGAACAGGACGCGACAGTTCCTGATGAGAGTGGCGAACCGCGTGTTCACGGAGCGTCCGCTATCACAGGTCGAGGTCGTCGCTCACCTTCTCGGATATCCGGCCGAGTTCACCGACAGCAGCGCGTGGGCGTACCTGAACTGTTCTCTGCTGTACTGGGAAGTCTTTCGGCGATGGCGGCATCTCCGAGAAGCCAGTGGCGCTGCGGCTACGGATGACACCTTGGATGAGTCGGTCGTCGTCGAAGAAGAAGGCCTGAGAATCTCCCACGTCGAGGCGTACCAGCACCGGGAGAGCTGCTGAAAGGCCTATGCCTGTATGACTACATATCGATCGTCAGACTGAAACGCATCGGCAACGACGAGAGCTGGGCGGCTTGGGGGGAGATGTCTTTCGAGGATGGATGGGCGCCGGGACGACGCTGGGTTCAGGTGCTCAGGCGGCCGGGCAAGCACGCTACCGTCTGCCTCGACGGCTACCTGAGCAAGGACTTCACCTACGATGACGAGTCGTGCTACCGGAGGTGTGTATGGCAACTGCTCTGTCAGCGGGCATTATCGGAGAGGCTAACCCACCCCCTGAAGGGCAGCCGTGCAGCATCTTGCGCTGTTCGTGCCGTGGAGTCCTTCCTGGGCGAAGGAACAGGTGAGATCAACAGCATCTGGGCGCGGGCTCGAGACGCTATGGCCCCGAGAATATCATGTCTGGTCGACAACGTGCAGCTGCTTCGACGATCCGCCGAAGACGCAAAACGCGACGCCAAGCAATGGGCAGCCTCGTCCGGCGATGGCGACCCGACGGTCGCACACGTCGAGGAGGGTGGAGCAGGCGAGGCGGGCGCGGAGTCTGCAGCGACATATCAGCCCAACAGCATCGGAGACGCAACGCGGCTCATCGACGTCGTCCGAGGTGCAGTGGGAGCGAATCAGGTGACGGCCAAGTCGCCGGAGCTCATGGCAATGATACAGCAGCTCTGTCGGTTTCAGCATCGGCGCTGCGCTCGACGGCCGAGCTCGAGGCCACGGCGCTGATCGAACGAGGGAGAGGCGGTTAAGCATGCCAGGGCGGGTATTTTCCGGGGCCGCACTACCGCCGCAGGATCAGGTCAAGGCTATCAAGTCGCAGCAGGTAAGTGCCTCGAAGGAGAGGAGAGGATGATCCAGGGATACAAAGCACGCCCGCCGCCTGGGAAAGCGATCGCCGCGCAGCGTTGCGAAGGGTGATGACCGGTTTCGGGAGGACGAGGTCGAAATGACGATGGCCGACTCCGACGAGACCGCTATCGACGCAGGGGCGGGAATGGACGTTCAGTTTGGCCCATCAACCTCCTTCCTCGCGGCGGGCAAGGTGTTGGCAACACGGCTGACGCTGAACAAGAGGCAGTCCATCGCTTTTCTGATAATATGCCGCCAGCTCGATTTGATGCAGCAGACCGACGGGGCGATGCCTGCCAGCTGCGCCAGTTCGTCGGTGGCGAGGGCGGTACCGGCAAGTCGCGAATCATCGAGGCACTCGTCGAGCTGTTCAGTAAAAGAGCCTTTCGAATCGTCTGCTGATCACGGCGACGTCGGGGACTGCCGCGGCGCGGATCAACGGCATCACGATCCACCCGCCTGCGGGTTCACTAAAGACCAAGGGGCGGGGGCGCGAACATGGTCAAAGACCTTGACGGTGCGGCTGCCGAAACAGGCGGAGCGGTTCATCCACGGCCAGTCTCGAATGGATTGGCAGGAGAAGGATGTGCTCGTCATCGACGAGGTGAGCATGCTCGGGGCGCGGACGCTGCACGCCGTGAACGAGCGGCTTCGCCGGCTTCGCGGATCGCGGCAAGATTTCGGGGGGATCCCCATCGTCCTCTTCTGCGGAGATTTTCAGCAGTTCCGGCCGGTCCAAGAGAGGTCGATCGTCCTGCCTAGCGCGGCCATCTCGTGGGACGTAGACAACTCGTTCAAGGCCGAGCAGCGTCACCAGCACGACAAAGCGCACGCACTGTGGAAGAGGTTCACGACGGTCGTCATGCTGGACGAGCAGATGCGCGCCGCCGGCGACCCGGAGCTGCAGAGGCTGCTGAAGCGGATCCGTCTAGGCGTGCAGGATCGGACGGATCTAAACCTCCTCAACTCAAGGTGCTACCGGGAGGGAAGGCGGATCCCTTGGGAGACGGGCATCACCGTGGTGACGCCGCTCAATAGGAATCGGTGGAACCTGAACATGGAGGCGAGCCTGGCGTTCCGGGTCCAGCAGCGGTCGACGATGCGCATTTTCATCTCCGAGCACAAGTGGAAGGAGGAGCTGCCGACGGAGGAAGAGGCGATCATGATACTCAACCAGGGCGACGATAGCGCGATCCCGGTGCCGGCCGTCTTCATGTTCGTGGCCGGGATGCCCATCGTCGTGAACCACAACACCCACCAGGGGCTGAAGCTAGTGAACGGCGCGAGCTACTCGGCGGTGGAGGTCATTGTCGACAAGGCGTACCCGGGGCATCGGATCTCGGCCGATATGACGATCCACTTCGGCCGCCGGCGGGGATCATTCTCGAATCGGAGACGACGAGATATCTCCACTTCGTCGGGATGCCGCCGGGCACGATCTTGTTGACACCCATGACCGTTAAGATACAGTGCCAGCGAAAAAGGCCGTGGCAACGCAACGACGTCAGCCGAAAGGGTTTGCCGTGCGCAGCAGCGTTCGCGTGCACGGACTACAAGGTGCAGGGCAAAACGCTGGAGCGCGTGGCCCTCGAGCTGCGAGGGACACGGACGACGAAGATGGATGGAACGGTGGTGCCTCGCAGTGCGACCCGTACGGCCTGTACGTGCAGCTATCGCGCTGCCGAACTCTAGACGGCATCATGCTCGTGTCCAAGGTGCGGGACAGAGACTTGGTGGGCAACCGGGTCCCCGAGGAGATGACTGCCGCACAGGCCAGGCTCGAGGTACTGAGCGAGAGGACCGTTGAGGAGGCGTTGCGCTGGCTGGACGGTGATGCTGAAGAGTCAAGGCGGCCGCGCTAGGTGACGCGATGAAGAGTTCGGCAGGCGGGAAGAGTCGGCAGGCGGCAGACAGGGTGGGAGGCGCCTAGTGGTGGGATAAGGCACGCGAAAAGGCAACAGAAGCCGGGGAAGGGCAGCGACCAACGAGGAGGGAGGCAAGGAGGACCAATCACAAGGGACCAATCAAGGGGCGGAGAACTTTGGGGGAGAGGGCGGGGTCTGCGGGGCACGTTAGACGAGGGAAGGCTCGCCAGCCGCGGCTCGCGCAAAGAGGCCTTTCGGAACGAAAGTTGGCGATGGCGACAGGAGAAAGTCGGGAGAGGAGAGAGTTGGCGACAGGAGATAGGAGACAGGGGAAGTGAGAGGAAGACAGGAAGAAGAGTGAGATAAGAGATATGAGATGGAGATCCGGCGAGAGACGTAGAGCATTATCGTGAGTGAAATCGAGACAGAGCGTCAGAGAGGCAGCCTAGGCCGCTGCAAGGAGATTTTGCTTTGCAAAGGCGCAAAGGGCGTGGAGAGGCGGCAGGGGTGAAGAGAGTTGTGGGTGGGTAATGCATGTGGGCGAGTGGAAGGCTCTGAGGATTTACAGGTGCTATAAGTGGTGGATATAAACAGAATAAGGAGTATATTGGAGAAGTTTTGACTGGATTGTCTTTGTGAAAAGGAGAGCAAGAGGAGAAGGAAATATCCCATTAGGCCTTTCGCACTTGAGTTTGAGGATGATGAAACATGTTCCTTGTCATGTTGTGTTGTTTCGTTCGTTGCTTTACAGAATATTCTTGGCGGATGTCGGGCGCGGTGCGGTCGGGAAGAGATTGACGCCGGAGGTCTGATAGGGCCAGAGGCGGATGTGGCTGGGTGATTGACTGGCTCGGTGTCCGTCTCTGAGTCTCCGGGGTCTTCGTGGGACAGAAGGGAGGAAGTGTCGGATTTGGCGGGGCCTCGACTATCACAGGCGGCGACTATGGTGGAAATTTCTGGAGAAAGTCGCGGTCTCTTGGTTGGGGTTTGGTCGGGATCGGGCAATGACCGCTTTGATGTCATCATAAGGATCGACTGACCTAGATGCAGGCGGCGTGGGGAGGCGCCGCTTGGGGCGGCATTGCGTTTTTGGTAGAGGTAAACCTGGCCAACGCATCGCTATAGTCCGAGGGTTGCCGACTGAGCCCTTGGGTGTCGTCGGCAGTAGCTGTGTCGCAGAAGCCTGGTTGGACATGGCCCTGTCAAGGAAAGTCCATGTATCGGGGACGACGATGAAGATATAGTCTTGCTCGAAGGCCGGGGCATGTGTCATGATCTGGTGATCGAGTAAGCCGGCGATTTTGCCCGTGCAGGTGAGGAGAGCGTTCGGCTGGAACTGGCTATCGCGCCTCTCGGTCATCTTCTTGCATAGGGAGGTCCAAGGATTGGCGTGAATGGGGAAGATGACGAAAAGTTGAAAGGGATGAAAGCCCTTGAAGGGTGTTTTGCCCGGAATCCCAGGACAGATAAAGGTCGAGAGCTGGACAAAGCCGCAACAGCTCAGCTGGTGTCGTCAAGGGCCGCAGCCGAGTTTCCATGCAGAAGGTCGCGGCCGGAACCGATGACAGGTCCCGTGAAGGAGACAATGGGTTGTATCGCTGGGAAGGCATCCGCCGAGCCGAGGGTGCGAGGGATGACTCTGTGGCCATCGTCAGAGATGGTAGTGGTGACGGAGGTCTGGAGCATACACCTACGGCTGGTAGCTGTGGTCGCGGACGATGAGAGCCGGGATGGTGTATTCTGTAATGTTGTCATCCTCCGACTCGAAGCTATCACGTCGCTCGATTTCCCACGTCAGGGCAAAGGGATGAACACGGCCGACCATAAAGAACCACTGCTCGGTCCATTCCGAGGATTATCTGTTGGTTGTATATGGAAATATTAAGGCTCAAGAAGATGCAGGTCGATGGATTGTCAGGATCTGACCGGATTGCTGCATACTCTGGAGTCGACAGCCATGAGGGCGTTGGAAGGAAGACCTCGCTAGGGTTTCTGCGTTGAGCCCTTTGACACGATGCTCATTCTGGTAGGCGAACCTAGACGGGCAGCCGGGCTGGACAAAGGCCATCATGGACATGTCGGCGCCAGCATTTTTCTGGCTGTCAAGAGGTTGCCGCGGGGAGGACGAGGTATCGACGTTGAGCTGGGAGGCCGACATCGTGAGAACATGGCAGATGTGGTCACCGTGGAAGTGTAAAGGAGGGTTAGGCAGAGTAGAGGTAGGCATCCTATAAAGCAGGTTTTCTTGCTGCTCGAAAGAGGGCTCGTGGCTCGGGTCGGGGAGACTTGAGAGTCAGTGAATGCTACCTAGGTGATAGATCAGAAGCGGGGGTATGCGGGAATGAGCTGGCGAGGTTCTCGAGCAGTCTCGACCATCTGGTTCTGTGGTCGTGAGTGAAGTAGGGAGCCGGGGGTTGGAAGTTGAGTAGGGGTGATGGCTATGTTGCGAGAAGTTGGAGGTCGGCGAACGGTAAGGTTAGTGTGGGTAAGACTGCGGAGAAAGAAAGTCCAGTAGTCCCCTTCGGTGTCATCGTTGCATGGAGTAGATAGCAAAGGGGGCAATAACGAATGAGAGTGAAGGAAAGAAAGAGGTTATGGTAGTATTGCAGGACTCCCTCTTTGACGGTCGTCGGTAGTTGGATGGGCATTGCGTGCGGCTGAGCGAGGCGGGTGCCGACCGTGTCGAGTCTACTATTGGGACACGGTGAAGTCGGATATATGGGTCGACCTGAGGAGGAGGATGCGAGTTGGTCACGAGAACTTTCCAAGAGGGTTTGCAAGTCGAGACTCCGGTGGCTAGCGACTACAAGAGGACAGGCAGGGGGGTCCTGGCTATCGCTTTAGCATTAAGGCCGTTGATGCGACATTGGTGCTGGCGAGGGAGCAAATCTAGAAGGGTAGTCCGGCTGCATGAGGACGTCATGGACATGTTATCGCCGGCAGCCTTGTGGCTGTTGCTCGACGAGGCGGATTGGCGGGTATTGATGGTGAACTGATGCGCAAGGTTGGTAGGATGGTGTTGGAAGGGCTGAAGAGTATGGTTTGAAGTGTGCGGCAGGCGGTTGTCGCGGCCATCTCCATGTGCCGGAGGTCGGCAGTGGCCAGGATTCGCTGGAGTGCAAAAGAGAGCACGGCGATGGAAGGGTCGCTTTGGCAAAGCCGGGGTAGCAGGTCGCACGTGGAGACCAGGCGAGGCCGGGACGGTGGACGCACATAGATAGGCATGGTAACGGGGAATATAGAGGGTAGTATTGCATCGCCTCGGTACCATAGGGAAGCATTTTATAGGAAGCTATAAGGAAGAAACGCCACGGCCATGAGGGAAGTGATGGTTAGGAGCTTCCCATTCGGGAGAAGTAGCGTCGTCAACAAGCGAGACTGTCCAAGTGGAGGTGCTCCGGAGCCAAAGCTTTATAGCCTGTTGCCAATTTACGGCAGTCGACGTCGAGGAGGCAGCAGCATGGCGGACAGTCCTGCAGTGAAGTTAAGCGAGGCGGTTGCTCACCCTGAAGCCTGTTCGTTGTCAGTCGGGGATGGAGAAGAGGTGAGAACGTGAGCGGGTCGGGTTCGGGGCTCGGAGATGGTGCGACAGGAGCCGGTGTAGATGTGGTGGCAGCTTCTGAGAGGGGCCGCAGAGCACGGGGGGAGAGCCTGGGACGGTTACGAAGATACGAATCACGGGCGAATGCGGCATCAACGTTCCGGCCGATTCAGCCTAGGAAACCTGTGGTTGAAGACACCGCATGGAGACAGCACGCAGAAGCAATTGCGAGGTCGTTGCCGAGAAGACCGCCGCGAGGCGGTTTGCGGTCAAACAGAGCACGGAAGTTCCATAATATGGTTAGCAGCGGAAGTTCCGCGCAACATCAGTCACCGGGTCAGCTTCCGAGGCCCCTGTTGCCTAGGGAACGTGGAGATATGGGGGTAGCGGACTCTGATCGTCCGCCCTCATCGGCACTTTCTGCCTCAGGAGGAGATCCTGAAGATGAGGAGCAACGTGTTACGGCGGCGGCGGGCGATGTCCGAGTGTTCATTCGAAGGAGGTACCGAAGCTTCGATCCATCCAGCCTAGGGAACCGGTATTCGACAACTTAAGAGAAAACGGGCAATTAGCAGCAGCGATTGCGTCTGGTTTGCCCAAGCGCCGTCGGGGACGGAGTTGGCGGGTAAGGGAGTACCAGGCCGCAGGGGTGTCTCCAACGCAGCAGGTACGGCGCAGCATCCGGGGCCGTCTCCTGTGGGGGTGGGCGACGCCGCGGCAGAGCCAGCGGACGCTTCGCTGAGCGGGCGGAGGCTGCAGCAAAGGGAGGTGGGCGGCTCATCGCGGGTGGCGGCTGGGGAGCCCGTGCAGTTTGATCGGCAGCAAGAACGAGGAGAGTGCTGGAAAGGGCAAGGACTGAGGTCAAGGTTCGGCGTGGAAAACGTTCGCCAGCACGGCCCGGTGCCTGTCCAGTGCAAAGGGCCGGATGGCGTGTCAGGGATGCGCACGTAGTCGGGCAGTCGTCGCCAAAGCTGCCGCATCCGACGGCTTGCGAAGAAGCGAATCAGCCACGGAGAGAAGAAATCATGGATCGGAGGCGGCCCGGAGGCGGCCCCGGAGGCGGGAGAAGAGAAAACGTCTTCCTGGTCCGGACGAGCGCCCGAGAAAACAGATTCGGAGTGGAATCGGAAGGCAGAGGAGTCGGGAGCTGCGGGCCGAAGACCTGGCGAGTGTGCTGCGTTTTTTGGAGGAAGACTTCGCCATGAAGGAGAGGCTGTCTAACGATCAGACGTGGTGTACGCCAATACCGCACGACAGGAAGGTGTCGACGGTGCGGGATTTTTATCAGGCGTTCCACGATGCGAGCACGTTGCCGATACGGACCTGCATGACAGCTACCGCAAGCGTACGAGAAAAGAGCTGAGGAGATCAGATGGGATCAATGGCTGTCAAGCTGCGTGCCAGAGGGCGGCCGCTCACCATTTTCATGCCGGAGCTGCTTTCCCGAAGGCGAGCCCGTGTCGGTGTGTGCGGAGTGTGCCCGATGCCTGGCGCGCGGGAGTCTGTCGCCGGCGGTCCATCTTCACACTCGCCTTGGCTGTGAGCACATGTTCCCTGACGAGCTCAAGGGACTCACGCTGGTCGAAGAGAAGCTCGTCTCGCTCAACTCCTGCTATGGGTTTGTCACGAGATATAGCATTCCGGGCGGGCAGAGGCAGGCCGTGAGGTATCCGAGGCACGTCAAGGGCCACATCACAGTGTTTCCCAACAACGTGCAGGAGCTGGCGACCAAGGTGCTCCGCACCCCTTTGCAAGCACTGGACGAGATCCACGTTTCGTGGCAGGGCGTGGAGAAGCCGGCACCGAGCGACCTGTCGAGTCTCTTGTCGGTGAGGCGGCGGGTCGTCGAGAGGGCTCTTGTTTGGCTGAAGAGGAGCAACCCCCACTACGCCGAGATCGAGATCGACGTGGCGGAGATGGAGAGTTGGGGAGACCCGATAGACGGGGTGCCGGCCTTGGTGTATGATCGCATGGAGCGGAACGAGCCGTCCGCATGGGAGAAAACGCGGACGGCGCACGTTGTGCCGCCCACGGAGCGCGCCATGGACGACGAGGGGTCGGTGGAGATCGAGGAACTCTTCGCTCTGCTCAACCAAAGGCAGGAAACGGGAGGCGAGGCTGAAGGGCACGGGCCCAACGAAGAAGGCGCGGGTCGTGATGGAGTTGGTGCTAGCCCCGATCAGAACGTTCGACCAATCAACGAGGTGACGTCTTCCGGCATGTTTGCTGGACGGACCGCCAGACGTGGCGGATGTCGAGAAGCTGCGGTTTGCCTGTGACGCTGTTGGCGCAGGTGCCGACGACGGCCGCGCGGGCCCGAGAACGGGTCGGATCCTCGGTGGGGTCGAGGGCGTGGCGACGATGGCAGTGAGCCATACATTCGAGTCTCGCGGGGGGATGAGTTTGCCGACTCCTTTGAGACGTCCTTCTTCGCCAGAACGTTCCCGACCCTGTTCCCATTTGGCGTTGGGGGACCAAGGCTGGCCGAAGAGGCCATAGCCGAGGCGGGGAAGGCCCTTACCAACTTGCGAGGCACCGGTAGAGCTGCTGAGGCAGGGGCGGCAGCGGAGACATCGTATCCTCCCGAAGCTTGAACCTCCGGATTTGGGCCGACATCGTGCTCCGGCGCCATGGTGGCCGGTTTGCGTTGCACCACATATTTGCATTTCTCGTCTTCAACATGGGGGTGCGGTCGAGGAACCGCCGCGTCAGCATGCTGAGTGTGGCGAGGAAGGACTTCGGCAAGGTCGAGCGCGTTGCCCGCTCGATGACCGCGCAAAGGTTAGCGGCGGCGAGGGTCGAGTTGGAGAGCTCGGGCAAGACGACCGATGAGGGCGTGAAGGAGCTTCTCAGGAGCCTCTCGCTGTACGGCCACCGGCAACCCATGTCGAGAGGTTCGGCTCAATATGCGGCGGAAAATCCAGTCGCTCATCGTTGGCTACGGCGTTCCGGCCATCTGGTTCACCATCAACCCAAACGACATTACGAACCCGGTGAAGCTGCGACTGGCGGCATATCGGACACGCGATCCCGGCGCGGCCGAGGAGTTCCTAGAAGGCCTTGGGAGTGCGTACAAGCGGACAAGGCTGGCCATGTCCGATCCGATGAGCGCCGCCGTATTCTTCCACCGGGAGATGAAGCTGTTCTTCGATCATTACGTGAAGGTCGGAGAAGAGTCGGTATTCGGGCGCATCGGCAAGTACTATGGCGCTGTGGAGACCAACGAACGAGGGGCGCTTCATGTTCACGGCTTGCTCTGGTTGCACGGAAACGCGCATCTCAGCTCGATGCTTGCCGACATCCACGGGGAGGATCAGGCGGCGTATCGCGAGCGAATCATACGATACGTCGATAGTGTCTTCTCCGAGGTAAGAATAGCTAAGACGTGTCACTGAGAACCTGAATTGCTCGTCCGATGGACAAACGGGGCCAGGCTGACGTGCAAGATAGGATCTGGATCAGGAAGGGTTCTGCGCCGTGCAAGCGGAGCGATCTGTGACGTCCGATATTTCCTCCTGCTGGACAACACCGAGCAGTTTTCGGCCGCATTTGACGAGGAGGCCAACTTCTGTGCCGGCGCTACACAGGTTCACACGCATAGCCCGACCTGTGTCAAGTATTCCTTGGGCAAAGGAGCGCGGAAAGGGAATCTATGCCGGTTTAAGTCTCCATGGAGGTTGGTCGACAAGACCGCCATCACGGCAGACGGGGTGTTGCAGATCCGGAGGACTCACAGCATGGTCAATCGATGGAACAAGGCTATCGCTGTTGGGCTCCGGCACAACCACGACATTTCCTTCATTGCGACGCAGCGCAAGACCATGGCCCTTATGTATTATGTCACGAACTACGCGACGAAGGTGGAGGACCCGGTGTGGAAGCGTGTGGCGGCCGCGGCCGATCTCCTGGCCGCCTCAACGGGTGACGGCACGGCCAACGGAGGACAGGACGACGGTGGAGGTGCTGTTGGCGATGACGCCGCCAAGGGAACAGGACGCGACAGTTCTTGATGAGGGTGGCGAATCGTGTGTTCACGGAGCGTCCGCTATCTCAGGTCGAGGTCGTCGCTCATCTTCTTGGATATCCGGCCGAGTTCACCAACAGCAGCGCCTGGGCGTACCTGAACACATCTCTGCTGTACTGGGAAGTCTTTCGACGGTGGCCGTATCTCCGACGAGCAAGTGGCGCGGCGGCCATAGATGATACTCTGGATGAGTCGGTCGTTGTCGAAGAAGCAGGCCTGAGGATCTCCCACGTTGAGGCGTACCAGCACCGGGGAGAGCTCCTGCGAGGGCTATGCTTATACGACTACATATCGGTCGTTAGACTAAAACGCACCAGTAAGGATGAGCTGTGCGGCCTGGGGAGGTGCCCTTCGAGGATGGATGGGCGCCAGGAGACGCTGGGTCCAGGTGCTCAGGCGGCCGGGCAAGCATGCTACCGTCTGCCTCGATGGCTACCTGAGCAAGGACTTCGGCCACAACGACGACGAGGAGTCGTGCCACCGGAGGTGTGTATAGCAACCGCCCTGCCGGCAGGCATCATCAGAGTGGCTAACCTCCCCTCCCCTTAAAGGGCAGCCGTGCAGCATCTTGCGCTATTTGTGCCGTGGAGTCCTTTCTGTGCGAAGAAACAGGTGAGATCAATAGCATCTGGGAGCGGGCGCGAGGCGCTGGCCCCGAGAATATCATGTCTCGTCGACAACGTGCAGCTGCTTCGACGATCAGCCGAAGACGCAAAGCGCGACGCCAAGCAATGGGCGGCCTCATCCGGCGATGGCGATTCCACGGTCGCCCACGTCGAGGAGGGCGAGACAGGCGAGGCGGGCGCAGAATTTGCAGCGACGTATCGGTCCAACAACATCGGAGACGCAACGCGCCTGATCGACGTCGTCCGAGGCGCAGTGGGCACGAATCAGGTGACGGCCAAGTCGCCGGAGCTCATGGCAATGATGCGGCAGCTCTGTCGATTCCAGCAATCGGCGCTCTGCTCAACGGCCGAGCTCGAGGCCATCGCGATTCCCGAACAAGGGTTGAGGTGCATAAGCATGCCAGGGCGGGTATTTTCCGGGGCCGCACTACCGCCGCAGGATCAGGTCAAGGCTATCAAGTCGCAGCAGATAAGTGCGTCGAGGAAAGGGAGAGAATGATCCAAGGCGTACAAACCACAGTCGCAGTCCGGGAAAGCGATCGCCGAGCTGCGTTGCGGAGGGTGATGACCGGCTTCGGGAGGACGACGTCGAAATGACGACAGCCGACTCCGACGAGACGGCTAGCGACGCAGAAGCGGGAATGCGCGTCCAGCTTGGCCCATCGACCTCCTTCTTCGCGGCGGGCAAGGAGTTGTCAACACGGCTAACGCTGAACAAGAGGCAGTCGATCGCTTTCCTAATAATATGCCGCCAGCTCGATTTGATGCGACAAACGAATAGGGCGATGCCGGCCAGCTCTGCCAGTTCGTCGGCGGCGAGGGGGGCACCGGCAAGTCGCGGATCATTGGGGCACTCGTCGAGCTGTTCAGTGGGAAGAGCCTTTCGAATCGTCTGCTGATCACGGCGACGTCAGGGACTGCCGCGGCGCAGATCAACGGCATCACGATCCACTCCGCCTGCGGGTTCACTAAAGACCAAGGGGCGGGCGGCGCGAACACAGCCAAGGACCTTGACGGGGTGCGGCTGACAAAACGGGCGGAGCGGTTCATCCACGGCCAGTCTCGGATGGACTGGCAGGAGAAGGACGTGCTTGTCATCGACGAGGTGAGCATGCTCGGAGCGCGGACGCTGCACGCCATAAACGAGCGACTCTGTCGGCTTCGCGGATCGCAGAAAGATTTCGGGGATCCCCATCGTCCTCTTCTGCGGAGACTTTCAGCAGTTCCGGCCGGTCCAAGAGAGGTCGATCGTCCTGCCGAGCGCGGCCATCTCGTGGGACGTAGACAACTCGTTCAAGGCCGAGCAGCGGCACCAGCACGACAAAGCGCACGCGCTGTGGAAGAGATTCACGACGGTCGTCATGTTGAACGAGCAAATGCGCGCCGCCGGTGATCCGGAATTGCAGGGGCTGCTGAAGCGGATCCGGCAGGGTGTGCAGGACCGCACGGATCTGGACCTCCTCAACTCAGGTGCTACCGCGAGGGCAGGCGGATCCCTTGGGAGACTGGCATCACCGTGGTGACGCCGCTGAACAGGAATCGGTGGAACCTAAACATGGAGGCAAGCTTGGCGTTCCGGGTCCAGCAGCGGTCGACGATGCGCATCTTCATCTCCGAGCACAAGTGGAAGGAGGGCCTGCCGACCGAGGAAGAAGCGATCATGGTACTCAATCAAGGCGACGATAGCGCGATCCCCGTGCCGGCCGTCTTCATGTTCGTGGCCGGGATGCCGGTCGTCGTGAACCACAACACCCATCAGGGGCTGAAGCTGGTGAACGGCGCCGGCTACTCGGCGGTGGAGGTCATTGTCGACAAGGCGTCCCCAGGGCATCGAATCTCGTCCGACATGACGATCCACTTCGGCCGCCGGCGGGATATTACTGGAATCGGCGACGACAAAGGACCTCCACTTCGTCGGGATGCCGCCGGGCACGATCTTGTTAACGCCGATGAGCGTCAGGATACACTGCCAACGAAAGCGGCCGTGGCAGCAGAACGACGTCAGCCGGAAGGGATTGCCGTGCGCAGCAGCCTTCGCCTGCACGGACTACAAGGTGCAGGGCAGAACGCTAGAGCGCGTGGCCCTGGAGCTGCGGGGGACACGGACGACGAAAGTCGATGGAAGGGCCGTGCCCTCGCAATGCGACCCGTACAGCTTATATGTGCAGCTATCGCGCTGTCGAACGCTAGACGGCATCACGCTCGTGTCCAAGGTGCGGGAGAGAGACTTGGTGGGCAACCGAGTCCCCGAAGAGATGACCGCCGCGCAGGCCAGGCTGGAGGTGCTAAGCGAGAGGACTGTCGAGGAAGCTTTGCGTCGGTCGGATGGCGACGCTGAAGAGTCAAGGAGAGTTGTCAGGTGAGGTGACGAGGGGAGAAGACGGAGGAGCGCCGGCGGGCAAGAAGACAAGGGCACTGGGCAGCAGCGATCAACGAGGGGCGACTTTTAGACTTGAAGGAAGAACCCGCTAGAAAGGCATGAACGAAAAGGGCAAAGACAAAAGACGCAAGTTTTAGACACAATAAGAAAACCGGCGGACGAAAGGAAAAAGGTTGGCATTGGCATTGGCATTGGCAAGGGGGTAAACAGGAGTATAAACGGGGGGGAAACAGGGCAAGGCATGAGAGGGGCAAGAAAAGGCGGCTGCGACCAATGATGAGGGAGGGACGGAAGGGTCGGCGACCAATCACACGGGATCTTTTATTCCGAAAGAGGAAATAAATCAGCCAATCAGAGGCGGCCCCCTTTCCGCTCCCTGTGCCCGATTTTTAGTCTCCCTGTGCACCTTACCGTATTAGGTAGAAGCATCGCGAATCGGCCAAGACTTGCATTTGTGTGTGCAACACACCAATTACTGTAGAAGGTGGTCACGGATTGTAGAGTCTTTGCGTTGAACATTATGAATTTGAAGCTATTCGCACATTTCCTCCATATCTTCTAGCCGCATTACAAGCTCATACGGCTGCCGCATTGCGTGGCCTCTTTTCCGCCGTGGTGAGCGTTCCCCTTCCTCTAACTGTAGCGTTACTTATCTGCGAAGCCGGGAGCGGCATAAATCCTCCTTCCACTGATGTAAGGGTGCTAGAGGGGTCGAGGACCCAAGGGTAAAGAGACGAGGGCGCTCGCGATGCCCCGTTGAGACCCTCCTTGACGCGGCGGCCGCGGCGGCTCGTGATATTCGAAGGCCGAGGTAGCCGCCGCATAAGTTGGGTGGCAGACTCTGAGCGCCGGAAAGTCTGCGGTTGCTGGTATGAGGTCGGCTGTGTAGGCGTTTGACGGATCACGATGTCGGCTTGTGGTGTTGACGCTGCTTGTGGTGTTGACACCGACCACGAAGCTATAGCCGGCCCAATGCCAAGGTAGTTGCCAATAGCCTCAAGCCGCGCAAGCACTGTCTGCAAGACTGGCTGCCGCTGTTGCTGTTGCCCGCGAGGCTGTGACTGTTGCGAAGCTGGTGAGGTAGCTGCTGCCGCTGCTGACGAGGCCACAGGTGCAGTTACAGCGGCTGTTGCAACGGCTGCAGTCGTGGCCACAGGTGCGAAGGCTATGGCTCTGGCTGGTCTGCGGCGCCGGGCAATGACTCGAGGATCGCGAATTCGTCTGTATGGGTCTGTGACAGCAAGATCCTGCCGTAGAAGCCAGTGGTTGTCCCACAAGTTCAAGGGCAAGGGTCTTGTAGCTATAACTTTGCGGCTAGTCCCCTCCCCTTGGACCTGGAGGTACGAGGCGATAATATGCTTGCAGGGCAGCCCGTATTGGGCAGTGAAGCTATTCCCACATTCCCCAAGTGGCCGCTCTTGTGGTTTGAGGAGGCCGGCCGAGGCGGCTAGTGCCTGTTTCTGTACAAGCTCGAGAGACGGATATGACGCCTTCTCGACGGCTTCCTCATATAATGGTAGCCGGAACAGGTCGCGAGTCCGTCGTGATTCGCGCTCAACGGTCCGATCATGGTGTTCTCGTGAGGTTGAGGCTTGTAGTTGCAAGGCATGATATAATTCAAGCAGGTTCGACTGGCCGTTGCGAAGGAAGGTGCGAGAGCTTGAGTGAAGGGATTCACAAGGCGAGGTCGTTGTGTGGCCCCAGTTGCGGTAACGGCAGACCCAAGCGCGCGCCCATTGCGTTCGTACAGGCATCCAGACCTCTTCCACATACCTAAGAATAATGTGCTGGTCTGAGAAGGCGCTTTGACGATGCCCCAGCGGCTGTTGAACTCGTCCTCGGTCGGGGCATACACTACGGACCGGAAGGCTGTTGTGAAGGCACAGGGCCTCTTTTCCGGCAGTGGCTCCGGTAGCTGCAGAGCGCCCGGGGTCTTCATCGTCTTGGGGCTCTTGCGGCGGGTCAAATGGGTCGTCATCGTCATAGTCGCCAAGCCAGCGCTTCTTCGCGTTTGTAGTGATGTTCTTCATGATATGCCACGTACAGACCTGTAGCTGTGAGTCCGGGAAGGTAGCCGTCAATGCAGCGCGCGCAGCAGCGTCATAGTCAGTGATGATAACGTGTGGGATAAAGGCATTGCCGTCAGCCTCGCCTCTTAGCCTTGCCTTTGACTGTAACCACTCGCGAAGCTGTATAAAACACCAGGTAAATGCGTTTGTGTCTTCGGAAGGGACTAAACAGAAAGCCACAGGAAGATAGAGCCCAAGGCAGTGATTCCATTGATCTCTAGCAGCTTGAGGCCATATCTATTCGTGTTGTTCGTTACGTCGGCCATCATAAGGTGTGAATGTTGTGCCCAAAGCCGCAAGGCAGGGTCAAGGCCCACAATCTGGTAGAAGAAGCGATCCTCATCGTCAAGTAGCTCTTTATGGAAGGCACCTTCCTCGTCGAGCCTGGCAATAAGCGCTTGTGTGGATGTATGTGCCCCAAGCTCCCGGAGACGAAGCCGGGCACAGATATTCGCGATGTCTTGCTCTGTTGCAAGTAGCCGCGGGCTCTTAGCCCGAAGAGCAAGAAGGATCTGCCGCGCCGTTAAGCCAGCATCGCGAGATAAGTCTTTAACCTGCTGGAGTTGATGTGGATGAAGGCGCCGGTATTCTGGGAAGGCGCCGGCCCTATTGGCCTCATGGTTGTGCCTTGGGCACATCACAGAGATCCGCCAGAGGTCTCCCTCTAGCTTCAGGCGCACAACCTTGACTCTAAACGGGCAGGAAGTCCGCCTGGTGCCAGTCTTCCGGAGTCCTAACGAGGCTGACTTGTATTCACGGCCGCCGCATGCGCATACGATGTCGTAACGGCGTGGGAGCCCATGTTCGTAGTTGCTTGGCTTGAACTTAACTATGGCGTAGCCTTGGCAGCGCGCATGCCGCTGGAGCTCGTCAAACGCATCGTCAAAGGTCTCAAAGAGTGGCATATTGTTTGGCGGGGGCTGGAGAAGCATCTTGGAGAAAGAACGGGTTGATTAGCTGCTTTGTGGCGGTTGTGTGCCTCTGAAACTTAGCTACGCAGACGCGATGTGGTATTGCGAGGTGGGTGGTTATCACGAGTTATTTTGGCTTGCGGTGTTGTACCAGGAGGCACTGCTTGCCGCGACGCCAATTGTGTGTATTATGTGTGTTACGCGTCTACGTGTGGAGTCTTGCCAAGTACGGTAAGGTGCACAGGGAGACTAAAAATCGGGCACAGGGAGCGGAAAGGGGGCCATCAGAGGCGGAGGATGTGGGGGTGAAGCAGTCTGGGGCCTTTTTTCCCCGCGCGCTAATGAAGTCCTTTCGTTCCTCAAGGCACGGGCTCTGTTAAGCTCCATGCTCCTACATGGAGGTGACGCGTCCTCAGGCAACTGCACCGTTGGAGTGGCATTTGCTGTGCATAGGGGTTTCCCCGCGGCCTGTTGATGGCGAGCGTTGGCCGCTTTCTAGAAGCCGCACCCATTCGGAGCGGGCTTACCCGGCGCACGTCAAGGTCGATTCCTGTGACGCCGAACCTGGCAATGCGTTGGAAGTCTTGGCGGCTGCGTCTGACATCATGACGTGCCCTGGACGTGGCTGAGCCGCGGGCAGGATGAGCACGCTCTGGGCACCCATATATGTTGTCCGGGTGAAGGCTGTCCAAGCATCAGGCGAAAGAGAGTTGTCTTTCACATCTTGTATAGGCTGCTGAGGAAGGTTTGACGAGAGCATTCAAGGCACGGCTCTGGGACTGTTACGAGAATGCTGTGCCCTGCCTGCACCTTTGATGTTGTTTGAAATCCAAGATGAATGCAGAGGCCACACGGCGGCCGGGGGTCTCTGAGGGCAAATACAACGGTAATGACAGGCTGCGCGGCCATCGATAAAGTCGATGAGAACGAGGACTTTGACCTTGGCTCTGGAAGGAATGCCGTCTGCCATTGAAATGCATCGCCAACACGCAGCCGCCACGGCGATGATCATTTCGGGCTTTCGTAGAGCCAGTTGTTCCCGGATGCCGAGGTGTGAGATCATTGGTTCGCAGCGAGAGGTGTCGCCGGCAGAGGCTACGCATCTTGATGCATGCGGCCGTTAATATCGGCATCTTGCATCCGCCCCCTCTTTGCCTCTCTTCCCCACGGCATGCTCTGGGCATGCTCTTTGAAAGAGGCATTGCGACGACGCGCAAGAGCCAGGCAGGAAGCCGAAGAGCCGCAATTCCACTGGAACGGGAGCCACTGTTGCTCACTCGCCTCGGGCTTGAATAACAAAGGCCGGTGATATCGAGGATTAGCTTCTATTCCCCGCTCCTCTCTCGGACCCCTCGTTGAACGAGCCTTCCGAGAGACGCAATGGTGCCAAATCGCCTGCTCTCGCTGCTCACAGCAACAGCTTTGATGTCGTGCTCGCCCGTGCTCGCTCACGCGCCGCCGCCGACGACGACCGACGGCATCAAGGGCCTTGCCGATCGACTCTTGCCCGGGCAGGGCGACAGCTTCGACTTTGTGCTGACCGCAAGGAATGATGCGTGGTCTCGCTGGAATCCGCCGACGAATGATCATTATACCGTCGCCGGATCGCCTGGCGGGAGGATCCGCGTCGAGGGGACCACGCTGAGTGCTCTGGCCAGAGGGTAAGGCGGTCATTACCTCTCTTCACTGCTTGCAACAAGGTGCTTTGACTGGGTTCTGGACGAGATATGAGTGTAAATGTGCATCGTGAATACTCGAGTGCTTGCTGCGCTAACATCGCCGTTCCTTCGCCTCAGTCTTCGGCACTACGCCACCGAGACCCTGCAGTTGGACGACTTTTGGTTCGTCGACAACTGCAGGAATGTGTCGGGCCCGTTGCCGACTCCGAAGGGGACCTTGACGGGGTCAAGCGTCGTCCCGTGGCGATATAACCTCAACACCGGTGAGACTTGCCGTCGCCTGACCATCACCTCCTCTTACCACGCTTATTGCGGTTCACTCCAAGGCCGCCATCTGAGACTAACGGATCGTAAGTGACCTTTTCGTATACCTTCGCGTGGTACACCTGGGCCGACTGGGAGAAGCTCCTCGACTGGGCCGCCTGGCGAGGCGTCAACCTCCAGCTCGCATGGGTCGGCTACGAAAAGATCTTCCTCGACAGCTTCCGGGCCCTGGGCCTGGCCGACGACGAGATCGTGCCCTTTTTCAGCGGTCCCGCCTTCCAAGCCTGGAACCGCTTCGGCAACATCAAGGGCTCCTGGGGCGGCGTCGGGGGCCTGCCGCTCGCCTGGATCGACGCCCAGTTCGAGCTGCAGCGCCGGATTGTCGCCCGCATGGTCGAGCTCGGCATCACGCCCGTCCTGCCCGCCTTTCCGGGCTTCGTCCCCGATGCCATCCGCCGCGTCCGGCCGAGCGCCAACGTGACGCGGGCGCCTGTCTGGGGCGGCGTGCCGGAGCAGAGCCGCGATTACTTCCTGAGCCCCCTGGACGACACCTTTGCCGAGCTGCAGCATGCCTTTGTGTCGAGGCAGATGCAGGCGTTTGGCAACGTGACAAACTTTTACACGCTGGATCAGTTTAATGAGCTGACGACGGCCGAGGGGGACGGCGAGTACCTCTCCGGCGTGTCCAGGCAGACGTACAGGGGCCTGACCGAGGCGAACCCGGCCGCCGTGTGGCTCATGCAGGGCTGGCTGTTCTACTCGAGCAAGGACTATTGGACGCAGGAGCGCATCGACGCTTACCTCGGCGGCGTCCCGGAGAAGCAAAGCATGTTGATCCTTGACCTGTACTCGGAGAACGAGCCGCAGTGGCAGCGGACGAGGAGCTACGCCGGCCGGCCCTGGATCTGGTGTCAGCTTCACGACTTTGGGGGCAACATGAATCTCTTTGGACAAGCCAACCAATATCACCGCAGGGCCGGTCCTGGCCCTCGACTCCTCCGACTCCTTGGTCGGGTTTGGTCTCACTCCAGAGGCCTACGAGGGAAACGAGGTCGTCTATGACCTGTTGCTCGACCAGGCCTGGTCAAGAACTGCCATCGAGGCCAAGTCCTATTTCCGGGGCTGGACACGACGCCGGTATAGCGAAGCCTCATCCATCCCACCGTCTCTTTTTGAAGCCTGGGATCTACTCCGCGCGCACGTCTATGACAACAAGGACCACAGGATCCCCTGCGCCGGCGTGGGAGTCTACCAGCTGGCCCCGAGCCTGTCCGGCCTCGTCAACAGAACATTTCATTTTCCCGCCCCGACGGCTCTTCACTATGATCCCGAGGTCCTGAAAGAGGTCTGGGGGCTTATGCTCGATGCCGCTGCTCACGAGGGTTCTCTGTGGGAGGTGCCGACCTTTCAGCTCGATGTTGTTGACGTGACCCGGCAAGTCATGAGCAACGCCTTTATCGACATTTACACTGATCTCGTTCGGGCATACAACGACACTATGCAAATACGTGGAGGTTCGAGACCTGGAGGACCTCGCGTTCCTAGTCGTGAGGTGTCAGTCAAGGGGCAGACGCTGCTCGACTTTCTCGACAGCCTGGACCTAGTCCTCTCCACTCAGGAGCACTTCACCCTCGACAAGTGGCTCGGAGACGCGCAGCGCTGGGCCAAAGTCACAGGCGCCGACGAGCTCATCTCCTTCAACGCCCGGAGCCAAGTCACCGTCTGGATATGGGAGTCGCCCTTTCTCAACGACTACTCGGCGCGCGCGTGGGCTGGCCTGACGCGGTCCTACTACCGACCCAGATGGTCTCTCTTCGTCGAGGGCTTGAAGGAGGCGACGGCGAGGGGGTCGCTGGATGAGAAGGCGCTCAATGCCAAGATTAGGGCGTTTGAGAAGGAGTGGCAGTACGGAGGATTTGGTCTTGAGACTGGGCCGGCGGGTGAGCGGACCAGGTTGAGGGATACGCTCATGCGTGTTCAGAGGCAATGGCCCAGCGTCTTCGCCCGGCGTCGAGTTGACGCCAAACATCCTCAGTTAAAGTGAAAGATGGTGACGTTATTGCTAATGTACCGAGAACGTGTTTCTCGAATGAGCTTTCTTCGGAGATTGCAGAGCCGACTCTGTTGTAGATGTTAGTTTTGTCACGGATTTGCCTATTCCACAACCCGAGGAGGACCGGGGAAACAGCTCCAGCTTTACTTATCGCAAAGCGTTGTACATCGGCGTTAAGTAGGGGCTTAATAGCATGGTAGAAAGTAAATGGGCTCATAAGTTGGTAAAAGTAGTAACATGTATTCCATTCTATCTAATGGGATAAAGGGGAGTCTCTACTCTCTACAGGTACTGTTAAGGAGAGAGAGTGGGCATAAGAGGCCACAGTCATGCTTAGTAGACCCAATAGTCATGCACAAGGAAGCCTGCCTAAACAACATAACTCCCCTAGCCCAAGGACACTATGCAGGCCTAACTTAGGTATAGGAATATCCTATTGCCCTCTTTTAGCTAGCTATATATGGTTACTATACCTATATAAGCCCCTCCCTTGTCCTAATAGATAGACTAAGACATGCATTACTAAATTTACCTTTCTATGCCCCTATTTCTTCTACTATGCTCTTAAGCCACTGCTTGAGAGTTATAAGCCCGGCCTACACGGCTAGACCATCTTTTGCCCGCCGATATTACCTTTAAAGCTATTTACGAGCTATTAACGCCGTTATAACGCTTAAATTATAGTATTAAGGCAAGGAACCTAGCTATACTAAGGGGCACTACTAGAAATATACGAATTTTATAAATTATATATCCCTTAAAGAAGGATATTACTTATTAAGCTAGAACCCCTTATTTTCCTAAGATAACGTTAAAGGAAGTAAGAGGGGATAATTATATCGTAAGACTAAAGGAAAGCCTCGATTAAACCCTATAGATTAGGGGGATTAAATCGTAGGCCTAGACTTATAAGATTTAGGAATATACTAACCTAGACGGTATAAAGGAGCTTAAATAGCCCTAATAGCCGGACTAGGAGTAATTTATTATTAACCTTAGAGGGAGACTATCCTAACGAGAAGATAAAACCGAGGCTATATTCCTAGCGAGGCGAATAGGCTATAACGAACGATACTAGGATATAAAGGACTCTTTTTGCAACCTCGAGAAAAGGTTCTAGCTATAATTCGATCGCTATAAGGTCTAGTAGAAAGCCCTAATCGTACTCGAAGAATTAATTAAGAAAACAATTAGTAAAGGGCTTTAAGGGATAACCTTAATATATAATAGCTTAAGAGAGAAAATTAAGGAATTAAAGAAGTAAGCCCTGCCTTTAGGGGTAGAGGAGAAAAGGCTAATTTACGAGAGATATACGACCTCTATTAATAAAAGAGGCACGCGAGACTAGAAAGCATAGGCAGAATAGCTCGACTAAATTATTATAGATTTACGAGACCTTAAGGTCGATATACTAAACGATATAAGAATTAGATAGGACTTTCTTATAGCGGTAGACGAGTAGGACCTATATTAGTCTATAATAATAAGGGCTCTCGACCTCTATAATAAAAGATATAGCAAAGATTAACTTCCCCTAAGGAACCTAATCGCTAACTTTAAATAAAAATATACCTATAGGAAGAAGTTATAACTACCTATAAAAAGGGGAAGCGCTAATTAAATCTCTAGGAAATTAGACACCTAAGCTAAATACGCTAGCTATAAGCAGCACGTTAATAGCTTAATAAGCTAGTAGGAAAATTACTACTTACTATAGGTAATATATAATAAGAAGCCCCCGATAGGCTAGAAATATAATAATCTAGCTAAATAGAATATCGAAAAATAGCTAAAGGACTATTTAGACGAGAAAGTAAAATATATAGCCTAGACCCCTAATTCCTACCTTAAAGGAAGAGAACTAGTAGATACTATTATTAGCAATAACGGGCTAGGAAAGACTATTAATACGGTTACTCTATCTAGGGTAAACACGGCTATTAAGGGAACGCCGTTACTTACCGATAAATTAATATACGACTTAGGGGCCGATATTAACCTCTTTAATAACCTAGGTTAGTTCTAGGAAGGAACCTTTAAGTAGGGTTCTAACAACGAAGTCTAGGTTAGAGACTAAGCCTTTAGGGTATAAGGAATAGGAATAGTAGTTATCCCTATAATTAACGGTAGAAAGATAACCCTACTAGATGCCTACTTTATCCTAGAAATGCTAATAAGTGTCTTCTTAGCTAGGCTAGGGATAACGGTAGGGATATTCTAGAACTAGCTCCTAGGATACCTCTATTCGGAACCTACGAAGGAGGTTCGTATTAAACTAACCGACTTCGAAGGTTAATTCGTAATAGGAATACTCCTATAGTATAAGCGGGTATTCGTAGTTATATAAACGCTTAAGCCGCTAACTAAGGGGGTAGGTAACCTATAGCATCGCCGCCTTAGGTATCCTAGTCTAAAATTACTAGAGAAGCTATTAGAAGCCTACCTAGGCACTAAGCTTTAAGGCCCTATAATATATAGCTATTAGATATACGTAATAGGGAAAGCTAAGAGGGAAGTCTTAAGAAAAACACTATCCCTAAGGCCTAAAGGTCTAGGGGTATAAGTTAGCTTCGACCTTTACCCTAGCCCTATAATAGTATATAATAAGGAAAAGAACTTCGCCTTATTTACTTATATAGATATATCTATAAGGTTCTATTACCTAATAGAAAGAAAAACGGGTATTAAGGATATCTTTAATAACTTTATAGCGTTACTTAAGACCTAGTACGGAGTTAAAATAACTATATTAGTTACTAACGGGGAAAGGGCTCTTTTAATAATAGAATAAATAGATTATATAACTAATAAAGGGATACGAGTTATATAGTTAGCCCCTTTAACGCCTACGTAAAACGGTTATATAGAGAGATTAAGGGTAATAGTAAAAGAAAAAGCAAGGGTTATAAGGCTTAACTTAAAGCTTCTAAAAGAGCTATAGCTAGAAATATACTATATAGCGGTATACTTACTTAATATAATACCCTTTAAATTATATAATTATAGCTAGTAAAGCCTATATAAGCGTTAGTAGACCTAGATAAAAGAAAATAATCTACTATATTACTATATTAAAGATATTAAACTAGATATTATATATTTAAGGGTCTTTAGCTATATAGCGTTCCTAATAATAATTATAATATTAGAATATATTAAGTTATATAAGACGTAATTACCCCTTAAGTAGAGAGCTTATATCGGCTACCTAGTAGGCTATAGGTCTACTTAATAATACGTTATATAGATACCGTTAATTAAATAGAATAAACTAATAGTATTAGCTAATATATAGTTTAACGAGTCTATAAGCTACGATATAAAAAGAGAAGAGTAAGCCTAGCTAGTCTAAATATATAGCTACGATATCCTTAGAGATATAGCTATAACCGACGTTATAGATAGCGGGGAACCCGAAACCTTTAGGGTACTAAGTTTATCCGACGATAATACGGATAACGGTTAAACGCCGGAAGAAGTAATTACCCTCCTACGGGACCTATTACCCCTATATACTCCGGAAGATTAAGGATTAAAGACGCCCTTATAGGGATTATATAGATATATATATCTTTCCCCTCCGGAAATAGTAGGCCTAGGGATAGAGATTTTAACGTTACCCCTTCTACTTAATACTATATTTAACATAGAGTTACTAAGCTCTATACCTCCTACGCCCGCAATAGATACTATAGCTAGCAACCCCTCCTATATCTCGTTAGGGAGATAGCTTAAAGATATAATACCTATATTAATCGACTCGTCTCCTTAAGACGAATATAATAATATACCTCTTAACCTAAGGGGTAAAGGAACGATTATAGTATAGGTTTAAGAAGATAACCCCTAGTCCGAACCCCGTACCCTTAACCTAGCGGTTAGTAGGGCCGGCTTAAGGATATTATAAATATAAGAGCAACGTAGACGAAAGGATACGTTATAAAGGATTAACCTAAGCAACGTTATTAAAGGAAAACGGGCTTATAGGCCTAAGAAATCCCTTATTAATAATATTATCGTAAAGGTAAGTAAGTATAAGCTTTACGTTAAAGATATACCGCCTCCCCCTACCTCCTTTAACGCGGTAATAGCTTTAGAATTCGTATATAAGTAGAAGGAAGCTATAGACCGCGAAATAGAGGAAAACCTAGTAAGGGGTATATAAAAGACTATCCTAAAAGCTATTATTAAATAGAAAGGTTACTTCCTAATCCCCTTATATTAGGTCTTTATATATAAGACTAATAAATAAGGGTATATTATATACTTTAAAGTATATATTATAGTTCGTAGAGACCTATAACTTAAAGGTAATAAGGATATATATATAGCTACCCTACGAGCACGAATATTTCGACTATTAATAGCCTTCTACTACCTCGAGGACTTTAAGACGGAATAATATAATATAAAAATAGTATTTCTATATATAATCCTATACTAAGAAGTCTATTACTAGCCTTTACCGGGATTCTTAATGCCTAGGCTATGCTTAAAGCTATTAAAAGTACTATACGGGCTCTATATCTCTCTAAAGCTATAGTTTAAAGAGATATCTAGTTTCTTTACTAAACTAAGAGCCTAGTAGCTAGTAAAAGACGCCTACGTACTAGTCTATAAGGGCGTTATTATCTTTATCTTCGTAGATAATATTATTATAATATATCTAAAAAGGTAAAAATAAGATTAGGAAGAGCTATATAAGGCTATTATAAAGAAATATACCGTTACGTATATAGGAGAGCTATACTAGTTCCTTAGTATCGAGATTATTAGGGATAGGGATCTTAAGAAGATATAGCTCTCGTAAGCTTCCTATATCTCTAAGACCGCGAAGAAATATTATATCCTTAATAATAATATCCTTCGTAAGCCTAAGATCCCGCTAATAATAGAAGAGCTCGTCCCCTATAAAAAGCAGGCCTTAAAGGAAGAGATATACGAATATCTCTCTTTAATTAGGTCGCTTATTTATCTAGCAATTTATACTA